GGCAGCAAGCTTGCAGGAATAACTACGTACGTTTAAATGGACGAGTGATAGGTGTGTTAGGGGCTGTTTAATGAACACCAACTTATGTAATCAAATTAAACGTCGCATAATCGTCAAAGAGGCAGTGCTTGTTGTTTTTTTTTAAATATAAAATTAGCCTAACGGTCGGCGGTACCGGTACATGACGTCACGTGCGAGCGCTAACTCGGTGACGATGTACTAAGTGGGGGAATGAAAAAGGTGGGGTTCAAGAAATGCGACTCAGCAAGCTTTTTACATTTCTTGACCCTTCTTAATAGTTCTATCGTCCCCACTGAGAAAATGGATCACCAATGAATGACGCGTCATACTTCTACAGCTGGTCTTTCTCCCACAATCATCCCCTGTTTTCACGAGAGAAAAAACCTGACCCGTCTCCAAAATCACATCGCTGAGTTCTACTCAACCTCTCCCCACCACAAATCACAATTTCTATCTGAAACAATATGTTCATATTTTGTTCTGTAATCATGCACGCTGTCATTACTATCTTAAGAGCGACGTCATTTATGAGCGATCTAATATTGATTTGATTACTGCAAATAAAGTGTTCAAAAGTTCGACCTCCCAACAATTGTTGTGGTCTTGGATGCACACTATTAAGTCTGAAAAGGTCTATTAGTCATTCATGTCAACTATATTGAAAAAAATAAAAGTAAAATTACTATACAGGGGGTCATCCATAAATTACGTCACGCTTTTTTGACGATTTTTACCTCCCCCCCCCTCCCCTCCGTCACACGTCGTCACCAAAAGCCAGACCCCCCCCCCCTAAAATGACGTCACACCTCAGCCTACAACCTCCCTCAAAATTGCAGTTGAATTTTTTTAAAAACAGCTATATTTTTCCAAAATCTTGTCTGAACTCTGTCAAAATAGAGTATTTTAATCAATTGTTACTACAATGTATTAAAACAGTTTTCTAAAACGCAAAATAAGGTCTAAAATTCGTTTTCTAACATTGCTTTTTTATAATGCAAAAGTGTGACGTCGCACCATCTGAACCCCTCCCCCTCACCACACACCGTCACAAAATTACGGACCCCACTCCCCCTACGAGTGTGACGTCATTTATGGACGACCCCCAGGCATATATTAAAACAATACAAAACAAGCATATTAAACCACAAAATCAACACAAAAGACATGCGAATAGACAATTTTTCAAGGGAAACTAGTCTATTATTGTTTTTGAAACATGGCCGCTGCTTGTGTTTACTCATTGTTGTCTCGAACGGGGTAGTTTGAAGTTTATTCCAGGATATTTATGACTGGTTTGGTCTTAGATTGTGATTTGTTATTCAATTATCTGTTATATTATGTAAAATATGACATAAATATGGCCAAATGAAAGAAATATTCATTAGTTACCTTCATCGCACATTACTAGCTACGTTGGAATTTACGACGCTAAACTAAGATTTTACCGACATAAATATGGCCAAATGAAAGAAATATTCATTAGTTACCTTCATCGCACATTACTAGCTAAGTTGGAATTTACGACGCTAAACTAAGATTTTACCTAATAAATATACTAACGGTAATCTATCGTTTTGGGTACGTAAAATCGCCCGCGACTAGTAATGTGAAAAACAGGTGACTCCTTACATTTTAATAATTATTTCACATTTTGAGGAGGATTTATGTTTTGAAAAATACAAAAATGTTTCCTTGTTTCATTTATGTACCTGTTTTTAAACAATTGAATTAAAACTTTTCAGTAATAAATGAAGACTAGCGATGTTTCCAACAGATGCAACCATGCTCATTTAGACATTTACTGTAGCAGCCATCTTGTTTAAGTTTTATTTTTATAGACTTAGAGCGCCAGATTCAGGCGGAAGTCACTCTATTTTACAAATGGCTGCTGTTTATATAGCAAATCTTGCTTGCAGACACTGCTGTTTAAAGTTAATTTCTGGCCTATATTGATATATTTAGCCATTGATTTAGGTTTATTATTCATTTATCTATAATATTTGACACAAACATATCACAATATACTTCTATTACTACAGCCTTGACAATGAGGTAACGTTTTCGTACATTAATAGCCGCAGGCGATTTTACGTACCCAAAACGATAGATTACCTATACTAACTGACATACAGTTATTAATACAGACTACAGACATATTTTTTATTGCCATACTACATAACATGATAAATGAAGTTTAGTAACTAATTAACTAAAACTTTAAAACTAACTGTAACTTAGTGGTTAACACTTCTACAGTATTTTCTACACTCATACACTCAACCAGTGACTTTATGTCTTATGTCACTTATACTTATGAGTCTATGAATCATATCTTATATTGGTAATCTATCGTTTTAGGTACGTAAAATTGGCTGAGGCTAGTAATGTGAAAAAAGGGTGACTCATCAAATTTTTGTAATTATTTCACATTTATGTTGTAAAAGTTACAGAAATGTTTCAACCCTTCATTCATGTAGATCTAGATCTACCTGTTTTTAAACAATTGTATTAAAACTTTTCAGCAATTAAATAAAGATTAGCGATGTTTTCATCAGATGTAACCAAGCTCATTTACTTTAGAAGCCATCTTGTTTAAGTTTTTTGGTAACATTTTAGCTAGAGATACAGGGGAAATCACTCTAACTTACAGATGGCCGCTGTTTATATAGAAAATCTTGCTCACAAACAAGGCTGTTTAAAGTCAATTTCTGGCCTTTATTGATATATTTAGACATTGCTTGTGGTTTATTATTCAATTAAATATTATATTTGACACAAAAATATAATAATATACTTGTATTAAAGCCATATTAATGAGCCACCTTTCTCGCACATTACTAGCCTCGGCCGATTTTATGTACCTAAAACGATAGATTACCCTCATATTATATTATAAGCAGTTATAGGGCATATCATATGTCATGGGCATTGTGATTGTATTATGTAAACAAAATAAATGTTCAATATCACTAGATCTACTATAATATTTATTGAAAAAAAATATAATCATATGCTACCAAGTCATAAAAAATATTTTAGATTTTAAGCTGAAAACACAATACAAATATAATGAACAGAACACATAAGATAAGTAATTGAAATATTACAAAAAAAACAACTAATAGGCACTTTTTGTTTTACCCTCGTAATATATTATTGTAATTCATCTAAATCTAAACATTTTTTTTTGTTCTAAGCATTGTTGCATAAATAATAAACAGGAAACCTAATAGATCTAGATCTAGTAATCCAAAGACTAACTCCTAACTACTAGTAACTAGGCATAACTAGTGTAGTTGATAAATGCATGTATAACCACCAAGACTTTTATTCTGGTAAGATCAATAAAAAGAAATGTGATTACTAAAATTTAAACAAATAATCTCTAATTTTAAAATAAGTAATAAAGCTACAGATTTTGAGGTATTTCAAATAGTTAGGCCTATAAAAATTAAAAATGATTTTATAACAAGCTTTTATAAAAATGGTGACCACTCTATCTCTTCATATGCCGAGGTCACAGAAACAAGTGAACTCTACTTCACTTGCTCTATAGACCGTCAGGTTTGAAAAGGGAACTTTTTTTATAAAAATATATTTATTTTTAATCTTTATAGTTCAGCTAATTTAAATTTGGTTTGTCTTATGTATTTTTAAGAAAACAATTTTAAATTTCAGTGGGATTATTTATAAACAATTTTATCCTACTGTATAAACACATAAAAGCTACTGACAAAACCAAATATTTTAAGATATATAGATCATTGCATAAGTAAATGTATGGTGTTAAAACCCTCCATTTTGAATAAGACATTTTATTTTTAATCTTTTATCAGTAAGACTACTATTTTTATGGACCAGTATGTTCATGCACTTTTAAAAAAAGATAAGAGAAGGACCATAATCTGTCTTTAGAAAGCAATCTAAATAATATTTTTAAAAGTACTGTAAAGAGCCCTTTCACTTCAGACCGATTTGTGCATGAGCAGATAAAATATTTTCTTTAAAAGCGCATGTCAAGAAGTAGCATTTTCAGCACTATGCCTACCTACCTTTAATTTCCCTGGCTAAAGTCAAATACCTAAAAGAGCTGGGTGGAGAATGTGCTGTAGACTTAAATTGTGTTAACACTTGCGACATGTTTATTTAGAAAAAACTCGCAACAAGTTACTGTAGTATAATAATATGAAAACATTTTTCCCACAGAACATATATACTTTGTTGTTGAGAGTTTCTTTCTAGACATGTAGGCCCAGTATACATGTTTAAATGCAGTGTAATGCAGTTTAACTGTACCAAACAATTTATATTGTACATGAAACTTTAGTTTTAGTAATTGTGTGCACGACTGGACTGTCACTGACTTTACTTCACCTTAATATTATACTGAAATGATCATCATCATCCAAATATTCAAATTTACATGATTAAGTTCCATTATAGTAATATTATTAGTCTACAATAGTCTTAGCTGTAAGGTGTAATTACTTGTCATGAGATAAATGTAAGTGGTGGTGTGTGTGGGCGCTGGTAATTTTACAACACAGCTGTTGCTGGATAAAGATTTTCTTACATAAACTTTATATCTGTACAATGTGCTGTGCTGATATATTATAACAGCCATATGTACAGAATGTGTTGCATTTGTAGACATTGCAAAGAAATATTTTAAAGTTTTTTTTAATAAAACTTAATTTTACAATGATTGTTTATTCCAATAATCAGATACAATTATCTTTCCCGCATGCTAAATAATTAGGTTCTGCTGTTTAAACTATGAAACATATTTGCTTTTGACTTTAGTTTTTGAAGGCAGTTGTCAGATAGAATGATGTACACTTAGAATTCTATTTGCCTTATAACATGTCAAACTTGATACTATACCCTTTTAATGAAATAATGCAAAAAGGCAGGATTTCAAGCAAGTACCAGTAACAGGTGTACACATTTGTATTTGACTAGCTGTTGTTTTGTTCCAGGGGCTTTTCTCATTCCTTTTTTTATCATGCTGGTCTTGTGTGGAGTGCCCCTGACTTACATGGAGATGGCTGTAGGACAGTACACTAGGCGAGGTCCTATTGGGGCTTTAGCCAAACTTTGTCCCTTCTTTCAAGGTAAGAGTTTTCTACTCTACTAACATGTTTTTTCAAGGTAAGAGTTGTGTACTCTACTAACATGTTTTTTCCAAGGTAATAGTTTTGTACTCTACTAACATGTTTTTCCAAGGTAATAGTTTTGTACTCTACTAACATGTTTTTCCAAGGTAATAGTTTTGTACTCTACTAACATGTTTTTTTCAAGGTAATAGTTTTGTACTCTACTAACATGTTTTTACTTTTTATTTATTTTTATCAAATCTCTATTGATATTTTGTATCAGATTTTGTGTAATCACAAAAAAAAAGAGGAAAATATAGCTGCTTGTGTCAGTTTGTAAATACATGTTAGCTATGTTTTACAGGTGTGTGTCATCTTGTAATAAATACATGTGTTTTATAGGTGTGTGTATCACCTTGTAGGAACATGATAATCATGTGTTTTACAGGTGTTTATATCACCTTATAGGAACATAATAATCATGTGTTTTACAGGTGTGTGTGTATCACCTTGTAGGAACATAATAATCATGTGTTTTACAGGTGTGTGTGTGTGTATCACCTTGTAGGAACATAATAATCATGTGTTTTACAAGTGAATGTATCACCTTGTAGCTCCAGGATGTGATTTTCCATAATTTCTTTTAAAATCACAGCTTCTTAAGTATCCCATTGTTGTTGATCCATAAATAATATGTAATTCTAATATGAATGTCTAACTTTTTAAACATTTTAACCCACATGATAGATTTGGGTAGGTGCAACCTAGTAGGTATTTCTTTACAAAAATTGAATAATATAATAACTTTATTAACTTTCTTTAATAAGGGTGAGGGAGGAAGTAAAATAAAACTATGGGACAACATTTTGTGGTAAGGTAGATCTGTCATTTTGGGACATCATTTTGTGGTAAGGTAGATCTGTCATTTTGTGACATCATTTTGTGGTAAGGTAGATCTGTCATTTTGTGACATCATTTTGTGGTAAGGTAGATCTGTCATTTTGTGACATCATTTTGTGGTAAAGTAGATCTGTCATTTTGTAACATCATTTTGTGGTAAGGTAGATCTTTCATTTTGTAACATCATTTTGGGTAAGGAAGATCTGTCATTTTGTGACATCATTTTGTGGTATGGTAGATCTGTCATTTTGTAACATCATTTTGCTGCAAGTTACATGTCATTTTGTAAAGAGATGGCGGAATTTGCATAACCTCATTTAATTTATGGTCATTTAATTTATGGATGAACATGTTGCTTGATCAGTAGGGTATTGTACTCAAGTAAGCTCTCACTTTCACTGACTAGTGTGGTCTGGGACACAGTGGGTACCTGCAGTCTTAGACTGGGGACAGTTGCTCTAGAACTGTTGTAGGTTCTGGTCCCTTGGTTTATTGTGGGACACAGTGGGTATCTGCAGTCTCAGGTTGGGGACCTTTGCTCTAGAACTGCTGTAGGTTCTGGTTCCTTGGTTTGTTGTGGGACACAGTGGGTACCTGCAGTCTCAGGCTGGGGACCTTTGCTCTAGAACTGCTGTAGGTTCTGGTTCCTTGTTGTTCAGCAAGAATGACCCGGCGGCTTTCTTTTCCTCCCCCACATCTTATTCCCTCTTATTGCGACATTGGCTCTAAAAATGGACGCTAAAGCAATCATCTAAAGTGAGATCCTAAAAACTAGACGCTTAAGCAGTTTACAAGAATGAGGTCCTAAAAACTAAAGCGACCAACGAGAGTGAAACAAAATGAACGCCCTATCGTCTGACAAAATGTCAGCTCAAACTCGTTATTCCAGTGTAGTTTTCTAGTCCTGAAATAGCCTAGATTTGATACATTCCTCTAGCCGTATGTAAGACAGTCCCTAATGCGTACGTTTTTGGTGCAATGTGTCCTGTGTAAACTTGATGCACATTGATGAATTATTGAGCCGTGAAGTTCGTCCACCGTCTACGTGAGAGAGGGTTGGTTCGTCAGGGCTCACTGATAAGTAGGCCTACACCAGGGCTCAATGATTCGGGTACACCAGGGCCCAACGATTCGGGTACATGAAGGCTCAATGATTCAGGTACACCAGGGCTCAATGATTCGGGTACACCAGGGCCCAACGATTCGGGTACATGAAGGCTCAATGATTCAGGTACACCAAGGCTCAATGATTCGGGTACACCAAGACTCAATGATTCGGGTACACCAAGGCTCAATGATTCGGGTACACCAAGGCTCAATGATTCGGGTACACCAAGGCTCAATGATTCGGGTACATCAAGGCTCAATGATTCGGGTACACCAAGACTCAATGATTCGGGTACACCAAGGCTCAACGATTCGGGTACACCAAGGCTCAATGATTCAGGTACATCAAGGCTCAACTATTCGGGTACACCAAGGCTCAACGATTCGGGTACACCAAGACTCAATGATTCGGGTACACCAAGCCCCAATGATTCAGGTACACCAAGGCTCAATGATTCAGGTACACCAAGGCTCAATGATTCGGGTACACCAAGCCCCAACGATTCGGGTACACCAAGGCTCAATGATTCAGGTACACCAAGGCTCAATGATTCAGGTACACCAAGGCTCAATGATTCAGGTACACAAAGGCTCAATGATTCGGGTACACCAAGGCTCAATGATTCGGGTACACCAAGGCTCAATGATTCGGGTACACCAAGCCCCAATGATTCAGGTACACCAAGCCCCAATGATTCAGGTACACCAAGGCTCAATGATTCGGGTACACCAAGGCCCAACGATTCGGGTACACCAAGGCCCAATGATTCGGGTACACCAAGCCCCAATGATTCAGGTACACCAAGGCTCAATGATTCAGGTACACCAAGGCTCAATGATTCGGGTACACCAAGCCCCAATGATTCAGGTACACCAAGGCTCAATGATTCGGGTACACCAAGGCTCAATGATTCGGGTACACCAAGCCCCAATGATTCAGGTACACCAAGCCCCAATGATTCGGGTACACCAAGGCTCAATGATTCGGGTACACCAAGGCTCAATGATTCGGGTACACCAAGCCCCAACGATTCGGGTACACCAAGGCTCAATGATTCGGGTACACCAAGGCTCAATGATTCGGGTACACCAAGGCTCAATGATTCGGGTACACCAAGCCCCAACGATTCGGGTACACCAAGGCTCAATGATTCGGGTACACCAAGGCTCAATGATTCGGGTACACCAAGGCTCAATGATTCAGGCAATACCGGTGGGTGTTGGGTGGGGAACTTATGTCGCGTCCACCTTTTGCAGGTGGTTCTACAGAATGTTTTATTTGTAGGGCACTCCTCAGATCTAATGGCCCGATCTTTATCTAATACTATTAGTAATAGAAACAAAGGACGAAAATGATAATGGAGTTGCTTGTCTTAACAGAGTATTAAGACAGACTTGGATACAAACAATTAATTGGCCACCTTTAAAGTTTGTGTCTCTGCTGAAGGCACCTAGAGTAAGTTGATTGGATGGTGGACATTGTTCAGATGTACAAACGTAACTTGTTTATCTACGCTATAGCTGGTTCAGTAGGGTGAGGGGGGGGGGGGCGTACAGGCCTTAGCCTGGCCACTCCACTTAACTCTTCTATACATTTGATGCTTCATTTACCATTTAAAATAAAGTTACTCGTATGCTAATGGAGGAGGGGGGTAACCAATTTTCAAAACTAAAGAATCATTTCAATATATTTTCGTTGTTTGTTTTTTTTATTTTAAAAATATTCAAGTAGACGCAAAGTTAATTCGGACTTTTATTTAGCGTGGGGTAGACGTAAGTAGAGCAGTTTCTTAGATAGCGATGTGCAATTAACGCCAGGAATAACATTCAAACTAATTGCTCACTGAAAATAAGTTTATTTTTTAATCAACGACATAAAACTGGGACTAAATGGAAAGCTTAAATTGTATCATCTTTTTTGTTTTATTTATTAACAAAAAACAAACAAACAAAGAAGCCTGATGTATTCATTAAAATAGCTGTTGACTGCCCAGTAGAGTGTAAAAACGTGTTGGCCAATTCGGTGATGGTGGATATCATTGGTTTATACACTTCGCGTCATTGTCTCTTCACACCCCCCCCCCCCCCCCTCTAGCGACATGTACACACTATCACCATCCACAGAGCTGAGCAGGCTGCTATTGTGTACATTCGACAAGAATTATTTAGTTAGAGATCTGTATCAATGGGACCAAGCTTTGATTTACTGCTGTAAATATGTTTTGTTTAACGCTCTGCTCGCGTATTATTCCACCGCTATCTCTTGTAGTAGCAGATAAAGCACGCACAGCCCGTGATGGAGATTCTAACCAGTTGTGCACGATTAGATACAGCTCTGCCTTAATTTATCACGGGTGAGCACACATTAAGGCGGAATGTTTCGTATACTTGGGGTCAGGAGGTCCAAATGTAAATAAGCCGTAGGCCTGTTGTTTGAAGATTTGTTTGTTCAGGTTGTGACGAACTACTTGATCAAGTAGCTGTAACTAGTTGATTTGTTCAGGTTGTGACGAACTACTTGACCAAGTAGCTGTAACTAGTTGATTTGTTCAGGTTGTGACGAACTACTTGACCAAGTAGCTGTAACTAGTTGATTTGTTCAGGTTGTGACGAACTACTTGACCAAGTAGCTGTAACTAGTTGATTTGTTCAGGTTGTGACGAACTACTTGATCAAGTAGCTGTAACTAGTTGATTTGTTCAGGTTGTGACGAACTACTTGACCAAGTAGCTGTAACTAGTTCTTCTTCTTCTTCTTCTTCGTTCTTAATTATTAGTGTTGAAGGGGATCGAGATTTATCTGCCAGTGGGTTTGAACTCGAGACTTTGTTCGAATTTATCAACCATGAGCTTTTTGCAGACTCGACCACGCCTCCAACACAATTAAGCGTTACGTGTCAACTGGTTATGCGCCATTGAGGCCATTGACTCCGATTTCAGCCTGCTTTTTCTTTTTGGATTTGCTTCCATAGCCTTTGTCCAACCAAGAACAAACTACAAGGCAGCAGTTGTTTACTTTTGGAGTTGTCTCTCCTAGAAGAGTGGCTGTCCCCAGCTAACGAGCCTCATCTGCCCGAGGGTTCGAACTCGAGACTTTTCGGTTTAGCAACCATGAGCTTTACCGACTCGACCACGCCGACCCCCTTGTAACTAGTTGATTTGTTCAGGTTGTGACGAACTACTTGACCAAGTAGCTGTAACTAGTTGATTTGTTCAGGTTGTGACGAACTACTTGACCAAGTAGCTGTAACTAGTTGATTTGTTCAGGTTGTGACGAACTACTTGACCAAGTAGCTGTAACTAGTTGATTTGTTCAGGTTGTGACGAACTACTTGACCAAGTAGCTGTAACTAGTTGATTTGTTCAGGTTGTGACGAACTACTTGACCAAGTAGCTGTAACTAGTTGATTTGTTCAGGTTGTGACGAACTACTTGACCAAGTAGCTGTAACTAGTTGATTTGTTCAGGTTGTGACGAACTACTTGACCAAGTAGCTGTAACTAGTTGATTTGTTCAGGTTGTGACGAACTACTTGACCAAGTAGCTGTAACTAGTTGATTTGTTCAGGTTGTGACGAACTACTTGACCAAGTAGCTGTAACTAGTTCATTTGTTCATGTTGTGACGAACTACTTGACCAAGTAGCTGTAACTAGTTGATTTATTAAGGAGCGTTTTTCTACGTCGTAATACCGAGCTGTTGATCGCACTTGTTTGCTCTTCTTGCGTGGAACAGTTGACCCGTGTCGACTTGCGGCAGGTTCAAACTGTGCGTATGTAGGGCCCACCAAGTCGCCGCGCCCGACATGTATTGATACTTTGAGACCTGGCTGATGGCAATTTGTGATGCTGTGCAGTCATGTGAACATCATAGGCCTGTCCGCACACCCCATTAGCCGAGAATATGGTGACATGGGCGGGTGAATGGGCCACCCGTTTGTTTCTAGGCCCAGGTTCGCCACACCCACCACTTTCATTGACGCTGCAGTTAGTCGCGTCTCTCGGGTAGGGGATACAGTCCCACCCAGGTGACACCATATAGGAAGGGGGGGGGGGGCACTAATTTTTAAAAATCGAAAATCTATTGTCAAAAAAAAAGAATGTCTTATCAAGGCAATAGAAGTTTGGGGAGGGGAGTGATACCAACACGAAAATGCAAAATTATTGGAGGTGGGTGGGGTAACCGCACCGGGTGACACCCTAGCTAGTGACGCCATTATTGTAGTTATCAGTATGTTTGGTCTATACGTACTCTGTACTTGTGAACTATACACCCCCCACCCCCAGGTCAACAACTGAGTGACTCTGTGATTGACTGTCACTGACGTTTATTGTCGACTAACGCGCTACAAGCACGCAATGACTGTCATTGACGTTGTGTAGGAAAGCCGACTTACTCATGCCGAGGGTAAAAATGACCGCTAGCCTGCCCCGAGTTACCAGAGATGCCGGTGTGTAAGTCGCGTGTGTTCCACGTGACGTTCATGTTGTTCATGTTTAACAGCTGCCATCTAGTATCTCACGTATGTCCCCATCAGTCTAGCTGTAAGCCCTCCACTGTACTCCTCTACACAACAGACTCTATGCTAGCCTGCTGTAAGCCACCCCTCACTACTCCAGTACACAACAGACTCTATGCTAGCCTGCTGTAAGCCACCCCTCACTACTCCAGTACACAACAGAATCTATGCTAGCCTGCTGTAAGCCACCCCTCACTACTCCAGTACACAACAGACTCTATGCTAGCCGGCTGTAAGCCACCCCCCCCCCCCCCAGTACACAACAGACTCTATGCTAGCCTGCTGTAAGCCACCCCTCACTACTCCAGTACACAACAGACTCTATGCTAGCCTGCTGTAAGCCACCCCTCACTACTCCAGTACACAACAGACTCTATGCTAGCCTGCTGTAAGCCACCCCCCCCCCAGTACACAACAGACTCTATGCTAGCCTGCTGTAAGCCACCCCTCACTACTCCAGTACACAACAGACTCTATGCTAGCCTGCTGTAAGCCACCCCTCACTACTCCAGTACACAACAGACTCTATGCTAGCCAGGCCACCCCCCACTACTCCAGTACACAACAGACTCTATGCTAGCCTGCTGTAAGCCACCCCTCACTACTCCAGTACACAACAGACTCTATGCTAGCCAGGCCACCCCCCACTACTCCAGTACACAACAGACTCTATGCTAGCCTGCTGTAAGCCACCCCTCACTACTCCAGTACACAACAGACTCTATGCTAGCCTGCTGTAAGCCACCCCTCACTACTCCAGTACACAACAGACTCTATGCTAGCCAGGCCACCCCTCACTACTCCAGTACACAACAGACTCTATGCTAGCCTGCTGTAAGCCACCCCCCCCCAGTACACAACAGACTCTATGCTAGCCTGCTGTAAGCCACCCCTCACTACTCCAGTACACAACAGACTCTATGCTAGCCTGCTGTAAGCCACCCCTCACTACTCCAGTACACAACAGACTCTATGCTAGCCTGCTGTAAGCCACCCCCCCCAGTACACAACAGACTCTATGCTAGCCTGCTGTAAGCCACCCCTCACTACTCCAGTACACAACAGACTCTATGCTAGCCTGCTGTAAGCCACCCCTCACTACTCCAGTACACAACAGACTCTATGCTAGCCAGGCCACCCCCCACTACTCCAGTACACAACAGACTCTATGCTAGCCTGCTGTAAGCCACCCCTCACTACTCCAGTACACAACAGACTCTATGCTAGCCTGCTGTAAGCCACCCCTCACTACTCCAGTACACAACATACTCTATGCTAGCCAGGCCACCCCCACTACTCCAGTACACAACAGACTCTATGCTAGCCTGCTGTAAGCCACCCCTCACTACTCCAGTACACAACAGACTCTATGCTAGCCTGCTGTAAGCCACCCCTCACTACTCCAGTACACATCAGACTCTATGCTAGCCTGCTGTAAGCCACCCCTCACTACTCCAGTACACAACAGACTCTATGCTAGCCTGCTGTAAGCCACCCCTCACTACTCCAGTACACAACAGACTCTATGCTAGCCTGCTGTAAGCCACCCCTCACTACTCCAGTACACAACAGACTCTATGCTAGCCTGCTGTAGGCCACCCCTCACTACTCCAGTACACAACAGACTCTATGCTAGCCTGCTGTAAGCCACCCCTCACTACTCCAGTACACAACAGAATCTATGCTAGCCTGCTGTAAGCCACCCCTCACTACTCCAGTACACAACAGACTCTATGCTAGCCTGCTGTAAGCCACCCCTCACTACTCCAGTACACAACAGACTCTATGCTAGCCTGCTGTAAGCCACCCCTCACTACTCCAGTACACAACAGAATCTATGCTAGCCTGCTGTAAGCCACCCCTCACTACTCCAGTACACAACAGACTCTATGCTAGCCTGCTGTAAGCCACCCCCCCCCCCAGTACACAACAGACTCTATGCTAGCCTGCTGTAAGCCACCCCTCACTACTCCAGTACACAACAGACTCTATGCTAGCCTGCTGTAAGCCACCCCCCACTACTCCAGTACACAACAGACTCTATGCTAGCCTGCTGTAAGCCACCCCTCACTACTCCAGTACATAACAGACTCTATGCTAGCCTGCTGTAGGCCACCCCTCACTACTCCAGTACACAACAGACTCTATGCTAGCCTGCTGTAAGCCACCCCTCACTACTCCTGTACACAACAGACTCTATGCTAGCCAGGCCACCCCTCACTACTCCAGTACACAACAGACTCTATGCTAGCCTGCTGTAAGCCACCCCTCACTACTCCAGTACACAACAGACTCTATGCTAGCCTGCTGTAAGCCACCCCTCACTACTCCAGTACACAACAGACTCTATGCTAGCCAGGCCACCCCTCACTACTCCAGTACACAACAGACTCTATGCTAGCCTGCTGTAGGCCACCCCTCACTACTCCTCTACACAACAGACTCTATGCTAGCCAGGCCACCCCTCACTACTCCAGTACACAACAGACTCTATGCTAGCCTGCTGTAGGCCACCCCTCACTACTCCTCTACACAACAGACTCTATGCTAGCCTGCTGTAAGCCACCCCTCACTACTCCAGTACACAACAGACTCTATGCTAGCCTGCTGTAAGCCACCCCTCACTACTCCAGTACACAACAGACTCTATGCTAGCCAGGCCACCCCTCACTACTCCAGTACACAACAGACTCTATGCTAGCCTGCTGTAAGCCACCCCTCACTACTCCAGTACACAACAGACTCTATGCTAGCCTGCTGTAAGCCACCCCTCACTACTCCAGTACACATCAGACTCTATGCTAGCCTGCTGTAAGCCACCCCTCACTACTCCAGTACACAACAGACTCTATGCTAGCCTGCTGTAAGCCACCCCTCACTACTCCAGTACACAACAGACTCTATGCAGGCCTCACCTACATCGTCACGGTCCTCTGTACGCTCTGCTTCACTGACTCTATTTGATGGGTTCTTTCTAAAGGCTCTCATTGTATAGCATTGCCATATTGTTTTCCCGTGTTAATTTACTGACAGTTTAAAATCATTACCTCAATATTCTGTTAGCTCAACTCTATACTAGCTGACAGTTTAAAATCATTACCTCAATATTCCGTTAGCTCAACTCTATACTAGATGAACAACACATTTGTTTACCGGTCATGTTAACAGCCGTTTGTAGATGCCCCATTGACTAGCTACACAAAGACCTACAAACACAGCCTATACACATTGTTTTAGTAAGGGCCTACATGTGGTTTGGTAGTTATAGGTCCTATCTTAACATCCCCAGAACCTCCATGTTAATAACACTGTATTATTTCCCCAGGAGCTGGTATAGCCACTGTGATGATTTCCTTCCTGTTCACCACCTACTACATTGTGATCATAGCCTGGTCCTTCTACTACATGTTCAGCTGCTTCACCGACACCCTCCCCTGGACCCACTGCAACCACACGTGGAACTCCCCTCAGTGCTGGGACACCTCCCAGATCAACTCCACAGCTTTAGACAACGGCACCACACTACAGCAGCCCAATGGTTCCAGGTCGCCCACTGAAGATTTCTTCATGTGAGATATGTTTGTCTTGTGCTCACACCTGTCCTTGATTGGGGGAATGTTTTCTTACACTTAGCACGAGCCTACCTTTAATTAGCATCATTTATTTCTTTTATTAGTGAAACAAACCTAATTAAGCAGAGGTCAGATTAGTTCAGGAGTTGGGTTTGTTAGCCTACAAATCCATTTGCCCATTTTTCTTCATGAATAAAATGGCATTGATTCATCAAGTAAAAAAAATCAATTGATTTGATTGATTATGGGGCTTACACTTAGCAGTATTTGCTGTAGGTTCATATACCAATATAGTGTAGCAGGCAGTGATGCTGCATTACTCTAAAAAAAACTTCACCTATGGTTACTCATCAATAGCTTATAAGTATACTGTTTGTGAACCAATTAAGAAAGTACCAGATTAACACATACTAATTAGAAATACTCTCCCTTTTAGTGAGATCTTTGACAACTGTATGCATATTCAATTGACTAGTAATGTTTCTCTCATGAATAATTATTTGATAGACCTTTGTATGGATGTCATCCCTTATAACTTTTCCCCCTGCATGATTTAGGACTTGGTACTGTCAAATGGTACACTATTTTACTGTGGGAATATAAATAAATGAAACCATATTTTAAATGAAACAGTTTTCAGGGAAATAATGTTCTTATGGTTCTTGTGTTTAGGTAAAGGATGTATGCAATTTCAATTGGGAAAGTGGTACACAACAAAACATTAGACTTGTGACTTGTATGGTCAAAAGTATCGGTAGTGTTCATGTAGGATGTGACTGTTAGTGTTGATGTAGGGTGTGACTGGTAGTGTTGATGTAGGATGTGACTGATGTAGGATGTGACTGATGTAGGATGTGACTGGTAGTGTTGATGTAGGATGTGACTGATGTAGGATGTGACTGGTAGTGTTGATGTGACTTCTCTAGCCATGAACCTCTTGTTCCTGTAGTGAGAATGTGCTGGCCAGATCAAGTGGAATAGAGGAGCAGGGAGTCATAAGATGGCAGCTGCTGTTGATCCTACTCCTGTGCTGGATTATTGTCTACTTCTGTATTTGGAAGGGACCCTCATCCACTGGAAAGGTTACTACATCTAACTATGGCTTTTTAAACTTAACCATTCCATATTTAGAAAATATATTTAGTTTTAACTCAAATAGTTTGTGTACGAGCATATGACTCAACCTGTTTGTGTGTGTAAATGTTTGGGAAAGGTGCAGGTAATGAAAACATGATGTGAGTTGTATGGAAACAATAACAAAACCACAAACCAACACACTAACAAAACGACTAACATAGCCATGTGTATTTTGTGTTACAGGTTGTTTACATGATGTGAGTTGTATGGAAACAATAACAAAACCACAAACCAACACACTAAAAAAACCACTAACATAGCCATGTGTATTGTGTTACAGGTTGTTTACTTTACATGATGTGAGTTGTATGGAAACAATAACAAAACCACAAACCAACACACTAACAAAACCTCTAACATAGCCATGTGTATTGTGTTAAAGGTTGTTTACTTTGCATGATGTGAGTTGTATGGAAACAATAACAAAACCACAAACCAACACACTAACAAAACCTCTAACATAGCCATGTGTATTGTGTTACAGGTTGTTTACATGATGTGAGTTGTATGGAAACAATAACAAAACCACAAACCAACACACTAACAAAACGACTAACATAGCCATGTGTATTTTGTGTTACAGGTTGTTTACATGATGTGAGTTGTATGGAAACAATAACAAAACCACAAACCAACACACTAAAAAAACCACTAACATAGCCATGTGTATTGTGTTACAGGTTGTTTACTTTACATGATGTGAGTTGTATGGAAACAATAACAAAACCACAAACCAACACACTAACAAAACCTCTAACATAGCCATGTGTATTGTGTTAAAGGTTGTTTACTTTGCATGATGTGAGTTGTATGGAAACAATAACAAAACCACAAACCAACACACTAACAAAACCTCTAACATAGCCATGTGTATTGTGTTACAGGTTGTTTACATGATGTGAGTTGTATGGAAACAATAACAAAACCACAAACCAACACACTAACAAAACGACTAACATAGCCATGTGTATTTTGTGTTACAGGTTGTTTACATGATGTGAGTTGTATGGAAACAATAACAAAACCACAAACCAACACACTAAAAAAACCACTAACATAGCCATGTGTATTGTGTTACAGGTTGTTTACTTTACATGATGTGAGTTGTATGGAAACAATAACAAAACCACAAACCAACACACTAACAAAGCCTCTAACATAGCCATGTGTATTGTGTTAAAGGTTGTTTACTTTGCATGATGTGAGTTGTATGGAAACAATAACAAAACCACAAACCAACACACTAACAAAACCTCTAACATAGCCATGTGTATTGTGTTACAGGTTGTTTACATGATGTGAGTTGTATGGAAACAATAAAAAAACCACAAACCAACACACTAACAAAACCTCTAACATAGCCATGTGTATTGTGTTACAGGTTGTTTACTTCACCGCCACGTTTCCCTATGTTGTGCTCATTATCTTGCTAGTCAGAGGTGTCACCTTGCCAGGCTCCATAGATGGCATCAAGTTTTTTATAGAACCTCGCTGGGAACTACTTCTGGAAGCCAAGGTCAGCTCTTGCTGTAGTCATTGCTTGGTATTAAACACTGTGTTCAGTTCACACAGTGAAACTTTAAAGCTTATAAACTTGACAAAAATAAATAAATGGTTGTATCCCTTGTAGAAATGTCTAATAAAAAAACCATCCCCAGGTTTGGGTGTATGCGGCAGCCCAGAATTTCAACTCACTGGGAGTGGCCTTTGGTGGCCTCATCACCATGTCCAGTTACAGTAAATTCAACAACCGCATCGTCAGGTAACTTTGCCAGTCCTCTGTAAGCTTAACTCAGTTCTGCTGTAGGCTCTGTGTGTGTGTGTGTGTGTGTGGCAGTACCCTGCCCCACCCACCTCCCCATGGACTCTAGACATCTGTCTTCTAGAGGATATCAAGGCTCCCACCTCACCCCCTCACAGCAAGCTGATTGCTGTCTCACCCCCTACTGGCAGACTGATTGCCCTTTGACCCCTGAGGTCAGGCTGCCTGACCCCTGCTGAATGCACCATGTATAGTTAGTGGCTAGATGACCTGTTCTACTCTGCAGAGATGTGCTTGTGTTGGCTGTTGTTGATGCTTTCACCTGTCTCCTGGCTGGCTTTGCTATTTTCTCCATTCTGGGAAATCTTGCTTTCATCCAAGGAAAGGGGGTCGAGGAGGTGGTCCAAGAAGGTGAGCACAGGTCTTTCAGGAGGTCAATTCACTTGGCCTTGGCCTTGCTCTGATCTGCAGAATTGACCCAGTTTTTAAATATGTTAATGTCAACATTTTAAGTCTAGCAGCTAAGATAAGAAACATTTAGTTTCACCATAAAAAATGTGTAGATATGGTGTTTTTATATATGTATTGTATGTGTGTTAAAAAAACTGTTTGTTTAATTACTCCACTATATGTTCAACATATTTTGCTTACATAGAATTAAATATTTTTCTTTCAGAAACAAATAAACGACCATTTTTGTTTGTTGAAATAATATTCTTTCTAGTTTTTATAATATACCTACTTTTCTTATTAATTGCTTTAGGGGGGGAGGTGTTTCTGGTTATAGGATATGAGTTGTAGGGGAGGGGATTTTTGAGAAATATGTTTATGCATTAATTTATCAATTATAGTTAAAAATTATAATGAAAAAAAAATGGCTGTTTTAAAATGAGTGACATTTTGGTAATAATTCTCATGTAGCCCTATCTGTTTAGTAGTAACCAATTTATTCTTGTGGAAAATAACTGAGTAAGATGTTCTGACAAATAGTGTTTGTGCCTATCTGTTGAGTGATCTGCCATTCATAATTTTTATTTGCTATCTTTCTTATTAGAATAAGAAAGATGGGGGTGTTGAGGCAGATGCTCAAATAAAAGGCCAGGAAAAATACAAGTTACATATACCCAATCCCTGTAATAGGTGTATAAGTAAAGTTCCTTTTTTGAACCTGACAAGTAGAGTTCACCTGTTTTTGTGACCTTAGCATATGAAGGGATTGTGTGGTCAACAATTTGCCCAGTAGCCTTTACTTTCCCTAACATGAGTTAGGTACCCATCAGACCTGGGTAGACTCAGGGGCATTCTACTGACTTGAACCCAGAATCAAACAAGAGAGAGTTGTATAAGTATTGCGGAATAAATGGCTGTAGTATCTTCTGTCCTGTATTAAAGCTTGTACCCTAAATTTGTGGTGTAAAAATATGTGTAACTAAGAACAATATCTTCTCTACTTAGGCTCTTTACTTGTATTTGTTATTTACCCATGAAAAGCTTGTACCATAATCTTGTGGTGTAAAAATATGTGTAACCAAGAATAATATCTTCTCTACTTAGGCTCTTTACTTGTATTTGTGATTTACCCATAAAAGCTTGTACCATAAAGTCGTGGTGTAAAAATATGTATAACTAAGAATAATATCTTCTCTACTTAGGCTCTTTACTTATATTTGTTTATCTACCCATGAAAACACCATAAATTTGTGGTGTAAAAATATGTGTAACCAAGAACAATATCTTCTCTCCACAGGTCCTGGCCTTGTGTTTGTTATCTACCCTCAAGCTTTTAACTCCATGCCTGTATCTCAGCTGTTTGCCTTCCTCTTTTTCTTCATGTTGATCTGTCTCGGCATTGACAGTCAGGTAAGTCTTTTGTGTTTTCTATTATCACTCAACACTTTTAAAAGTCTCTTACAAGCTTCGTTTTTTTTTATTAAGACTATCAAAACAAAACTTATTAAATGAAGTTATATATTTAAAAGCAAAATTAATATTATTCTCAATAATACAATATTCTTTATTTTAAAAATTAAAGCAGTTGTGCTTGATCTTAGTTAAAAGTACAGATGCCCTTTCAGGCCTGATGTTCAACAGGGCAGGTGAAGTAGAGTTTGCCTGTTTCAGCCACCTTGGCATATGATAGAATAGTGTGCCTTAGTGTTAGTAATATTAATGAAGTATTTACAACTCCTTCAGCCATTCAGAAATGAGCATGCATGTAGTTAGCTTAGTCCTCCATATGTAAATAGATCGTCATTTTGATATTTTTGTTTCTATCCAGTTTGCTTCTGTTGAGGTGATTGTCACAACCATACAAGATCATTTTGGCTCCCTGGTCCATAAATATTTGAAGAAAAAAGAACTTTTGGTAGCTGTTGTTTGTTTGGTGTCCTTCCTGTGTGGTATTCCCAACATAACTCAGGTGGGTGGCTAGTTTTTGTCTCGTCTAGATCTATACTTCATTTTATATGAACCTCTAGATGAATTGCATGTGTAAGGAAATTATTTCTAAAAGGTGGTTTATAGACAAATCTACATCTTTACAGGATGGTTTTTTTTTATTTTATAAAAAAAAAATTCAAATTTAAAAAAAAAAATTCTTGGCAAACAAATTTTGACAAGTTGGTTTCTTTATAAACCTAAATTTCCACAGGATGGTTTCTATATAAACCTAAATTTTGACAAGTTGGTTTCTTTATAAACCTAAATTTTCACAGGGTGGTTTCTTTATAAACCTAAATTTTCACAGGGTGGTTTCTATATTAACCTAAATTTTGACAGGGTGGTTTCTATATAAACCTAAATTTTAGCAGGGTGGTTTCTTTATAAACCTAAATTTTGACAAGTTGGTTTCTTTTTAAACCTAAATTTTCACAGGGTAGTTTCTTTATAAACCTAAATTTTTACAGGGTAGTTTCTTTATAAACCTAAATTTGTACAGGGTGGTTTCTATTTAAATCTAAATTTTCACAAGGTGATTTCTTTATAAACCTAAATTTTGACAAGGTGGTTTCTTTATAAACATAAACTTTCATGGGGTGGTTTCTTTATAAATCTAAATTTTGACAGGGCGGTTTCTTTATAAACCTAAATTTTCACAGGGTGGTTTCTCTATTAAACCTAAAATTTCACAGGGTGGTTTCTTTATAAACCTAAATTTTGACAGGGTGGTTTCTTTATAAACCTAAATTTTCACAGGGTGGTTTCTATATAAACATAAATTTTCACAGGGTGGTTCTTTATAAATCTAAATTTTCACAGGGTGGTTTCTATATAATCATACATTTTGACAGGGTGGTTTCTTTATAAACCTAAATTTTGACAGGGTGGTTTCTTTATAAACCTAAATTTTCACAGGGTGGTTTCTTTATAAACCTAAATTTTCACAGGGTGGTTTCTTTACAAACCTAAATTTTGACAGGGTGGTTTCTTTATAAACCTAAATTTTCACGTAGTTTCTCTATAAACCTAAAATTTCACAGGGTGGTTTCTACTTTTTCCAACTGATTGACTACTACACTGCTGCTCTGTCACTGATGGTGCTGGCTTTTTTTGAGGTCATCGCCATCTGTTGGTTTTATGGTAGGTGTTGTCTTGTTGGTTTTATGGTAGTTGGTGTCTTGTTGGTTGTTTGGTAGGTGTTCTCTTGTTGGTTGTATGGTAGGTGTTGTCTTGTTGGTTGTGTGGTAGGTTTTGTCTTGTTGGTTGTATGGCAGGTTTTGTATTGTAGGTTGTTTGGTAGGTTTAGTCTTGTTGGTTTTATGGTAGGTTTTGTCTTGTAAGTTGTATGGTAGGTGGTGTTGTTTTTATGGTAGGTTTTGTATTGTAGGTTGTTTGGTAGGTGGTGTTGGTTGTATGGTAGGTGTTGTGCTTTGACAAAAAACACTTATAAACATGAGTAGTCTCTCATATTTGTATACCTTTTTTTTAAAGTGTTTGTCCATACATGACGTCACACTCATAGAAGGGGGGGGGGGTTGCTGTATAACAATGGAAGTAGCAAGGGGAATTACTGTTTTCAAAAAATAATGACAGCTTACTTGATGTCCCCTGTACCTGTATTTGTTTGAATTTGTTAATACCCCACATTTAAACCTACAGGTTCTAATAATTTGTTTTTTGAACCTCCAGGTGCCAACAACTTAGCTGAAAACATCAAACTGATGACAGGATCTAAACCAAACATATTTTTTATTGCTTGTTGGTTTGTTCTCTCACCTCTACTTATTTTGGTATGTCATGCTTAATAACAGTTTCTTTAGTTGTTCTACTGTTTTTATTTTGAAGAATTGTAATAGTAAGCTAAAATATTTTGAAAGTGGCATATTAATCCTATTAATGGTATTAATTGTAAAATTGAGAATCAGAACCAACCATAATAAGATCCAAAGAGTTCTACTTGACCAGTGGTCAACTGTTGTATCAACTGTATGTTGTGCAGGGTATCTGGGTGTTCAGCATGATCTAGTATAAGTAGTAAAGTGTTGTTATACTTGACCAGTGGTCAACTGTTGTTTGACTTGACCGGTGGTCAACTGTTGTATCAACTGTATGTTGTGCAGGGTATCTGGGTGTTCAGCATGATCCAGTACCAGAACCTGTCCATAGCTGGCTACGTCTACCCTGACTGGGCCATTGCCCTTGGCTGGTGTCTGGCCCTGTTGTCTGTCTTCTGCATACCTGCGGGGATGATTCATGCTGTCTACACTGCTAAGGGAGCTAACATTCTTCAGGTATGTTCAACTAGTAGACCATTGAGCATTCTCTATCTCTCCGCTACTTAATTATCACAATAAAATATTTTTCCTCTGTAATGACTCTTTCAGTTTTCATACTCCAGCAAACCAACATAGTATCTATTTCCTTAACTGTCTTTATTCTCTTAAATTTTTTTTAGCTAGAACCATATTATGATTTGTTTGATCTATTGTTTCCCTCATACCCCCCTCCCCCCTCCCAGAAATTTATTCACAGTTTCCAGTCAGCCATGGAGCCTGAAACACGGAGTACTAACAAACAAGGGGATGATGAGGTCATCTTGACCAATGTCACTTCTACACAGAGCTATGTCGACCAGCCAGACTGCCAGCCTCCTGCTAAACACTGTATCCAACTCTAGTGGTCATGTGACATCTGTAGTGGTCATGTGACATCTGTAGTGGTCATGTGACATCTGTAGTGGTCATGTGACATCTGTAGTGGTCATGTTGACCAACCAAACTGCCAGCTCATGTCAGCCCTGCATCCAGCCACTTGTTGTGTAGCCACACAGTTATAAAGGCTCAAACTTCAACCCTTTAACTATATTAGATCAGCAGTTACATGTTGACCAGCTTTACTCCCACAATAAGAAAATCACATGAATGAATCTTTGTACACCTGTTGCACAATAGTCAGCTTGTTTTTTTTTTTTTTTTTTTTTTTTTTGGTAACTCATTATTGAGCACCATTTCTTGTAATTTATGTATGTTGAGGGGAGACTACTTGTAGAGCTCAATGGTTTTGTACAAATTGTTTTTGAGATATCATCAACATAAAAGTATGTTTTCATGCTAGTCGTACAGTAGTCAGAGAAATATAGATAAAGTGATCAACAGCAATACTGCACTATCCAGTATGGATATTTTAGTCTAATTTGTTCTCTCATGAATCATGGTCAAACATGTTAGCTTTGTGCCTTCCTATTGTTTAGACTGGGTTCAAAAATGTATGCTAATTTTATTTCTGTTTTTTGAATAGTTGTACACTTTGTAATGATGTGTTGATGTCAGTAGTGTGGCTTGATATGGAAGAGATCACAGTTGTCCATAGTTACTGCTGGTCAGCAGTCACATGATTTTGTCAATTATCTAATCAGTCTGTGTACCAAGTTAATCACTGTGTTTATACTAAGGATATTTTTTATATTCTTGCTACTTGACATAAAGGTAATTTTAAACTTGAAATTTGTAATTGTTATGGTCAGTGTATGAAGCTGACCACTCAAGTTTAGAGCAGGCTGTGTAAAATCAAACTATTTATTGTTTCAACATTTAGTGCAGTGAGTTACATCCCTTTTATTTTTTGATTGGGACCATTTTAAAAGTGAATATTTTGTTTGTAACTATTTGAGATTGTAAAATATTTTTTTACTGGAGGTCCAGTTGTACCTACAGGTTTGGTTGTTGGTAGGACCTAATTGTGCTGCATGTGGTATGTTGGTAGGACCTGATTGTGCTGCATGTAATGTGTTGGTAGGACCTAATTGTGCTGCATGTGGTATGTTGGTAGGACCTAATTGTGCTGCATGTGGTGTGTTGGTAGGACCTAATTGTGCTGCATGTGGTATGTTGGTAGGACCTAATTGTGCTGCATGTGGTATGTTGGTAGGACCTGATTGTGCTGCATGTGGTATGTTGGTAGGACCTGATTGTGCTGCATGTGGTATGTTGGTAGGACCTGATTGTGCTGCATGTGGTATGTTGGTAGGACCTAATTGTGCTGCATGTGGTATGTTGGTAGGACCTAATTGTGCTGCATGTGGTATGTTGGTAGGACCTAATTGTGCTGCATGTGGTATGTTGGTAGGACCTAATTGTGCTGCATGTGGTATGTTGGTAGGACCTAATTGTGCTGCATGTGGTATGTTGGTAGGACCTAATTGTGCTGCATGTGGTATGTTGGTAGGACCTAATTGTGCTGCATGTGGTATGTTGGTAGGACCTAATTGTGCTGCATGTGGTATGTTGGTAGGACCTAATTGTGCTGCATGTGGTATGTTGGTAGGACCTGATTGTGCTGCATGTGGTATGTTGGTAGGACCTGATTGTGCTGCATGTGGTGTGTTGGTAGGACCTAATTGTGCTGCATGTGGTATGTTGGTAGGACCTGATTGTGTGCTGTATGTGGTATGTTGGTAGGACCTAATTGTGCTGCATGTGGTATGTTGGTAGGACCTGATTGTGCTGCATGTGGTATGTTGGTAGGACCTGATTGTGCTGCATGTGGTATGTTGGTAGGACCTGATTGTGCTGCATGTGGTATGTTGGTAGGACCTGATTGTGCTGCATGTGGTATGTTGGTAGGACCTGATTGTGCTGCATGTGGTATGTTGGTAGGACCTAATTGTGCTGCATGTGGTGTGTTGGTAGGACCTAATTGTGCTGCATGTGGTGTGTTGGTAGGACCTGATTGTGCTGCATGTGGTATGTTGGTAGGACCTGATTGTGCTGCATGTGGTATGTTGGTAGGACCTAATTGTGCTGCATGTGGTATGTTGGTAGGACCTGATTGTGCTGCATGTGGTATGTTGGTAGGACCTGATTGTGCTGCATGTGGTATGTTGGTAGGACCTGATTGTGCTGCATGTGGTGTGTTGGTAGGACCTAATTGTGCTGTATGTGGTATGTTGGTAGGACCTGATTGTGCTGCATGTGGTATGTTGGTAGGACCTGATTGTGCTGCATGTGGTATGTTGGTAGGACCTAATTGTGCTGCATGTGGTATGTTGGTAGGACCTAATTGTGCTGCATGTGGTATGTTGGTAGGACCTAATTGTGCTGCATGTGGTGTGTTGGTAGGACCTAATTGTGCTGCATGTGGTATGTTGGTAGGACCTAATTGTGCTGCATGTGGTGTGTTGGTAGGACCTAATTGTGCTGCATGTGGTGTGTTGGTAGGACCTGATTGTGCTGCATGTGGTGTGTTGGTAGGACCTAATTGTGCTGCATGTGGTATACCCTGTGCACTTACAGAATTGTGTTTTTGTATTCTTTAACATGCTAATGACAATCAAGATCTACAAATGTGCTAGATCTGCTCCATGTAGTAATGATTACATGACTCATTACACCATTGTCCATTGAATGTAATGATTTCATGACTCATTACACCATTGTCCATTGAATGTTAAGTATCATAATGTCATTATATTTTAAACTGTCCAAACTTAAGGAGATATGTATGTGACATATCATCCTTAAGGTGTGTATCAGGTAGTACAAAATCAAACAGCTTTTATTATAATCAGTTGTTATAAGTACTGTGTACTGGTAACTGAAATGTTTTGAATGTAAATATAAACCAATGTTGTAGAAAATTCTCTTTTATTTTACCAAGGAAAATGTTCTTATGATTTTACAATGACCAGATGTTGTTAGGGATTGCAATGTATTCACCATATGAATGACAATCAGGGAGAAATTTTTTTTTAGAATGTTGATTGTACACCCATAAAAAAAATTGATTGAACCCCTATAATGTAACCCATGTGTTACAAAATATTTGATAGAACTTAAATAAAGCCCTCATAAAATTTTTTTAAAGAATATAGATGAAGTCCACATAAAAATGTAGGTCTTTAATGATTCCCTTAAAGGTTCAAATCTCTGTTGTTTATCCTGCTTTGATCATCTATAATCATCTCAGGCAATAAAAAGCATGTTCTTGTTTAATCATGGTTATATTTCCATCATTATTCTCACTTCACATGAGTAGTTATGGTCATTGAACCCACATAATATTTAGCAGTTAATCTGTAGATCAACACGTAACATTATGTTGGCACATAAGACAAGATTCAGAGTTGTCAAGTATTTTATCATTGATCTCTTCACCCAGCATTCACTTTGCTAACATCTAGAACTTGTATATCTAGAACTTGTATATATTTCAGTGGTGTGCCCTCTGGGGACTAGGTTTATCAGTTTTTTATTTGACACTTCTTGAACATAGTGTTGGACTGGTTGAGAAATATGTTCCCCTCTAATACTTCATACAGGAGCCTGTGCACTCTACTTTTGAATCGGTCTTGCAATACAAAATGTTAAGTATGTCTACCCCAACAGTTGTGGATTTAGAACCCTTGTCATTCTAAAAGTTTTTTTGTACAGGCTTTATCGTTAACAGTCGTGGGGTTGTGTTTTGGTTAGCTTGTTTATTGCTTCCAAATTTTTATGAAACCTGATTTATTTGTCACTTGTTTGTGTAACTATTTACTCAGTAAGAGATACATTTTTAACCTCAATAGAATCTGATTTCTGCTGAAAATCTTATCACAGACTACAAGCTAGTCCCCAGTGGGAAATCCAATCACATGCCTTGTTATATACTGTCTTACACCACGGGAAGAATTCAGATCTGGGTAGAATTTCTTGTCTCTCAGCTCCACAGGAAGAATTTTAGATTTGGGTAAAAAAATTATTTGCAGCACAAACATTGCCAGATATTATTTTTGTTAAATAATGTTTTTGTTTTATTCAACTGTATTTTTTGCCCACATTTTTCTTTATGAGCAATACATGCAGCTTTAAATTAATCTTTTGTTTTTACCTTATATTTGTATGACAAAAATGTTACAAAGAAGAAATAGGCTCTTCCCTATGTAAGCAGCTTAAAATCTGCCTTTAAGAATAAGCTCAGTGTATTAAATACAGTCCAATTATTGAGAGGCAGGTTTAAAGATGCTGATGTTGATTCATTAATTATGTTGTTAAAAATAATTTGTCAGATAATTTTTTTTTCAGTTCCCAGTTAGATTTGTCAACATTGATATGCCTAGTTTGGTTAGACTTAAAAAGATATCAGTTATCTATCAGCACCACACTTAACATAACCAATGTTGTTGTAGCTGACTACTGTGTTATAAATATGTTTGTAAATACAGTTGACCCAGGTCAACTTTTGTTGTTTTATACAGCCAGCTAGTGCTACCACTTTTCTGAGAGAGTTTACACAAGGTACTTGATGTTTGCACATGTTGAGTGAATGTCAGTTCTCTCATCTTTACATAGTTTTTTTTTTATTTGCCTGGTAGTGTTGTCATGGTTACAGAAGCAGTTCAAAACTCTCACTTCAATGTTAATTAATTAATTACAAAACATTTTAGCCTGTTTTTAGCACCAATCACTGGCTCACCTCACTGTGTGATGTCATACTGTCACCTCACTGTGATGTCACATGAACTCAAAGAGTGACATCTGTCACCTTACTGTGTGACATCTGTCACCTTACTGTGTGACATCTGTCACCTTACTGTGACATGACAGTAATGAGGTTATTTAAAGTGCTATGATTCATCCATTCCAAAATCTTGTCATGTATGAGTGGAAGGGGCATATGCCCACTTGTTTAGAGGAAAGCATATGCCCATTTGTGCACATTCTAACCTGTATGAGACGTGGGATGTGCCCATCAGTGTGAAAGAGTATGCCAGCTATGAGTGTATGATGTCATTGATGATGTATTAAACATGTTTCGTAAGTCTTGTTTGAATCAGATAAGCAGAAATGATCTCATTAAACTCAAGTAGTACACAATACATTGCTTTTTTCTTCTTTCAGACAATCATGGGTGATGTTTGTTTCTGTGGTCAGTTTGATGGTGTGGTCAGTTTGATGGTGTATGTTACTGTGGCCAGTTTGATGGTGTTACTGTGGTCAGTTTGATGGTGTATGTTACTGTGGTCAGTTTATGGTGTATGTTACTGTGGCCAGTTTGATGGTGTATGTTACTGTGGCCAGTTTGATGGTGTATGTTACTGTGGCCAGTTTGATGGTGTATGTTACTGTGGCCAGTTTGATGGTGTATGTTACTGTGGTCAGTTTGATGGTGTATGTTACTGTGGCCAGTTTGATGGTGTATGTTACTGTGGTCAGTTTGATGGTGTATGTTACTGTGGCCAGTTTGATGGTGTATGTTACTGTGGCCAGTTTGATGGTGTATGTTACTGTGGTCAGTTTGATGGTGTATGTTACTGTGGTCAGTTTGATGGTGTATGTTACTGTGGCCAGTTTGATGGTGTATGTTACTGTGGTCAGTTTGATGGTGTATGTTACTGTGGCCAGTTTGATGGTGTATGTTACTGTGGTCAGTTTGATGGTGTATGCTACTGTGGTCAGTTTGATGGTGTATGTTACTGTGGTCAGTTTGATGGTGTATGTTACTGTGGTCAGTTTGATGGTGTATGTTACTGTGGTCAGGTTGATGGTTTATGTTACTGTGGTCAGGTAGATGGTGTATGTTACTGTGGTCAGTTTGATGGTGTATGTTACTGTGGCCAGTTTGGAGGTGTATGTTACTGTGGTCAGTTTGATGGTGTATATTACTGTGGCCAGTTTGATGGTGTATGTTACTGTGGCCAGTTTGATGGTGTATGTTACTGTGGTCAGTTTGGTTATGTATGTTACTGTGGTCAGGTAGATGGTGTATGTTACTACAGCTTGACAGTGTATGTTACTCATATGACACTTTCTACTACTTGACAGTCATACAGTTACATGACCAAATAACCAAACAAAATACTTGGGCCATGGTTTGATATTTTTTTTACTCAGCTTTAGTTCAAATTTTGAAGAAAAAAAATCTATATTGATACCAATATAGAAAGAAAAGGCCAGGGAAAAGAAGAAAAAAAAGTTTAAATTAGAGACGGTCTAATGTTAACTGCAGCCTAGGCTAGTTTTGTCAGTGGCTGACTTACCCTGACCTATAGGTTGTGGGGGCGCGTGTGGTTGGAACTGTGGTAGCCACAGCAGGTTTGGATGTGGTGGATAACACACTGCCACGTGTGGTGGGTACCACACTACTTTTTGTGGTGGATAGAACACTGCTGCGTGTGGTGGATACCAAACTACTTTTTGTGGTGGATGCCACACTACTTTTTGTTGTGGATACCAAACTACTTTTTGTGGTGGGGTAGTTATATGTTGTAGAGCCGTAATAGGGGAGTGTGGTGTAGTAGTTGGGAGATGTTGTGTAATCTGGTGTATAGTAGTAATACGGAGGTGTGGTGATATATGGGGGTGTGGTGTAGTCTGTATTGTAGTAATATGGGGGTGTGGTGATATAAGGGGGTGTGGTGTAGTAGCTAGGGGATGTTGTGTAGTCCGGTGTATAGTAGTAATACGGAGGTGTGGTGATATACGGAGGTGTGGTGTAGTAGCTAGGGGATGTTGTGTAGTCTGGTGTATAGTAGTAATACGGGGGTGTGGTAATATAGGGGTGTGTGGTGAGGTAACTAGGGGATGTTGTGTAGTCCGGTGAGTAGTAGTAATACGGAGGTGTGGTAATATACGGGGGTGTGGTGTAGTAGCTAGGGGATGTTGTGTAGTCTGGTGTATAGTAGTAATACGGAGGTGTGGTGAGGTAACTGGGTGATGTTGTGTAATCTGGTGTACTGTAGTAATATGGGGGTGTGGTGATATACGGGGGTGTAGTGTAGTCAATATAGAAGAAATATGGGGTAGTTGTGACGTATGGAGCTGTTGTGTAGTCTGGTGTGCTAGGATATGATGGTAAGCTCTTAGTGGTGGTGATGATGGCTCTCTTTCCTACTGCAGCTGTAGTTGTGTTTAGGGGTTTAGCTGTTGTTGTGGTGGTAACATTAGTAGATGCTGTGGTGGTATTGAGAGGTTTAGCTGTCGTGGTGGTGGTCACATTGGTTGGGGCTGTGGTGGTGTTTAAGGGCTTAGCGGTTGTTGTCGTGGTGAGGTTAGTTGGTGATGTGGTGGTATTTAAGGGCTTAGCGGTTGTTGTCGTGGTGAGATTAGTTGGTGCAGTGGTGGTGTTGAGGGGTTTAGCTGTAGTCGTTGTATTTAAAGGTTTGGCTGTGGTCGTGGTGTTAAGCGGTTTAGCTGTGGTGGTGGTTGTTGTGGTGGTTGTGGTTGGCACCCAGTTGTCGTAGGACGAGTTGGGGGACTGGAAGTTGTAGTAACTGAAGCTGGCGTCGACCGCCTGCTTGCACCTGTCCACGTAGGGGGTCGAGCTGTTGACGCTGGTGAAGGTCAGGTTTCCTGCAGCCGACCCCACCCCTCCCGTGGGGGACAGAATCGTCTCGTTCTTGTAGGCACTCGCGGCGATGGTCAGCTGTGGACAGGTGAGTACATTTACGTGTAGGTCATATGTGGTCAGGTGAGTACATTGACGTGTAGGTCATATGTGGACAGGTGAGTACATTTACGTGTAGGTCATATGTGGTCAGGTGAGTACATTGACGTGTAGGTCATATGTGGACAGGTGAGTACATTTACGTGTAGGTCATATGTGGTCAGGTGAATACATTTACGTGTAGGTCATATGTGGTCAGGTGAATACATTTACGTGTAGGTCATATGTGGTCAGGTGAGTACATTTACGTGTAGGTGTAGGTCTGTGTGCAAGTAGACATGAGCAGTGGCGTCACTAAGTCAGTTATCACCCGGTGCGGCAACTAAGGGCGTCACCCCACCCTCTTTAAAAACATTTGCCAAACATACCAGCCTACTTTACATCACGAACTAACTAACCCTACTATTAAATCTGCTGTTTTAGGCCATGTTTTGTAGGCATCTTCCAATTCCATCAACAAGAAAATCAAGAAATCGAGGCTAATGCTAGTAATACCGTACGTTCATTAGTTGCTCAAGATTTCGCACACAAAATATCATAATGTGTCGTGTATATTATAAGGCACACTGAAAATAATATGTTCTTCATTGGAATCCACAAGGCGGATTATATTTCGTGTTCAAAGTTTGAGAAGTGGGTGTTAAAACAGGAAGAAAAGCGTGGGCAACTGTGTGGAAAGATTTGCACATTGTACATGATATCCTAATGACAGCGGCCACTACTTACTTGAAATCCACGAGCCGTAACATCAAGGTCAGTGAGGAAGTTGAGGGTGAAGTTTGACCGTTTAGGTATCAGGTAGCGGAAGGTTTGACCAGTTGACCAGTTGCCGCAGAAATTGACGCCGTTGATACACAGACTGTCCGGCCTACATTTCAGGTCTAGCTCAACGTCAAACACGCTGTAACAAGCCCAGTGATTGGTCAGTTTAAATGTAATGTCGGTCGTGATGAACGAATGAAGAAAAAAGATACACAAAGCAGAGGCGTAGTGGCCCACTCCGGCGCCCAGGGCGAACTATCAACTTTGCGCCCCCCCCTTTTCCCCTAACTATATATAACTATTCAAGTTGGTAAACAAAAAAGCCCCCCCCCCCCTATTAGAAAAGGCTGGTTGAGCTTATCACAAGTCATTATCTAGAAAACATTGAAATAAACTGTGAAGCAAAATAGCAGTCGAAACTCAGAATGAGATTTTTTTCACCCACCCTCTCATCGCTACGCCTTTGACCCAAATATATAGTGATATATATATATATATATATATATATATATATATATATATATATATATATATATATATATATATATATATATATATATATATATATAGTGATTTAAGCCTTCATATTGCATGCATATTTACATGGCTTAGATTGGGATGGGTTGGGTTGAGTCCTTTTGACTTTGCATGAGAGCTGCTGTGTACGCAATCGTATGTGTCCACCCAAGTAAATATTTTATGTACTTTTACTGGAACTTAAGCATTGAATGCATTAGCATTTATTTCTGTCTTAGTTGATGTTTCAGCGGCAACTACGGTAGGCCCTACGGTGTATCTGAGGGTGACGTCAGTTACCATAGAAACAACATGAAGTGACTTCACTAACCACACAACGTTACGTGACATTAGTTACGTCAGACGCAACAAACGTGACGTTAATAACCAACTTGACGTGACGCCACTAACCACAGAATTTGACATGAGGTCACTAACCACAGAACTTGACGTGACGTCACTAACCACAGAACTTGACGTGACGTCACTAACCACAGAACTTGACATGAGGTCACTAACCACAGAACTTGACGTGACGTCACTAACCACAGAACTTGACGTGACGTCACTAACCACAGAACTTGACGTGACGTCACTAACCACAGAACTTGACGTGACGTCACTAACCACAGAACTTGACGTGACGTCACTAACCACAGAACTTGACGTGACGTCACTAACCACAGAACTTGACGTGACGTCACTAACCACAGAACTTGACGTGACGTCACTAACCACAGAACTTACTCGAACGTGAGGTTGACGAGGAGGGGCTGGTCCTGGGTGCGGAGCATGACGTTACACTTGACGTTGTTGCGGTAACTGCCGCTGGTGTAGCCGCCGCTCCTGAGGACACCACCAGAGCCGGCGTCTACCTGGACCACGCTCGACTTGGAACTGTTGCAGAACTCTACGACCGGCAGGCTGGCCTGTGGATGTACGGTGGTTTTGTTCCGGTGAGTTTTTGCATCAGTCGTAAATATACTCAAAAAGACACCTAAACACACAAACACACACACCACCCCCCAACCCACCCCCACCCCAACGAAAACTGTTAATTGAATCACTACTGCGAAAAGGGGAGTTAAAATTGTAGTAACGATTCGTTGATAAGATCATCTAAATTACAGATAAAATAGAGTTAACTGTCTCCCTCTTCCACAAAATGCTAGGTACTCATTAGAGCTGGATATATAGTAAGCCTAATATGTTTACACTTCTGTTGATATATGATGACTACAATTAAAATCAATGCAATATTTAAGTACAAGACATACGCACATTCTTATTTGACGCATATAACCCCCTACAAAGCGCACTTACATTTGCTCTCTCAAGACTCACTAAACGCACATTACAGACGCACTTACAAGATACACATCATTACAGACGCACTTACCTGTCTCCTAATAACGAATGAGGAAGTAGTGACCACCAAAGCAGTCACCACCAAAAGTGCGAGTTGCCACTGTGTCACCATCTTCAGTGCTGTGGTTGTTTCCGTCTTTCACTGAAGTCCGGTGGGACAGTTTTAATATAGCAAATAGCTGTAGACATTCGGGTGTTTGGTGACATCCAATATGGCATATCAGGTTACACACAGGTGGGCTGTTCTCACGAGACCTTGGGAGTTTTGGTACGGCGGGTTTGGGGAGAGTGGATCAAAGTAAACAGAAGTGTCGACAATTTGATGCTGTCCGACTGATTCGGTGGATTGTGAGTTGTTTTTTTTTATATTTTTAAACAATGCTGGGTTTAAAACTAGAAACAATTATAAATAATGTTACCGCTCCTATTGTCTAGAGTGCAGTGGCGTAGCGAGGTCGGGTGTCACCCGGTGCGGCACATTATGGTGTCACGCCCCCAGAGGCATAGAGACCCTTCCCAGGGACAAACTTTCAAATTTTCGATTTGCACCCCTCTCAAACTTTCGATTGCACCCCCCCCCTCAAGTTTTCGATTTGCACCCCCCCTCAAACTTTCGATTTGCACCCCCCCTCTCTATATATTTTGCTATTTTTTGCCTTGGTGTCACCCCCCTAAATGGTGTCACCCGGTGCGGTCCGCACCCCCCGCCCCCCCCCCACCCCCCATCGCTACGCCCCTGCTAGAGTGATAACTATATCCCTGACGGTGAAGAAGAAGATGCTGGCCGAATCATCAGTTTCTTCCAGGCATCTCTTGGGAAAGTCTACGGCCCCTACCCCCTAAACTTGATGGATTTTATATAGTAAACATATACTTTTACTACTGACCCCCCCCCCCCCCCCGAATATCAAGTGCACCCCCGGAGAAAAAAGTCTGGAAGAAACACTGCGAATCATCGTAGTTAGGTAAAAGTGTTTTATATTTTTATTTTTTTTTAATTTTATTTTTTTAGAGTATGCTTCAATGCAAATCAAGTCTTAACTTTCCTAATGGTGATTATCACCCCCCCCTTCACCCCCTACCTCTCAAAACTCTATTTTTAGGCGCAAGATACTCTAGGAGTATAGTGTGAGAGAAATATCATCGTCTAACAAGTTCAAGGCTGAAGTCTTTGATTCTTCAAAACCTAGCCACGATACTTTGGTTTACTGAGGCAACAAAAATGGGGGACATTTTTCTAAATAAGGATATTTTTCACTTATTTTATAGGCATATATATATATATATATATATATATATATATATATATATATATATATATATATATATATATATATATATATATACTCATATATATAGATTATATATATATGTGTGTGTGTATAATCATATATATATATATAATATATATATATATATATATATATATATATATATATATATATATATATATATATATATATATATATATATATATATATATATATATATATATATATATATGCCTATGTACATGTGAGATGAAATCAATGAAGGTAAACAAAGATCGTATTCTAGTCTTCGGTCACCTGCTCGCGAGTCGTCTGTCGGTTCGATCATTGGAGCTGAGTACGTTGTGTAATTAGCAGGGCTAATGTGCTTAGGGTAAACAAAGGTAATTAAACAAGGTAATTAAACAACGTCATCCAGTATCTTACGATGCGCGCGTGTAACCAGTTGGTGATGGTGTTCTCAGTTGTTGAAGGGTGACACCAAATTTCCCAGTAAATGAAGAATGACAACTTTCCTAATAAGGTGACACCAACTTTCGCCTGTAGGTAAAAGGTGACACCAACTTTCGCCTGTAGGTAAAAGGTGACACGACTTTCCCCTGTAGGTAAAAGGTGACACCAACTTTCCCCTGTAGGTAAAAGGTGACACGACTTTCCCCAATAAGTAAAAGGTATCACACTAACTTTACCCAGTAGATGGTGGGTGATACTATTAACTATTTCACTATCAGAAATTGACAAGCAATTCTAGTACCCAATGAAGAAACAGATAAAATAGGAAGGCCGGGGTATGTTTGATTGTCTGTATTCTAGTAGCGCCCTTTGAGAGTACGAAAAAAAGAGTTATCATGCTGGGTAAAACAAAAATACGGATTTAGATTAGATGAAATGTTGTGGTTGAGGGTGACGTGGGTAGGGTGTGATGTGGATGTCAACCAGTTTTAAACATTAGACGTTACAGACTATTTAAAGAAATGTCAACATTGTACATCTTGTGTTATAGTTTTACTCAACATCCGGTGAAAACAAGCAAAAAACCACGCTGTCTGTTGAAGGCCAGAAATTTCAGAGTTTTTATCCAACCTGCAAACTTTTATGGCGAACTGTAAATAAAAATGTATTTGTAATTACATATATATATATATATATATATATATATATATATATATATATACATATATATATATATATATATATATATATATATTATTTTTAAAAAGTATTTATGTTTACTTAAATAATAAAAATGGCGTTACGGTAAAAATAAAACATTTAGTTATAACCAAACAATTTGAGTTTGGGGGTAGTACAGATAGACACAGCATGCTACAACATCAGAGAAACATTTGGACTGTTTTATAAAAATAAGGTGAAATGGATATCTTCGGCTGTTTCTTAAGAATTAACCCAAACCCTATCACCCATATAGTCTGCTCAGAATTAAACACACATTTATCAGACACTCATGATGTGTTAACATATAGGTCTAAACCACTGCACATCCAACATATCAAACATTAAAATTGTTTTTTTTTTTTAATATTTTCGCCGTAGGTCTGTATAAAAAGAGTATCAAATTAAGCCACTTCCACCACCACCACCCCCCTCCCTCCCCTCCCCCCCCCCCCCCCCCACCTTGTTCCGGCCAGTCTCAACCAGTCTGGAATCGGCTGACTGGAGTTTCCGTTACATTTGTCCCTGTACGTCTTGGCGAACTGGTCGTTGAAGACAGTGGTGACGTAAGCAACGTGTTTCTCGCTGGCGCCATTTCCGGCGTCTGCTACGGTCACGTGACTGCTAGTGGCCGTGAAGGCCTGCACCACGGCCTAGGGGTAGAAACATAGTGACCACTGGTGGCAGATTGTTCTAGAAAATGTTTGAATGATAAATTAAAATTTTGTTTTCCCCTGATTGTGATGACAGCTGTGTCTGTAGAAAAAAACAACTGATCTCATCTTAGACTAAATAACTAAATACTTGGCCGCCTAGGGGTCGTCCATAAATGACGTCACACTCGTAGGGGGAGGGGGGTCCGTAATTTTGTGACTGTGTGCGATGAGGGGGGTGGGGGGGTTCAGATGGTGTGACGTCACACTTTAGCATTTAAAAAAGCAATGTTAGAAAACGAATTTTAGCCGTAATTTACGTTTTAGAAAACTGTTTTTTTTAAAATTCTAATAGGAATTGATTACGATACTCTATGTTGACAGAGTTCAGACAAGATTTGGAAAAATTAAAAAATATCGTATTTTAAGCAAATTCAACAGCAATTTTGAGGGGGGGGGGTGTAGTCTGAGGCTTCTGGTTTTTTGTGACGATGTGTGACGGAGAGGAGGGAGGAGGAGGTAAAAATCGTCAAAAAAGCGTGACGTCATTTATGGATGACCCCTTACATCGCTAGAAAATAAAATTATACTAATACATTTTTAAAGCGATTCACAAAAGAGTTTGAGGGGTGTTGCAAATCGAAAATTTGAGGGGGGGCTGCAAATCGAAAATTTGAAAGTTTGTCCCCGGGAAGGGTCGCTACGCCTCTGGGGGGTGACACCATTAAGTGCCGCACCGGGTGACATCCGACCTCGCTACGCCACTGCCGGGGGGAGCACTTGAAATTTTCGGGGGGGGGGGAGACTTTCTTCGGGGGGGGGGGGGGGGCGGACACTGTTAAAAGTATATATTTTCTATGTAAATTATATAAATTTCATTTCGTTCAGAGGGGCGGTAGACTTTTTTCCATATGCCTGGAAGAAACTCTGTTGACTTGTCTAAGTCCTCGCGACTCCACGTGGGGACATAAGACCTCAGCCAATATTATCTTCCGTTTAGTCCGGTCCGAAAAAGGCAATTAGACATCCCTGCGGTCTTTAGCCTACTCTCGAACCCAGCTTTTTAACCTACACATTTTTAGGTGTCAGCAAAACAGCAAATTACGAGTCCAGCGTTTTAACTACCACATTTTTGGTGTGTACAACAGAACGACTAACCTCGAACCCAGCTTTGGTAACCATGACATCAGATTTGAAGTACATGGTAAACGTGCTATTTGCAGGCACGATGTATTCGAAGATCCGATTGGACGGCCAGTCACCACAAAACCTCACGCCGTGTACACACAACCAAGTGTAGTCACATGACCCGGGGTACAAGACTAACTCCAGGTCAAAAGAGCTGAAGTTTGGGAAAAAAAATTCTTGGTTAATTTATCGCAAATAGATTCATTTAATTTTTTTTTCAACTTTTGAACACCACCAAAGAAAGTGGCGATAGATTGCCAAAAGAAAGATTGTTTTAGAGTCTATCTTACTCAATTGGTCGCCGTCTGTCTAAAATTTAGACAGACGGCGACCAATTGAGTAAGATAAAACCTCATCACTAGTCACTCCGGAGAAAAAAACAGACCAAGAAAAACCTAGAGACTCAGAGAGTAAGACAAGAGAGGTGGGTAAAAACTGAGGACAGATAGAGGCACTCGCCCAGGAGACAGTTGCCAGGAAGGCTCTTGTAGAAGGACAATGTCCAGAGTTTCTTCCAGGTATCTCATGGGGGGGGGGAGAAATAAGTCTGGAAGAAACACTGACAATGTCCCAGTGGAACTGCAGGCTCTGTATGGCCTAAGTCTATACCTATAACTTTATTCATATGAGAAGCAAACAGCGTGGTTATAGTAGTGGTTGTATCACCCTTAACCAAACTACAGGGAACTGACTATCATTGTATGATGAGTGAAATTACTTAAACTTAAATTGTATGATGGGGAACTCAGTGGACACAAGCGAGAAAAGTCTCAAAGGTATTTGAGAGGTGCATAAATTAATTTAAAAATCTTGCACGGCGTAGTTACAATTAATATGGTTATAAAATCCTGTCTGTCTGGTTTTTTTCGGACTTTACTAAAGATTGGACGTATTTGATGTTTTTAATATTTTCGGTAACTAAATAAAAATTTTAAAAAAAGCAAAAACAATTTGGTTTTCACGTGTAATGGCGACATAAACAATGGCTTCCTGCTATTGGATAGGCCGACATAAATTTTATTGTTCACATTGTAAGCTAAAAATAGAAAACTAGGTCATGGGGTTTTAAATTTGCATTGTTATTTAAAAACTTGATCTGCAAAGTTTTGTAAACAAATAGTTATCGATCACTAAGTTACTGTACAGCCAATCAATATTTGTCTTACGAAAGTGAAACATCCGGTTATAACTTAGGCTTGATGAAAATAAATAGAAATGTAGCCTTAAACTCAACAAATTATTTTCAAGTTATCTGGATTTGCAACTTTTATAGCACTTATTCTAAAAATATAAAATTTCTAAATTAATTTTAGGCTTAAGTTTTTTTTTTTTTTTTTTTTTTTTTTTTTTTTTTTTTTTTTTTTTTTTTACGGTCTAAATCTAAAAAGCACGTTTTTATTCCATGTCAACAACACTATGGAAGGAATCTTGTCAACTCGCTTGTCTCCATTAGATTATATGATGGTGTTAGGGTTAGCTCTTATATTGTATGATGTGGAACTCACTTGTATTTTATGATGGGGAACTCAATTATATTGTATGTTGAGGGAACTCACTTTTATTGTATGTTGGGGAACGCAATTATATTGTATGTTGGGCAACTCAATTATATTGTATGTTGGGCAACTCAATTATATTGTATGTTGGGCAACTCAATTATATTGTATGTTGGGCAACTCAATTATATTGTATGTTGGGCAACTCAATTATATTGTATGGTGGGCAACTCAATTATATTGTATGTTGGGCAACTCAATTATATTGTATGGTGGGGAACTCACTTATATTGTATGTTGGGCAACTCAATTATATTGTATGGTGGGGAACTCACTTATATTGTATGATGGGGAACTCACTTATATTGTATGATGAGAAACAAAGCTTCGGGTCCAGTTTTGAAGACGACTTTACACCGGATATTCCCCTGGGTTCGTCGTTCGTCAATGTTCGGGCTACGTACGGAAACGGACGACTGGTGCCGAAGCAATACTTCGGTGACGTCACCATCGTTGCATAGTGTTACGTTGTAGTCTGGAGGCTGAACCAAAGAATTAAGAAAACACAAAATGTATGTATACCAGAGTTTCTTCCATAGTTTCTTCCAGGCATCTCTTCGCGGGGGGGGGGGGGCGGAGCTGGAGAAAGTCTACCGCCCCTCCCTCCGAACAAAATGGAATTTATATAGAAAATATATACTTTTAACAGTGACCGCCCCCTTCCCCCCCCCCCCCCCCCCCCCGAAAATTTCAAGTGCCCCCCCCCCCCTCCCAGAGAAAAAGTCTGGAAGAAACACTGATGTATACACACACACACACATATATAAATATATACATACATATATGTAACTGGGGTAGGCCTAGCTACCAGTTACAAATGATAACGAACGATAAGCCGCGACGCAGATTGCAATCTGATGCAACCATAACAGGTGGCTTATTAGATCGGACGGATAACAACCTCAAAGCCAACGCGTGCTATTTTGGGAAATGGTACGAAGAGATTCAGACGATCTGTCAACTTTGATTGATGGGATGCAGATGTTTTATTGGATCGGACTGTACGTCAGAGACTGCGCCGTTGGTATTCGGAGACATCGATTACAAGTATCGATTACGGAAATGGATACAAGTACGACTACGATTTCAAGGGATAAATAGGAGGGGACGGCTGAACTCGACCCTTTTCCCTCTTACCTCTTTCATCGCTCGCTTTAGATCAGTCAGTCTGTGTGACTATGTCAAGTCGGTTATAGAACGGGTTAGCCGTATTGTGTTAAGAAGGATTATAGACATGTGGATTCAGTTATATAAAGCCTAGTGAAGGACTGTTAGGGGTCAGTTGATTCAGACTATTATTGAGAAGCATTCCTGTTGATTTATTGTGTTATTATGAAGCATTTCTTGATTCATGTAATAAAGGATCAATAGCGAACCTGCATCTTGAGTATCTATACTGTGGTCAATGTTGTCTAGAATGAGTGGTTAAACTCGTTAACACGTGGCACTACAGGCAATTAGGTCTCATTACATGTGGCGTTGCGAGCATGGTAACTGTTGGCTCGTTACAATTGGCGTTGTCGGCAGGATAAATGTTCGCCCGTTACATATATATATATATACAAGTATATATATATATACTTGTATATATAGTTGTATATATATAGTTGTATATATATCGTTGTATATATATACTTGTATATATATATGTATATATATATATATGTATATATATATATATATATATATATATATATATATATATATATATATATATATATATATATATATATATATATATATATATATATGGGATTAGCTAAACGATTGTTTAGATCTATTTTAAATTAACATTATTTATGTCATTCGACGTCACAGCGAATAATCCCCACCACCAGTTACACTTGATGTGTTCTGAAAACTGTGTGCCATCTGTCAACCCCCCCCCCCCCCCCCCCCCCATGATTATGAGGTATTCACTACTCACCTGTGTTGAGTCGACCGAGTTTGCCTTGTTGATGAAGACGGTGCTAACGACAACAAGCAGATAAAACCCCAACATCTTATCGTGTTCGTGGAACATCACATTGCGGGGCCGTAACCGCGACACACATGTAAATTAACCACGAGTTATCGAACTTCATTTCATCGACCATTCAAACTTTCCCTTACAACTGTGACCACATTAGACCATCAAAACATTGTCGTACAACTACACACTTAGTTACAGTTGCGATTAAATTAGGTCGTTATAGGAAGGGACATAACTCATGAAATTAATCCAAACGAAATTTTAAACGCAGTTGTCTAGCTTGATTCCTATGTGTCACCATATGTGTACCACTATCGTGTTTGTAAATCGATTTTTATAAAAAGTGAAATCTATTTTTTTTTTAAATAATAAATGTGATTTTCATTTTAATCCAGTCGATAAATTACGTACTGGAAAAATCTAGTCGATCTATTAGCTAACACTCTTTTTCTCATACGAGTGAAGCCTACGACAATATTTGACTACACGACCATGTAATTTCCTGTTAGATGCGAGACAGTTGCGGCCACCTTGATGTGATATAGCCGACCATGATACCCGAACCAAAACCAACGTTTGTATGGTGTACTATAGAGTTAATTAATTATGTGACTCTTTAAAGTCACCACCGGCATTCATGAAATCTAGATGAAAAACTTTCCACTCATATAAACCTAAATGCGACACATCACTCTCCCCTCTTAACCCCTTTCCCAATAGCTAACTGAATTTCATCTATGTGAAATTAAAATTGTCAGTACAAAAGCGCGTGCGTGCCTATTTGCTCGTCACAATATTTAAGTCTGTATCGATTTATTGGAAAATATGCTACATACTAAACCCAGATCAGAATATCGGATTTTCTAGAGTTTTAAGTGTAGGCTTGGTTGACCACTCTTCTCTAATTTTTTTCTATTATTTTAACTGGCTAAAACATTATTTTTACAGTAAATTGAGTGTACTAAAAACAAACACGGCTTTAACTTTAACAAAACAAATACAAAAACACAAGAGCAGCATAACTTTATGGTATGTACATTCAGTATACAGCGTGGGCAGAAAACGACAGAAGATCGATCTGGCAATGAAGAACGATACTTGCAAACGATACTTGTATTTCTCTGCTCAGCTGACACGTAGTGAGCAACACATGGTCAAACGGAGGAGGGGGGGGGGACTACATTGTATTCCTAAATAGAGCAATAATTTGGTATTTTAATTTCATGGTGTGTGTCAGTGGTGATATCCATTGTATACAGGTTTCATTGTGTTGTTCCATTGTCCTGATTATCCCATTAAAATCTCCACCACCCCCCCCCCCCCCCCTTCAACATTATCCTGCAATAAACCATCCTTACTCTCGTGGCATGAAACAAATCGTTGGCAAGCTGATCCTAGAATTAACTGTAATATCACTAACACAGATGGTGGATCTGTTTTCGGGCTTAGTAAAGATACCATCTTGAGTGAATGGGTAAACAAAGTTGTCCTCCCACAAAAATAATGATAAAAGACTATCACATGTTTAAAAAAAATTGAGTTTTATTCGTTGTTAGACTATTACATCATGTACCAAAATATTGAATACAAATCTCGACCAAAGTATTTCAGGTTTACAATAGCATCATTGTAGTTGTTTTTAATTGTGTAGTCTTATTAACAGATTGATTGTAACAAAATTTTGTTGGTAATTAATTGATTCTGAACCAGCTTAAAAATAGATCAGTTATATTTGGACAACCAGAAAGAAAATTATCATTTTCTACAAGCTAAAATTTTAACCAATCAAATAAAACTTGGCATTTTATTTTGTGATCAAATGGCAAATATTGCATTTAAATCTTTAAAAAATAAACATATAAAATTATAAGGGTATGATAAAACACCGACCCTAGTTAAAAACAGTTAATTGTACAGTTAAACCATGTACAACCAAAAATATATCAGACGTCAAATAAACCAAAAGCAGGTAGACTGGTGAAGTTATCAGCCAACAACCCGCTGTGTTTAGGTTGCCAGCATCATGTGACCACTCAAGATCCGGCTTAGGTTCATTTCTCTGTGACATATTATTGGTTGGAGCAACACCTGTCACACTACACCATCAATAAAATATTTATAGGTAAAACCATTCACCCACTTCATACATTTTAAATGTAATAGATCTCTCAAAATCAAAGGGCAGGTTCAAGTAAATACTTTTTAAAAATTGGTTTTGAAACAAAGTAAAATTGGTCTTAAAATGTAATACTTCTGATCAATTAAAATGTAGTTAACAACAAAAGGGAAGACTAATTCGTAAAAATATTCAACAAAAACTAACCCATTTTTTAAGAACTTTAAAATGATTTCTGTATCATGGGTTCTTTCATAATGTTTAAAACAGAGGCTTTTCTTTCAACAAACTGAACAAACTCAGGATAAATTGCACATTTTCTGTGTAGCAGATATAAATCTGCTACAAAAGCTTGGTCATGTACCAGTTAAAAGAATTTTTGAACACAATGAAATTATTTTTTCTCTTACATCTAAACAATTTTACAACAAAAAAAATCTAAAGTGTTAAAAAAATATTTCAGTAAATTGATTTAACTAATGTGGTTATACAAATAAGAGTTTTCCCTCAATAACTACAAATGTTTAAGAAATAATATCACACTTGACTGAACTTTAATAACAGAAGAAAATGAAATCAACAAATGTAAAAAGGTAGGGATTCATTTTAAAAAGGAACATCTTCATGACCAGAATAAATAAAATAAATAAACACTACATACTATGAATCTCAAGTTTTTGTCTTTTAATGAGATACAAATAACATCCTTAAATCAGACTACTTACTTTCAAAACTTTTAAAGATATTATAAATCTCTTTTACTTTTTTCAACCTATTAAAAGAGAGAATCGTCACACACATGTAATAGATACACAATCAAGTATGACAACTGTAAGAAAAAAAAAACTTTCCACAGTGCTAAATAAATGGACAAGTACACAGTCAAGCTAAACTAAGTCACTCTGCTACAAGTCTACCCTTTTACTATTTTCTACCTGGATCTCTACATAGGGACCATTCAAATACTCATCAGGAACCACGGCTGCAGAATTTGGTTTCTTGTAGAAGCCTTTGCGCAGCAGAAGCTCGTTACATTCTTGCTGATCAAAAGGACTTAGGTCAATAACCTGTGAAGGGGTAAAAAAAAGTTAACACCAGGTAAAAGACAACTGGCTGAACTAGTAGTTAACACAGTAGTTGATGGAAGAAAGAATTAACAAACTACCTCCAATATGTCCCCACTAACATTAAGCAGCTGAAGCTCAGGACTTGCACCAGGTTTAGCCTTGAACTCAACATTATGACTGAATAAAGAGTTAAGAAACATATCACAGGATTTCATTAGCTAAAAATTTAAAATAATTAAATGATTAGAATTTTTTTTAAAAAACAAGGCGAAAGGATACAACAGAGGGAGATCCCGGTTGATGAACCTCTTAACCTCTGGAAGCTTGTTCAATCGTCATCCAGTGCAGCTCTGTTGAGTATAGTTGAAAAATGTTATTGTGAATTTCAAGCATTAGGCCTAAGCTTTTAATAAAAATTATAATTTCTTTGCACAGAATTCTATGAAAGTAGCCTACTTACTTATCAAGGCTATTTTAAAATATGAATATTTTTGGATTACTAGCTTGAAACTATTTATAATCAGGGCCTAGATGTTAACTTAATTTAATCCATTTAATCTTCTGCATAAAAAACAACAGACTATTAAAAATGTAAAACTAGTTAGATCTAAATATGTAATAAAAATCTAGACTAAATCTAGTAGATCTAGAAAAGAATTAAGAAGCATAGGCCTAGCAAATCAATTTCGGAAAAAAAGTCAGGAAAAGCTACTTGTCTTTTTTTAAACTAGCCAAGCGAATCGAAAGTAAAGCATGTAAATATAGATTTCTAGTTGGTCTATGTGTAATTTAAAGATTCCTAATATAAATAGTTTTTTAAAAGAAGGAAACTTACGACAACTTTAGCACTCATAACTCCATCCGTAGCATTAACTGGAAATAGAGTTATTAAAATTAAAAAGACAGTACACGTCAGCATTTGCGTGGCACCCATGTTTGTTAATGTTTACTGCTTTGCTAGTGACCAGCCGGATTGCCAGATCAAAATGTTAATAACTCTTTTAAAATTCATAGGGAGTGACACATTCACATAGGGCCTACTATCAGATGAATTGGGGGGGGGGGGAGTATTTTTTATTAATTCCAGCCAAATTAATCAAAGAAGCCAATATATATTGTATATAAATATCTAATTATCATTTGGATTTTGAAGTTCAAATGCCTTTTGTTGAGGTCCATCTTACGGGCATACATAGCCCCTACGCTAATATGGATAAGAAAAATATGAAGACATGTTTTAATTTATGTTTTAGTCAGAAGTTATTTTGAATGACAGTTGCTCGGGTTACATTTCTTTTAGGGATAGAAACTTCGTCTCTTGCTACTTGTATCGAGTCTATATGCCTATAAAATGCAACAAAAAAAAAGCAAATGTATTGCGCCAATATGACACAAATGACCAACCATTCTTGCAGCTTATCTTTTCTTATGACTAAGAGAGCTCTATTACTTTTTTTTAATGTATGAATTATGTTGTTAATATTATGTTAATTATTTACAACGGTTTATTGATTATCTGTAGCGTATCACACACACAAAAAAGTTTAATCTATAGTTTCTATAGTTTCTAAAAGGCATTAATTTTTTTCAAGCAGAATTCTACCTCGTGTAGAAAAATTAACTTTTATTAAAAATAATTTATATCGCTAATATTCTAATTAGCCTCCACCTCCACGGTGTTTTAGGGATTCTAATCTAGATCTATAGCTGTAACTACAAGACGATTGAAAGTTCCTTTAAATGATACCTGGGTAATTCATTAATTAATCATTTTATTACGTTACAAGAAAATCATATACAAGTATAGGCCCTACTTAGATCTACACACAAAAAAATATCAATTTGCCCGAACAGCGTGTTTTGATAGAACTAAAGGCGGTAGAGATAAGTATAGAGAAGGTGCCTGCTACAGTGCTAGTCAAAACAGACACTGGCGTTGGCTCATCGTAATTCGTCATCACGGGCCGCTAAGGCTGCGTTTACACTACACGTCGGCAGACCGAATTTCTGTTTCTGGCAACAAGGCCGAACAACTGGAAAGCAAACAAAAAGTATAATCCAGTACTGTTGGTTACACTAGATCCGAACTCATCGTCCGAGTCTTCAGGCACCTGATGATGAACTTAAAATTTTGTTTCTGTTCTGACGGAAAACACATTCTGATGAAAATTTATCTGGCAGGGATAAACAAAAAAGAAAATGGAGGGCTTCAGTACAAATAACGTTGTTGTGGTACTTGACACGGAGAAGCTTATTTTACTAGTTCAAGAGAGAACGCCACTATGGGATACATCGAACCCATGCTACCACAATAGAGACATCTCAAAAAAATTATGGTCTGAAATAGCTGATGAACTCGGATGTACAAGTTGAGTAACAAATTGAGTCATTGTTGTGATGTGATTCTATATTCTATATTCTATACTATACTGAGTATATACTGTAGTATATACTTAACTGCTTAACTACTAGAATACTAGATCTAGATCTAGACCTAGATTCTAGACTCTAGCTTACTTTAGTCTAGACTCTAGCTTACTTTAGTTTAGACTTTTAGACTAGCTTTAGTTTAGAGTTTAGACTTTAGCGGCTTAGCCCCACTTTTACTAGATTCTCTAGATCTAATCTAGATCTAGATCTACTAGTCTAGATCTAGTACTAGTAGATCTGGTAAAATCACGATATAGCGTCGGTTATTATTCCAGAACTGTACAGCAGTAAAAAACAGTAAAATCATGGCGTAGTCTGTCGAGCCGTTCCGGAAACCACCGGAAATACTGTAAACCATCATTTATTTGCCGCCATATTATTTTTAATACATGTTTAAAAATGTGCAAGGATTGATTTTAGTTGCATTTTAAATACTGTTTTGCTAATTATTTTGTATTTCTAATTATTTTAAGTGTATGTGCTAATTATTGCTGCTACTAAACATTATTCTAGTTATTCTTACTACTTTTAACTTTAGTTAATCTAATCGTCTTATTTACTAACAGAACAAGAGCTGGTTGTCGCAAATCTTCTGCAGTTTTTTTCTGTTTCTTAAAGAAAAAAAAATTAATTACTACACTCGAGTTTATTAATAATATTTAGATTTTCTATCTGTTATTAATTTTCTGTCAATTAAACTGTAAATTAAGTTAAAACATTAATTTAATGCACTTGACTATTTTTATTTCACCGGTCAAATAAACTATGGTTTACAGTAACGAATGTTACCGAAAGTCAACGAACATTACCCAATAATTTCCGACGCTATATCGTGATTTTACCGTAGATCTACTAGATTTAGATCTAGATTTTAGATCTAGATCTAGAATCTAGTAGATCTAGAAGATCTAGTACTAAAAGATCTAGTCTAGATCTAGTGATTGATTCTTCTACTCAACTCAATTTTACCACTACTTTTGAATCTAAATCTAATATTTAATAGTTAATAATTAGTATTAGACTTTAGACTAATACTAGTAATACTAATTATAATATAGTAATTAAGTATTATTATTTACATTTAAACAAGGTAGTCTAGTAGAAAAGTCTTGATAGCTATCTATCTACTCTACTAACTTAACTGAACTTAATACTTAACTAAACTAACTAGATCTAAATGTAACTGATGTAACATGTTGCCTACTCTGTCATTGACTAATCAGTGATCACTAATGAATGATTATTTACTATTTAGTAGAGAAGAGACTAATTTACTTCAATTGATTTAATTAAATTACTAATAATCAAGTAGTAAATTACTAGTAAACTAGTAATAAGTAGTAGAATTAAAATTAAATTAAGTAGAATCTATCTATAGGTCTAGTAGGCCTAAATGTAGAATATAGATCTAGCTATTTATTAGTTAACTATTTAACTACTATAGTCTATAGTTGAACATTTTAATTTTTACTGATTAGCATAGCTACTAAATATTAAATATCAAAGATGACTGTTTTATTTAATTATTAAATTAGCCATTAGCTTATGTAAACATTTAATTATCAGCCTGTAGAAAGAATGGTGTCTGAATTCAGAAATAAATATATTAAATGGAAGTTAAAAGCATATAATCTAATTTGTTTTGTTTGTATATTTCAGTGTCACAAGCAAAAGCCAAATGGCAAAATTTACGAGACACCTTTAGGAAAGAGCACACAAAGAACATAAAAAAAGTAACTGGAAGTGCAGCAGCTAACACTAAAGTACCATGGAAATACATAAATCAATTAGCATTTTTAAATGATGTTTTTGTTTCTAGACCAATGCTAAGCAGTTTTCCATCTACATCAAGTTCTGAATTTAGTGAAACTATTGTGGCTGAAATAAATTTCAACAATTCGGACTCACTGGACGAAGCTGCTGTGCGAGATCCAGAAATAGTTCTGCCAATTGAAAAACCAAAGCTACAATGCAAAAGAAAGGCAGACAAAGCTGACGCCATTAATCAGTTGATAACATTAGAGAAAAAGAAATTAGAACAAATTGAAAAGATTAATGACAAACAGGAGATCAAGAATGATGATAACTACCATTTCCTGATGAGTTTATTACCATATTTTGAAGATATGCCTAAAAGAGTGAGCTTGTTAACAAGGATGAAGATACAACAAGTTATTTTTGACACAATTGATGATGCAGACTGTGAATGAGCAATGTGTAATGATTAAGAACTTTGTATGTTATCTGTTATTACATAGTCTTCTTTATTCTTGACTAATGTTAATTATTTGAAATTACAAACATGTTATTGGTTATTGAGTCTAATTATATAAAAGTATTTCAAGTATGCAATAATGCTACTAATTTTTTTTATTTCAACTGAATCATCAGTGTTGTTTCAAAACAGTACATTTGATCTTGTGATTTTGTTATACGGGTATTGCTAGAAACTGTATTATTTATTTTTATTCATTGACTTGTTTTTGCTATTATTTATCACTTTGAAATCATTACTTTCAAGTTTGTTTATGGTGAATTTGTGATTCTACTGATATCCAGTTTTTCACTACTAGCTTGTAGTAAGGCTGATGTTCTTTTAACTATTACTTGTAGCCTTAACCATGTAGTCAATGTAAATTATTATCTAATAGTAGTACCTGTAGACTACTAACTAATTAATAATTGCTATAGATTTAACTATGTTCTCATCATACTGTATTCTTAACTCTACTAATTTTTATGCTCATGGTAAAAATAATAGTTTCATTCAAAAGTAATAAATGTGTGGGTACATTTAATCCATCAGAAGTTTAAGACCCTATTTGTTATTTTGATAAATAATACGGGTCTGAAATCATGTATTGTTTCATTAATTATTAAAGCTTATTAAATTAATTACTTGATTTTTTGTTATGGCTGTATAAAAATTAAATGTGTTAATAAATTTCTTTTTATTTTATTTAAGACATCTTCAAATGCAGTCTTAAACTTATTTTCTTTTAATGGTAAATTGATGAATTGAAAGGTGTGTTGAAGGATGTTACCTAATAAGAATTCAATGCTAGCTATAAGGTCTGACAAGCAAGAATATATATATATATATGGTAACTTGACCAATGGTCTCTATATTTTTATGTATGCCAAATATAAATAAAATATAAACAACAGTAGCATAACAACCAAAGAAGTTTATTTCAATTAAATACCAGTGGCATCAAAACTTAAAATTGTTTTATAATATCTTAGATAGTGTAAGTATTTAGTTTATCATATTGGAAGTGTACAGCTCCTTCAGCATTGAAATATGCTTTGAACTGATCTCTAATATTGTAAGCTTCTCTACCAGCTCTGTTATAGCGTTTTGATTTAACACACTCTGCTGCACTGGTAACAATCTCCAAATTTATATTATGCATCATAGTTTCATTAATTCCCTCTTTATCTATAATGATATTGTGCAACAAGCAAACAGCAGTGACTAGTTTGTCTATGTGTTTTGGATCAACTTGTAACTCTGTCTTTAGACATCTCCATTTAGCAACTAGTATTCCAAATGCACATTCTACTGTACGTCTGGCTCTACTATGCCTATAATTGTAAACTTCAACATCATGTGGAACTGTTGCTGGACCTGAGCTGTAGGGGCGCATTAGGTAATCCTTTAAAGGATATCCTTGATCTCCTAGTATAACATAAGGAAGATTAAAAGTGGTCCCAGGTAATTGTCTTGCTTGAGGGAAAGGAAACAAACCCATTTCTATCTGTTTATAGAGATTTGACTCTATAAAAACACCACTGTCACTTTGCCTTCCATATGCTCCAAAGTCTACACTTAAAAATTTATATCTAGCATCTACCAATCCTTGAAGGATGAGTGAGTGAAAAGTTTTATAATTAAAGTATTTTGAACCTGATAATTTAGGACATTTAATTCGAACATGCTTCCCATCAATGGAACCAACACAGTTTGGGAAATTCCATAAATCTTCATAGTCCTTGGCACATTGCTCAAGCATTACTGCTGTTGGTACTGGCATATGCTTTTCAGTGAAGCAGTTCCATATAGCATCACAGGTCTCATAAATAATCTTGGCAATAGTTGAGTGGGCGATTCGATATGAAAAGGCCAAAGATCTGAAGGCTAATCCAGTTGATAGGTATCTGGAAAAGAAATTAATCAAATTAAACACTAAAAGCAGGTAATGACTGTAATGATCTACTCCCCACTACTAGGACATTCCAACCTAATTTAAAGCTTAGTTATTGCTTTTTTAATGTATAGAACACATCTGTTAACTATGGTATTTAGTGTATTAACAGTACTACAGACACTTGCCTCAATGTCACCGCCAGGCGTTCCTCTGGAGAAATGCATTTCCTGAAGCTACTCTGTTTTTCTATGTACGGCCTAATATTGTTGAGTATGTACTCAAAAGTGTCCCTGTTCATTCTAAAGTACTCGTAGAATTTCTGGGGCTGCTCCAGCAGTTTTGGAAACAAAGTGTGAAATTCGCCACATTTTTCTCTTTCAGCAAATATAGGATTAACCCATTCCTTTTCGTTTAGTAATAAAATCTTGAGAAGCATGTTTTCTGCTAAAAAATGAATCTTCATTTGGTCGTCCATTTTTGTTTTGAAAACAATGCCTGCCGGTAGTCAGACATACGTTCTGGCGGGCTACAGTGTAACCGCCGGGGCGCACCCCTCTTCGGCAGATTGGACAACACCTGACGTCAGATGAAAAAATTCGGTCTGCCGACGTATAGTGTATCCGCAGCCTAAGTTCATCATCAGGCGCCTGACGTAGTCTGACGACTCGGACGATGAGATCGGCTCAAGTGTAACCAATAGAACTGGGTTATACTTTTTGTTTGCTTTCCAGTTGTTCGGCCTTGTTGTCAGAAACAGAAATTCGGTCTGCCGACGTGTAGTGTAAACGCAGCCTAACCAAAGATCTCCAGAGTCATCTGTCCAGAGTTTCTTCCAGGCTTCTCTTCGGCGGGTTCCACCTCAATGTCGGCCTGCTGATACTGTTTCGCCGTCTGCGTAGTGCGCCCTATTTAAAGCCCTTCTTCTTGTCCTAAGTTATTCATCAGCAGAAAGTTGCCCTGTCGTATCTCATACGTTTGCGTTGCTTATTGTGTTGGGCCAACGGATCCTTTGTTTTAGTTTGAGGCAGCTGTTTATAAAGGTCTGGACTTTATCAACATCCTCCAAGTCTCTGCCCCATACAGCAGCACTGATTTTACATTGGAGTTTAACAGCGCTCTTTGGTGGTCAGTTCTATGGATGCTCCTTGGCTGTGTGAATTAGCTGTTGTTTTGTCGATCCTTGCTTTAACATCTGCATCTGTTCTGCGCTGATGCTCCACAAAACTACCTAGGTAAAAGACCGCTTTGCCTCCAAGGGCCTCCATTAATTGTAGCGTCGATGGTTTGTATTTTGGTCTTTCCCTTGTGGATGTTGAGTCCAACCTGCGCCGACGTCTGTTACCAAGTTTGTTTTCTTCTGCGCCTGCTGTTGTGGTGGAAGAAGAACGCGAGGTCGTCTGCAAAGTCCACGTGGTCAGTGTTGTTTGCACAAGACTGGAAATTATTTAAACTATCTTACAATAACTAAATGGCAATATGAAATAAACGTTCTAGCCCGTTCACTTAAAACTAGCTTTACAAAAAAATCTCACACTGGCACAGTAATTTATTTGTTGACAAGATAGTTGAGAGACAAGCAAGCGCCATCAACATGATTGGAACACTTCTCTAACTTTCGGTCACCATTATCGGTCTAGTTCATTCGCAGTTTATTGCTGAATGGGAGATTTGAACAAACGTTGAGACAGTGACAGAGATGTTACGCGGCTGTCAACTTTACTGTCAAGCACTCTACTGCAGGGTTGTACATTTTGGGTGGAGAATGTCCCTGAACTGGGCAGGTAAGTGCCGATTTACGTCAATCGATTAGAAGCAAATCCTTATTTTGGCTAGGTAGCAAAATCAATCAGTTTATAAAACATTATAGACATGGAAAAGTCGAAATTGACCATTATACACACTGGGCCAATAATTACTAAAACAATGAAGACAACAAATCCGTTTTGCCGTTTACCAATTGGGTGTCAGATAAGTTTATGGCCCAGAAGTTTCCGGATCCGAGAAGTTTAGCTGACCTGCTAGCCGTATACCCACGATGCGAACTCGTGTGTTCTGAGCTGACAGTGGTGCTGTGTGCACTTCTACCACACCGTCCACACATGAAACCACTACATTCCATACCATGACGGCTGTGTAGCTCGACTAAATCTATAAGAATAAACAAGTCATAAGCTTTGGCACCAACACTCAGAAGATGGTTTTTTTTTAAAACTGAGCGATATTGATAACCTACAGTTTTGGGTGTTAAGGTTTTAGATGACAACCTTTGTCAATATCACTCTTCTAAAAAACTCTTGGACCAGTCTCATCAATCTCCGTGAAACGAAACAAATCTTGCTGCGGTGGGAGACAGAAAAACTGCATAAAGGGTAGAGTCTAGGTAAGAAAAAAAAAGGCGTTGGTCAAAGAGTTAGCAGGGGAGTGGGTGTTGGAAAACAGTTGGTTAGAAGCCCTACATTCTACATGAACCCCCCAGAAACAAAATGTTCGCTGAATCGCTATTGGCAACGGCCCGTGTATCGTTTTGATTTATTCTCTGTATGGGATGGGATGATGTGGTGATATCAAAGTATAGAACACCAGTGAAGAATAAAAATTTGAATGTAAGAAAATGAAAAATAATAACGTGGAGAGGCTGAGTGAGAAAGAAATGAGTTACACCGAAGAGTCATACTGAAGTCATACTGGAGAGTCACACTGAAGAGTCACGCTGAAATAGTGCTTCTATCTCTATAAATAGTGTGTAATCTAGGCTATAAAACATATGTCTAAATCACACCGTTTCACGGCGGCTTTTTTTTTTTTTTAATAATTATTTTATCAGAAAGCTCATTGTGTGTAGGTCTGTAAAGTTACACACATTAAAATTGTGATTTTTGTGGGGAGAAATATATCTCGGATTGTTATTAGCAAGATGGATTAATTGTTTTAAGTCGTGTACTTTACATTTTCTTTTAGTTTTACAAGGTACGGTTTATTTTTCATTACGCTGGTTTTGTTTAATTAAACTACGTCAGTAGAGGTAGAATAGTTTAGTTTCTAAACTGTAGAAACACTTCCATGGAAAAAAACATGCTTCGTCTACAGGGGTCTGCCAATAGAGCGAGGTTGCCTATATGACGTGTAGGGGGAGTGACTCAGTGGGGGTGGGGGGTTGGGGAGGAGGGGGTGTTCTATCATAAAATACATTGAGTCATTAGTTTACATCATATTTGAATTGTGACACATCATACTCCTGGCCTACAAGGCATTGTTCTTTGAGAAACTTTGTGATAAGATATCTTGAGGTGTCAAAATGTCTCTAAAAATTATTGAAATTACGAAATTGTGTTGGAAACAGATTTACCCGATAAGTAATGCACGTATTTAATTTAGCTGCAGTTAGAAAGGTTAGTTAGGGCAGTTTGTTTCTATGAAGCTAAAATTAAAATATTTTATTATTACGTATTGTCTTAACGTTTTATCGCATGCCCCCTGCGTTCTACAGAGGAACTAAAACCATGAAACAAGGAAGTGTTGTATCTGTGTTGCTTTTGTTGGCGGCGTGCTGTTTGGTGCGTTATGTTCAGAGCACGACAGCTTCGTCCAATGCGCGCCAACTGTTGGACGGCCTTCAGAAATTCTTTGACAACGCTCACGAGTATATCGGCAACAGTAAGAAGGGGTGTGTCTTCCAGTGCCCTGACGGTAGGGTTTAGTCTAGGTCTATTTTGTTTCTTAAATGTGGGGGTCGAGGATCGCTCATACGTCATTTAGTAAACTGAAGTTGCAACAATTTGAGAAATGTTAAAAGTCGCTTTAGGGATCATCCATCGTTTACGTCACACATAATGGAGGGGGGGGGGGGGGGGGGGAGAGGTCTAACTTTTCTGCCCATATGCTACATTGGGAGGGGGGGGGGTGAATGAAACAAGGTTACAGATCGCCCCATGTTGGGTATTTGCTGATATGTAATTAAATTAGTCGTAGGCCGACACTAATTAACGTTACATTTAAACGCGTTCGCATTCAGAGATTTGAAATGTATTTTATTGCCTCAGGAAATACACCGAAGCAAAATCCAGAATTTACGCCGACTTCGAACGGCTGCGGTGCTTTTGGCTTTAAGGTAAGAAAATTTTGTAGGCCCTTATTACAAGAGATTAAAATTAATTATAAACAGTAAGAAACGTTGGCCAGATTTTTGCTCATTCAATCGTTGAGACGAAAAGACCCATGTATAAACTATTGCTGGCCTTTATAAGATCCCTGCATATCCACCCCTTCATACAACTATTGTAAAATAATACCCCTTAATTCAACCTTTATAATAATTATCATTAAAAATAAAAAATAAAAACCCACGTTTTCTGATTGAACTAAAAAGTGGTAAGCCAGAAGAGGGAAAGTACCGAACCTTGTTTTTATCAAATTACAATTACTAGGTTATGTCCCCTTTTTTGTACAAATCAATAGGAGTCTAAAATGATCAATAAAATTTCTCCATGGATCAATTTAGTAATAATAATAATTGAATACTGTATTGTCATCGGAAACAAAGCTTCCCTGAAAATTTCAACGCGCTAGCTAACTGGGAAGTGCCCGAAATTTCGATCGCAAGATTTGATGGAAAGACAAACAAACAAACAGACGCGAAAGCAAGTTAAAGAAAACGTGGGAAAATTATAACCCTTCATACAACCCCTAACAAATAAGACCCCAGTTACTCCCACCCTTACACCAACTCCTATTTCTCCCCAGCTAGAAGAGCATATAAAAATAGCTGACGTCACTAGTTGCTGTGACGCACACGACGTCTGCTACGACACGTGCAACAGACCGAAAGACACGTGTGACATTGAGTTCAAGGAGTGTCTCGAGGATTTGTGTACCAAATACACTGACGTCTTACCCAACCCCGAGTGGCCAAAATGTAAGTATGTCGAGTGACATCAATGCTAAAAATCAGAAGGACCAAATACCTCACACCAGCCTATTCTTAGCTTCAATATAGCTTTTTGTCAGAATTCACAATGGGAGTAAGACATTTACCCCCCTCCCCCTCCCTAGTAACGGGGTAATATCCAAGACCACTTTTGCTAGGACTGTATGGTACAGTATCAAACATCAATCGAAGAGGAGTCTTGTGAAGCATCGCCTTATGTCGTTGGTTGCATTGCCATTACTAGAACCATTTCTATAGCAAGCTCTCACTTATTATTACACTTCCACTCAGAGTTTCTTCCAGGCATCTCTACCCCCCCCCCCCCCCAGGCCTCTTTTACTAGGCGGATATGATACAGTATCAAACATCAATCTAAAACGCAGAGGCGTAGCGACTCTTCCCGGCGCCCGGGGACAAACTTTCGATTTGCACCCCCGCCCCCCCCCCCCCCTCAAAGTTTCAATTTGTTTTTCCAACCCATTTTGGCGCCCCCTAAGGTCGGCGCCCGGGGACATATGCCCCCCCCCCCCCCCCTCCGCCAAAACGAGTCTTCCACTATTCTGATTTGATTGTTGCACCTCTCGATATGGTTAGCTAGCAGTCAGGACAATGGCTCTTCTGTTTGTTAACGTTTCAGCAATAAACAAGGGACATCACTCTGTTTTTTTTAAAAAATTGTATTATCGCCCTTTACTCATTGTTCCTTAAGAAATCGTATTGTACATTAATTCGAAAACAGAAAATTGATGTAAATGGGATTTTGTTTCTGCAGACTGTGTGCATGGTGTGGACATGATCTACGCTGCTACCATGTTGCTGGGATGTAAACCCTACAGAGATGCCCAGGAGAAGGCGTGTGTATGTGAGACCAGTAGATCTGAACTCTAGGGACACTGATGTGTTAGACAGTCGAGTATGTTAGCTGCACTAGTCATGTTGTTGTATCTGTTGGTGATGTGTCAGTACAGGTGTGGCAGGTATTTTATGTCTCAGGTGTAGTGTGTCATGTTGTATGTGTTGGTGATGTATCAGTACAGGTGTGGCAGGTAATTTATGTCTCAGGTGTAGTGTCTCATGTTGTGTCTGTTGGTGATGTATCAGTACAGGTGTGGCAGGTAATTTATGTCTCAGGTGTAGTGTCTCATGTTGTATCTGTTGGTGATGTGTCAGTAAGGTGTGTCAGGTGATTTATGTCTCAGGTGTAGTGTCTCATGTTGTATCTGTTGGTGATGTGTCAGTAAGGTGTGTCAGGTGATTTATGTCTCAGGTGTAGTGTCTCATGTTGTATCTGTTGGTGATGTGTCAGTACAGGTGTGGCAGGTGATGGCTCAGGTGTAGTGTCTCATGTTGTATCTGTTGGTGATGTGTCAGTACAGGTGTGGCAGGTGATGGCTCAGGTGTAGTGTCTCATGTTGTATCTGTTGGTGATGTGTCAGTACAGGTGTGGCAGGTGATTTATGTCTCAGGTGTAGTGTCTCATGTTGTATCTGTTGGTGATGTGTCAGTAAGGTGTGTCAGGTGATGGCTCAGGTGTAGTGTCTCATGTTGTTTCTGTTGGTGATGTGTCAGTACAGGTGTGGCAGGTGATGTCTCAGGTGTAGTGTCTCATGTTGTATCTGTTGGTGATGTGTCAGTACAGTTGTGGCAGGTGATTTATGTCTCAGGTGTAGTGTCTGATGTTGTATCTGTTGGTGATGTGTCAGTACAGGTGTGGCAGGTGATGTCTCAGGTGTAGTGTCTCATGTTGTATCTGTTGGTGATGTGTCAGTACAGGTGTGGCAGGTGATGTCTCAGGTGTAGTGTCTCATGTTGTATCTGTTGGTGATGTGTCAGTACAGTTGTGGCAGGTGATTTATGTCTCAGGTGTAGTGTCTGATGTTGTATCTGTTGGTGATGTGTCAGTACAGGTGTGGCAGGTGATTTATGTCTCAGGTGTAGTGTCTGATGTTGTATCTGTTGGTGATGTGTCAGTACAGGTGTGGCAGGTGATTTATGCCTCAGGTGTAGTGTCTCATGTTGTATCTGTTGGTGATGTGTCAGTACAGGTGTGGCATGTGATTTATGTCTCAGTTGTAGTGTCTCAGGTAACATTAAGACGGGTGGAGTTATGTGTACCCAACTGTTGATGAAGTTACAACACAAATATCAGCTGCAACATTGTTCAAATATAATGAAATCTATTGCCCCTGGATTCTGGGCTCTGTTAATTTATTTAACACAAAATGAAATTTGTCATACAAAACTAATCTGCATAGTTCAATGTGATCGTATTCAATGACTAATAAATATTTAAATGTTTCTAAGATTTTAGTTTTCAATTTTTACAATATTAAATCTTTCAATTCAATTTTAATTATCAAATATTTTACAGTTAATAATTTTTTTGGGAAAATAAACAGTACATAAAATGTTTGACAAAATAATCTTTATATAACAATGTAGATGAATATTGGGTAAATGATGTTTTTAATTTAATTGTGACATTGTCATTACTTTCATGTGATTACATGTGTGAAAATTACTTCTGAGAAAAAGAAAACAAAATGCATACTTTTGAGGTTATTGTATTAGTTTTGCAAAAAAAAAAAAAAAAGCCTATTTCTTTAACATTTTTTAAAAGGATCAGATTATCCTAATGAATGTTTAGAACTTTTTTTTGCAAAAGAAAATTGTATTCTCCTTTTATTTAAGCAAACACATTAGTCGCATGATTTATGTTTGCATTACGATTTTATTTTAGCTGCAAATGTTTAAAAAAAAAAGAAATAAAATGCTATTGAACTTGCTGTAGAGTGTATTTTGATAGGTGAGAATGCAAGTTGTACAGTAGATTTGGTGACATGATATCATACACAACTTGAGACAAAAATAACCAATGTTTTATTCAGGTGAAATTCATCATTCATCAAGTAAAAATTCATCATTCAAAGTTATCAAAGTACTGATTGTTTTGCTGCCTGTAGCTTTACCACAATCAAACAGGGTCACTACACCACTTTTACCATTTCACTGGTCAGTCTGGCATCAATGTCCACTAGATTAACATTACAGTTGGCAGATAATCTGGCATAAATGTCCACTAGATTAACATTACAGTTGGCAGATAATCTGGCATAAATGTCCACTAGATTAACATTACATTTGGCAGTTAATCTGGCATCAATGTCCACTAGATTAACATTACAGTTAGCAGATAATCTGGCATCAATGTCCACTAGATTAACATTACAGTTAGCAGTTAATCTGGCATCAATGTCCACTAGATTAACATTACATTAATTATAGTTTCCAAAAAAAATAAGCTTAACTCATGTGTTTAAATTATTTAACTCATAAAATATATTAGGCTTTCACAAACATAACATGCTATAAATGACTAATTAATTTTAAAAAAAAACTACTAAATAATTAGATCAATAGATGTTTTAAATAAATATTTGTCACACTGTACTTGCTTTTGTAAACAATAGCAGGCTAAGGATACAATCACTTAGCCTCAGGAAGTCATGTGAATAAAATCAATGGACATGGTCAGATGGACCAGCAAATATGTTTCCAGTGGCAGCAGATTTGATTTTAACATTGACCAATGGCAAGGATAGAGAAAATGTATATAGTCATCAAAATATTTACAAATATTTACAAATATTTACAAATAAACATGAATATCTTATTTACATGTCTACCCCATATTGACACTAAATCTTCATTTTGTATCTGCTAATATTTTGTCCTGTCACAAGCTACTTTTGCTTACAAATGTAGCTATAAAAATGTCAACAAAAAGGTTGCTAATTGCTAATGCTTTTTGAAACCAGTGTATAGTATGTACTCATGCAACAAATCAAAGCCCCATGTCTCTCCTACCACAATGTTACAGTGGACTGTAGTGAGTTTTAAAATAGAAATCCACAGTTTCAACCTTTTAGTAGGACCCGGCTATAGGTTAAGACGGTCTCATATCGCCCCCCCCCCCCCCCTTAACAACCTTCACTGTATCATATACACATTTCATATTCTATGTGACTGAATCAAACAACAAACTTAAATGAAATGTTTTGTACAATGGACCAATGGATGATAATTTAAACAAGTGAGAACAGAAGACAGCTCTGACAAAATGCTACGTTGTTCTCTTTTTCATGACAAATTTGCCCTTTTGAAACTGTGAAATGTAAATGCGGAGTTTGGAGTTATCTCCACTCCTCTTGATCCAGATCTGAAACAAAAAGTGTCAGAATTTTGTCAAAAATTGTGTCACCTAAACAAATAAAATATACAGAATTTGACTCAATCACCAAGGTAACTTGAAAAAGAAACGAACATATTTTTTAAAAGAGCATTATCTTTTGCTATAAATTTCATGGAGAGTCTATTCTGCTAAATATTGTAGAGTATCAAATAAACAAAATGTGAGAAGACCTACCTCTTGATTGCCTATATTTGTAATGGTTCCGTAGATCCTGGGGCCACCTTCTTTGCTGTCTACCTGTACCATGGTGTTTCTCTGATACCTTAAAGAGAGAAATACAACTCAAACATTTTGTACACAAGTTCAAGTATTTGAGCAACTTTAAAAGTAGATGTTGAATACATGAGAAAAAATTTTAAGCAATAAAATTCTAAAGATCAACTTACCATTTCTTGTCATACCACAATCTGCCCTCCTCTATCCTAACATCAGACGTGCTATCTGGGACAGGACTAGGGTTAGCCACCAGCAGTTTTTTGGCAATAGGTTTACCACTGACTTTCATCAGGACCCGGATGTCGTCATTAACTAGATCATCATCTAGCAGCAGACAGACCTGAGGTACACATGGTTAAGGCAAACTTGGAAGAAAAAAGAATTTTATATACTGCTCAAATTCACATCAGTTTGAATATTGTTTTATTTACATATTTAACTTTACAAATCTTAAGATCAGCACATCAACAAATTTGTGTTAAATTATAAATTTACAAACTATGTAGGGAAAAATGCACTTATTAAAATAAATGTGTGTAGAAAATTTTAGCTAAAATTGTATTAGATTAGAAGGTTCAATTATATGTTTATAAACACATTTTTTCAGAGTAGTTTCCCTCTACATCCTGCTAATATAGCACAAATATTTCTGCAGAACATTCATTATTTGTAATGTTTCTTACAACAACCACATTGGGTGGTCAAGTGTTAGGTAAAGTGAAAGGTCATCATTTTCAGCATGTGAACACTACAGAAGGAAAAAAGTATTAAAATTCAACACATCCACATTCATTAACCTCTAGTTTTGCCCAAATGGTTATCATTTAATAAAAGGATATCTGGCGAGGGTTTCCTTCTTTTTTCTGGTATGGGTACTGGGTCGTTTGGTCGTCTACGTAGTTTACGAGTCATTGTAGGCTTTACCTCCATAAAATCAGCTAAGGAAAAATAATGATAACTAAGTACTGAAATTAAGGATAGATTGTGTGAAAGTATAAATAAGAATATTTAAGAATAATGTTTCGGAAAAATTATTTTTGTCATGATAATTTTCTTTTAATGCTTATAGATTGCAATGATAATAACATGAAATTATTACAATATAATACATGTAGCAGTCTTATAAGACAAAGCACTTAAAACAAATCTTAATTCAGCATAGTTTATATTTATCTATTGTAATTTTAAAATAAGTTTAAAACTAGCATTTTAAAAAATTGTCTTGAGATTGCATAATGAATCCAGCATGATGTAGATCACAGAAACAAGAGCATTACTCACCTCCATTAAGGTCCAATGTTTGTCTCTCTAATTCAATCATGTTGCGTTTTTCTTTTAAATCACTTATTAAACTTTCCTTCATATCTATTTTCTTTTCCTGAAATAAACATCATTTATGGTATAATAATTGTAGGGGTATTATAATATTTTAAGATACTAGCAAAATATATTTCTTGGAAGCCATCATTTGAATTCACCCATATTTAACTGCTGTAGCAAAGATATCTTAAAATAGCTGGTTGAAAGTTAAATATTTTTCTCAAAAAATTGATTCTTTAAGTTATGCATATCTTAGGACATGAGATATTAAGAAAAGAGAACTTGTTTACAGACTAATTAAACTCAATACTTGCTTTACTTTACGTGTTATAGATTTTTTTAAAACTATGTCCCTTGTTTAAATGGGTACAAATATAACAAGTTAAAATTAATGTTAATTTGTGTTTTATAAAACAATTGTGTTTATTTCCTAAGAAACAGGAGGTAGACAAAAGAGAAATTATTTGGATGAGGCCCTCATTAATTTTTTAAACATGCAATATCATTGTGTTTGATACAGTAAAACTCTACTTCTTCTAGATGTACAATCAGTATTAACATTTTAAAATTAAGATCATCATTCTATGTAAGCAGGCCAAGCATTTTACAAGGGCAGGTATACAAACAGCTCAAACATTTTAGTAGTTACTAACTAACATATTGCCAGAACAATTCACATGTGATATGGTGGTGTTTTTGTAATTTGCTTTTTTTTTTTAGCTATTATAAGAGATATGTAATCTTTGCACTGAGAAAGGAGTTCTAATTATGTTTAAAATTATTCATAATTAAAGTATCAGTAAAGTAAGTTTTGTTTATGTATCCAACATGGCTTTTAAAAATTTTCATACAATATTTGCTTGAGCAACAGACCTTTCTAATGATGAATTTGCTGTAATATTTAAAAGCCAGTTGAAATAAAACAAAAAAATCTTGTAATTAGATGATTAAAATCTACCATATCACAGAAATTGGTATCATCTACTTTAAATAGAACGTGTTATCTCAAGTGAAATTTAACTTATAATAAAAATTTATAATTAAATAACCAATAACATAGCAAATAAAAGTGCAAACTCCAAACTTTAAACTCTGGGTTGTATTAATAAGTTGATGAGGCATATTTTAAGCAGTAAAGGTAATCAAATACACTAGAAATCATCATTGAGAATACCTTATACTGTTCGAGTAATCTTTCCTTCAATGCCTCTCGCTCTTTCTGAAATAGGCCCAGGGACTCACAATAAAGTTGACAAATAATAATCACAGTAAGCATGGGAAGGTTATGGAAAAAAAATGTTTATATAATAATGTTCTATAGCTAAGTATCATGCAAGTGATTTCAAAACAAAAACTAGATGTAAAAATTCAACCCTTAGTATTAAATGCTGGTAATAGTGGTAACTTATAAACATTCATAAAATGTAGCAACAATAGAGATACATTAAAAACAAATCTAATTAGTGATCAAAATTAATCAAGTTAAAAGAAATGATTGCAACTGTGAGCAAGCAGTTACCTCAACTAACTACAAAGGTGGTTAATGGAAATAAAATGTGTCACAATAAAGTGTGCTCTTTGTGATAAAATCTAGCTACACATGTAGAGCTGTAAAAATTAAATAGCTACACACTGAACATATTTTATTTAGAAAACAGTCTCTTTAATGGCTGAAATATTTTAACATTCAAGGTGTAAATAATTAACTGATGTCATTAATTTCTTATACTGAATGTTTTGATAAATCTAGTTACTCTTGAAACGTTAAATTTCAAAGAATTATTTCAGATACAAATGCACTGAACTGTTTTTATTCATTGCTGTACTTACAATTTGCATTTTTAAATATTTTGCTTAAAAATCTAGAGAGCATTATAATTTATTATTCTCAATTCAATTTATTGGAAATACAGAAGATTGTAACGTATAAATTTTAAAATGGATTTTAAGTATTTTTTTTTAGATGAATGTTGATCTATCAAAACTGTAATCTTTGCAATGTTATCTTTTATTAAAAATACACAAATTTAATGTTTCATACTAATTGGAGCAGTTATTATCTTTTCAAAACTAGCCATCCTCTACAGAGATGCATGCTTTAGTATATATATTAGCTTAACTATTGAAAGGTTAGTCATTTATTAGAATATTTTTTAAAAATTTCAGTTTTTTAAACAGATTTTTGTATACTTATCATTTGTAGTTAAAGAGCCTTAATTGGTCAATGGATTTTTTTTAAAACAAATTTTTTTTTTCTTAGCAAAACAAAGTATATCAGGTTTTATAACAATAGATCTACTTCAAAGCTTAAATTGCTAGAAACTGAAACCAAATGTAGTAATATATTGAGTATTGTAAAAAAAAATGTAAATACAAGGATTATTAAGAAAAAAAATTTTTTTGCAATTAAATTGTAACCCATGCAATACCACAAATAATAAAAAGAATAGGTATCCAACTGAATGAAGACATTTCTTTTTTGTTGTTTGTATTAAATTTCGCTACAAGAGAAATTAAATTAAGTACATTAGATAACATCGCTAACACTCATTCCTTAACATATCTTCAAGTAGTTGAACGCCTTAGAATAACTAGTGATACAATGTGAAACTAAAAAAGAATTTATAGTTGGAGATAGATAAAATGCGTCAAGCCAGCTTAAGTTAGCTTATTTTCATTCCACTTGCCTCAAATTCTTTCTGTGCATTATTGCAGTCTGTATCATAATTCCTATCTGCTCTTTCAATCTGCAGCAAAATGTTATCAGTGTTAATAGTTGCTCAATGGACATCATGAGGAGCTATTTTTTCTCCATACCAACAGTAAAAAAAATAAGCACATGAAACATTTTAAAGCAGTGACAAAACTATTTTATTATTAAATTTCCTATTCTTAACACAACACTGAAAACTAGCATGCCAAACAACTAACCTCAACAGTTTTACTTATTTCATTCTGTCTCAGACGTTCTCGATATTGAAGTTCAATCTTTTTTGTTCTTTTTAAAAACTCTGGCAATGATCCTTCTTGTAGCATTCCAATGTGTTTCTTTATCTGGGCAAGTTTATCTTGATACATCCTAAATGTAGTTTCATTTGCAATTTAATACAGGAAAACAAATTCGACATAGAACTGTGTTTATAAAAAAAGGTGTGTAAAAGCTATATTAAATTTGGTGAAATTTAGTTAACTGCTACAGAAATCCACTCACTGTTCCTTAATTTCTGTTCTCTGTACTGTGTTTGATGAGGCAGTTTGGTTATTTTTTGGCTTGTCTTCTGTTTCACTAGCATCTGCAGTGTCTAAAAAAAAATGATAAAAACGGCATGAGACTGTAGGAAACAATTAAGGGAGCACACATCATAAAGTAAATAGTGACTTTCAGAGAGAATACATTTTGTAAGTTATCAGCAATGCCTTAGTTGTGCCTTTGAACAATATTGTGACTTCAGCTGCCAACCAAAATGCTGAGACTGAGCTGAGACAGAGCATATTTGATTGGTTGGCAGCTACACCGAAAACCACTCAGGATTTTTCTAAATTTTTTCCGTTAATCCATTGATTAATCCACTTTTTTATTTGCACTTGACAAGTTTTATAATATTTCATTAGGTTGATTAGGCCTAGGCCGCCATGGCCCAAGAATTGGCAAGAATCTATTTGATTGTAATTTATAAATTATTTGCATTGCTGTTGATGTTGTTGTACTTGATAGTTGAGAGTTCAAGCCTTGATGAACTCAAGGAGTTGACTCAGTTGAGTACTTGAGAGTTAGTAAGTTAGCCCTGTTACCTGTTAGCAACACACTAAGTCATAACATCTCAGTACACACTCACAGTCACACACAGTGTAACTCAGACTCAGTAACTCAGTACTCAGTAACACTAACTAACACACACACACAACATTAAAAAAATAAAGAATATCTATATATATAATTCACTTCTGGGAGCCGTTAGAAAACAAGCTGCAAGCGCCTCCTTGCAGTCCCCTCTCTTTCTCTCTATCACTATCACTACCACCCCCACCCCACCCCCACATTGTCTGGTGAGCTGTGGTCACGCTAAATGTTTACAAAGCTAAATGTTTACAAATCGTAGAGCCGTAGTGCCGGGTGTCTATTAGGGGCAGATAATTTAGTTCGATTTTAAACTTACAGATGGTAACTAAGAAATAACTAAGAGGAGGCTGTAGGGTCGGGGTTAGGGGAAAGGGGACGGGGGGGGGGTTTAGTGTTTTAAAGCAAATATTTTCAGTGGCAGCATTGGTACTGCCGAATTCACAAATTATGAATTACTGAAAAGTAGAAAATAAAACAACTAAATTTAAAATTAAATATAGCGGCGTATGATACGCTGCGGGTCGGCTCGTAAAATAATATAATACAAAGCTTACCCTCATCAGATATATTTTCTTCTGCTTCCTTTTCATCTTCTACGTCTGAACTTTCTCCGTCACATTCATTTCCAGGACGAGGAGAAGTAAATGCTGACATGTCGGTAAAAAAAACAATGTTTATCTGAGAAAACAAATCTTACTCTCAGACCTATGCTTGGCTGTGTAAGTTCAATTCAGCATACAAGTTTATGTTGCTTCCTCTCATGTTAAAAACAAGATGTTATTTTTTTATTTAACGAAATAGGCCCTTGGCCTAAGTATTGAAAACAAGCAGAAATTTTAAAAACTCTAATTCTAAATATTTAAAAAAAATTTTTAAACATGATTTAAATCTATATCAATTTATTGACAATAACTTTTAGGTTTTCAAATTAAGAGAGAATATTTTGTTTCGATCCTTATTAATTAAACCGTTGCTAATTCCCTTTCTTTCAATCCCTTTACTGTCTCTCTCTCTCTCTCATGAACCTTAGCAGACGTAAACAATTTTTAAAATGGCTGCTTCTGACGAAGAGGCAAAAACTTATATCACTTTAAAACGTAAGCTTTCACCACAAAAAACGTCATTTACATCCAACCCGTACCCAGTCGATGTTACTGAAACGCACAAACAAGCTTCGATCGCTAGAACCGCCTCTGAATATGACTCCGGTGGGTTAGGCAGTCCTCCTAAAAAACGTTTATTTGTGACTGTTGACGCTGATGGAAATCAAGTTCAAGTAGAGGTGCCACACAATGCTTTGCCTGAAGGAGTCAATCCTGATGACACGAATTCTTACATTGTGAATGCAGAAGACATCAATCTCGATTTGACATCATATTCTTATTCTGTAGTAGTTGATGGAATTGTTGAGGATGTTGACTTGAATGATTGTCAGTACAGTGATGAACCAGTGAAGGGAAGTTTGAAACCTGATGAATTAGATGAAGGGGAAAGTGAAAGTGGCGATGAACACGACGATGTTGAAGAAAAAGATGCAAATTACATTATATCTGAGCCCGATGATGCAGATCCAATGTTTAAGTCGCATTATAGGATGAGCCGTATTGTTGCATCTGTAAGGACAATTAAATTAGCTAGTGTACTATTTGAGTGTTACTGTTGTTAAGTAAGTAGTAAGTAGTGTACTGTTACATAAGACAGTTAAGTCATGTGTATGATGTATATATATATATATATATATATATATATGCATAAATAGTATTGACTCGAGATTGAGTATTGAGTATATAATAGACATCTACTATTATTATTATACTATACTATAGATAGCCTATCACTAGAGGATCTAGTAATAGTGTGTGTAACTAGGTATGACAGTGTATGTAGATCTAGTCAAGGGATATATACTATATAGGTGTCTAGTTGTAGTTATGTAACATGTTATGTATAGGCTGACCTCACAATAGATCTATATAGTATTAGTAGTTATTGAAACATGGAGAGGCTGACCTCACAATATGTAGTACTTACAGAAACATGGGAACTCTGTACTTTAATTACTGCATTTATTATAGTCTGAAAAGGGTTCTTTACTTTAACAAACACTAATATAGGCATTAGGACAATTATTGTTCAGCATCAGTAAAAACTCAAATCATTACCTAACCCTTATAGCCATTAGTCTTTTTCTCTTGAGATATAGATTCTATCTGTACTTGTCAGTATAGATATGCTTGGTACTGAGGAAAGATTCTCTTAAGATAGATTTCTCTCTATGCTGCTCTTATGTCTTTATTACTTATTAGTCTCCCAATATTACCTTTTGTCTGTTGTGTCCACTATAGTACAGTCCCTTGAAGAAAGTTGTCACATTTGTCATCTGTAGATGCTTTTAAGTTTACATAATCATTAAAGCAATTACTGATAACTCTTTACTATTTGTTATAGTTTTTCTACTCCAAGTTGCAAATTTATTTTTGTCTCTAAGCTGTCTGGATCCATCCATTCTTAATTATCTCCACTGTTTACTTTGCATAGTTATAAAAGCTTGTCTGACATCTTCTCAAGTTATCAAAAACGGAAGAGTGATTATGACCATTTTATTTTTTAATGTCATACTGTTGTATAGTTTCCAAAGTAATTTTTTTTTCAAATTATCATGAGCTTTTTTAGCCAAAAAACATTATAGGCCCACATAGTGGACTATTTTTTTCCTGTGTTTGTTTTAGGATCTAGCTGTGATTATAAATTGTCACAATATTCCATTTATGTAAACTAACCTGCAATTTTATTCAGAGCATTTAGTCTTTTCTATTTAGTATTTTATTAAATAAGTATAAGTGATCAGTTTTTCTTTTTTAATAGGAACTAATGGATAAAATTGGTTCACATCCAAAAATGAATGGCAGAGTGCAGACTTTAGAACAAAAAGTTCTGGCTTCTCTGTTTCTCCTTGGCAATAAGACCAGCTACATCGTTGCCTCGGACAAGTTCCACATGTCCAAGGGATCGCTGTATTTGACTCTTAAAAACTTTTGTCAGGTTGGTAGTTATCCTTAAAACTTTACATTAGTGTCTGTATGCATCATTTTTCCAGTTTAAAAGACAAAACTGCAAACAAAATTAATTGCAGTGTTTGCTTAAAGTATTAACGTAAAGTTAGTACTTGATTAAAATTATTTTTCCTTGTTGCCATGGCTGTTTGTTTACTATTTTAAGTCTCCAACTTACATGTTTATTTTCAGGTTCTTACAGAGATGCGAAGTGATTACATCAAATGGCCTATTGATCAAATTGGACTTAGAAAAATTGCCCAAGAGTTTGAACAAGAAACAGGAATGCCAGGAGTAGTTGGAGCTATTGATGGTATCCATTTTCCTATTAAGCAAAAGTCCCGCTTGGCCCATGCTTACAGAAACAACCAAAACTATCTCAGTATCCATATGCAAGCAGTCTGTGATGCGAACCTTATGTTCCTTGATGTCCACTGTGGTAATCCGGGTTCTGTTGATGATGAGACAGTCTATAGATCATGTGATCTGAGGGATAAGCTTTTGCATGACCCCTTGCCAGCAGATCTTCATCTAGTTGGCGATTCAGGATATCCCTTAGAACCCTTTATGTTAACACCATATCCAGGTGACATACGTCGTTTGTCACCTTCTCAGAGAGAGTTTAATGAGCGTCACAACAGTGCTTTGCTAGCAGTTAAACTGTCGCTACAACTTCTGCAGGGGCGGTTTCAGCGCCTAAAGTTTCTTGACATGGAGAGGGAATCTGACATCCCTGTTACTATTGTTGCCTGCTGTGTGCTTCACTGTTTTCTTCTACAAGAAGAATGTGAAGATGATGATGAGTTCTTAGATTTTACAGATATTGATCCTAACCCTGATATAAATAAATCAGAAAAAGAGCTTAGAGCACTTAGCAACCATTACCAACCAGAGGCAGCCAGTAAACGAGATGTGTTGGCTAATTTAATATCACCAGTTCAGTGCTAGATTGCATTTTTCTGTTTTGTTATTCTGTTTTATTGTTACCAGTTTTCCTAGTGTTCAACAGTAGAGAAACCAGTATTAAAGTGTATATACTAAGCACTCTGTGATAAGGCTGTCTTCAGATAGCTCAGAAAGTATTGAGATTTTTTTTAAAAAGGTAAAATAATGGGATGGATCCACCCAACCAGAATTAGCCACTAATTAATTTAATTTCTTAGACCTCCTATATGTCTAAGCTGGAAGTATTTGTTGTGAAGATGATATTTAAAATTTATAAATTGAATCATCATAATTTTTAAAAACTGACATCCCAAGAAGATATATGTTAAAAAGATCAGCTATGCATATTTTGGTGATTTCTGTAAATAGGTATTTTTTTATCATCTCTGATAAGTAATCTCAAAAGATACTTATAAATTTTACTAATAAACAAGTTTTACCCCTAAAGATGTAAGAAGTGACTAGTAGGACAATTATTTATTCAATATTATAAATCTATTTACAAATGTTTAAGGAACAATGTCACTAATTTTTAAACAAAGTAAATTTTTAATGTAATATTTAATTTTAATAAGTTATGTTACACATGTTTTACCACTGATTGATTTGTGCTAGGCAAAGCATTTATTGTTGTGTTTATCAACCTTAAATTCCTTCTTTGCTTGAGCCTAAAGTATACTGTGGATTTCAGTATTTGTTAGTTAAACAATCAGTTGTGTTGAACCTGGTTGATGAAGTCAATTGCAGTAAGTTGTTACTTTTTAACTCTTTGTGTTTTGAGGTTTTATTATTTATTTGATATTTGGTGCTGAAACCTTTTTTGAATAATTTTTTGTTGTTTTTTTTAATTGTGATTCATTTTAAAGAAAAATGTCAAAGTTTTGAGGGAAGAATTAGATTTGTTGTATTTAGTATTCTAATGATTATTTTTCAATGTCTAGCAATTGCAAAAATACTAAATACAAATAATAATTAATATTTTTATGTTGACTTGTTAGCAGTGTCTATAAATACGGGTACAGTATGTGTGTTTTTACAAATAAATGAAAGAGTTTTAAAAGCTAATTAATTATTAAAACCTATTCTATTTCAAATGCCTTTAATGTTTGTTTTTATTTACAATACAAAAAGTATATATAATTTAAATAAATAAATTTTTAAATAAACTAGTTTGACCTGTTATTATTTACATAGCTAAATAGTTATGCTTTTTACAAAGATCAGGGTCATTTGATCTTCCGCTTATTATTTCACACAGTAAATCTTTTTTACACTGGTCCTCACATGGTGCTGATGGATACAAGTTATTTCTGTATCTGAAATATTCAAATAATATCTTAAATAAATCTCATCTCCTTCAACAAGTGTTAAGCTTGTTTTTACATGTTGTTTTTTACATTGTTTTGCTGTGGTAAATAAAGTTTGGCGTCTCACCTTTATTGTTAAATACATTAGTGCTAAACAAATAGGTGTTTTTTTCTGAACAACTAAAATCATTAGTGAACCTATCAAATTAATTGAAATCAGTAACTAAGGCTTTTCTTAAGCAAAATAACTTACAGATTAAAAATTTGAAACATATGGTCATCTGACTGTAGTCTGTTGATCAAATTGTTCCAATCTGCTGCATACAAGCTTGTCATATTATACAGTTTCTGTGGAAGAAATCAGCATTAATCTCTAGAATTAAAATACTACATTACTTTTGAAATGGCTGCTTCATAAAAACTTAGTCATTTGGTTAAAAACAAAAGTTTAGCTAAGTCTCTTAAATATTTTTTTATGTGAGCATTACATCTTTAGCAAATAAATTTATGGCCTGAACAAAGCTGTTTATAAAATTTACTTTATGCTTAACATTCAATAAACCTCTATATCAAATATTCTTTACATGTGTATTTACCTTTGGGGAGTAAGAGTATTTCCATGTAGGGTAGCCTGACTGGTTTGCCTCCGTCAAATTGAGATAAATGCTGTCATAATCTAACACAGCCTAGAAATATAAACACATTTATTCACAAAAACCCTTGTCGACTAGCACAAACATGGATGTATTACTTAACTACTGTATGTACACACACCAACATGAATGTATTACATAACTACTGCTGTAGACACATGAACATGAGTGAGTGTATTACATAACTACTATATGTCTCCATGTACCCATGAGCTTCCAGTGTAATTTCCATCCATGGTGTAGATCCTGAAGATGGGATTAATGTTTGAGCCAGGAGTGATGCTGGGTGCTACAAATCCAAATCCTACTGGTCTCTGGAAGTTTGTCTCATCATAGAACATTTGGAACCAGTCGTGATGGCTGTGGCCATAAAACTGATTCACTATGGTGTTCTCATACCTACAAAATTGTTTCACAATTATAATTATTTAAACCCTTTATCTTTGATGAAGAAAAAGTTGTGTTTTAACCATGACACTAATTAATATTACTAAATCTCAGAGCTTTAGTTACTTGTATTTATAAAAATTAAGTTTCCTAACTAATCACCAATAAAATAACATCAACTACACTTATTTCTTAGTAAGGAAAAACCCCAGAAATATGAATGTTTTCTTACATATTGGTAACTGATTTTTTGGCGGTCATTGATTTTGGTGGTAGGAATAGATTTATTGCTAATGGTGGCCAAGAAAAGTAGGATCTATTTTAAGAATTCTTTATAGTTCAAATTTAGTAAGTGGATTTTATTTCTGAACTTTAAAACGCAATAAAAAGTTAAATTTCAAATCTAAGAAACTGATACCAGCCTGTTGACAATTTTGTAATAATTCCAACTCCAGGCCTTCAGACAGCCTCCATCCCCAGGTGGTATGTGCATCAACATGTGAACCTAGGACCAAATCTTGATATAGCTAGCTGTATCAGAATTAACTCAGTTCTTTATATTAGGGAGTTATTATACTAAATATATAAGTGACCTTTGTATATAGATTCAAACAAGCCATCTCATAATACCCTTAATGTATCACATGTTAAGTTCTTGTAATTGTTTTTTTTTTGTCTGACTAGAGAAAAGGGGTCAATCATATAAAGTTGTATAGATCATTATGTTATTTGCATTTGTTGGTAGCTGTTTTATTGATAAATAACTAAAAACTCATCATTACCTTTTCATGTTTGTCCTCTGCTTTTTGTAGCTCTGCTACCAACCAGTGTAGAACATTGCATGGATCAGTTGCATTGATTAACAGCCACCTAGGAACATTTTTATAATTTTAACTTTAAATTATACAAAAATAGAGCTCCTAGTACCAGTAGATTTATATAAAATTGCAAGTAGTAAAATGATGAAGAATTAGTCTCCTCTTTCTATTAGCTTTTATTCATTTCATAATGTCTGTTTTTGTATGTTTGTTTGTTGGCTTTGGCAAATCTTATAACATAATTTTGCCCCACTTCTAATGCAGCTATTTCGCTTATACTTTCCAGATACATTATAACTATAAAAAGCCTACCAGTTTTGGTTGTTACAATAGTTATTGTTGATTGAGATTATTCTAAAGCCTGGATAAGGGGAGAAGGAATATCCACCACAGCTGTTGATAAATATGAATATATATATATATATATATATATATATATATAATTATATATAATTTTATATATATATATATATATATGTATGTATATATATATATATGTATGTATATATATATGTATATATATATATGTATATATATATATGTATATATATATATATATATATATATATATATATATATATATATATATATATATATATATATATATATATACATATATGTATATGTATATATATGTATATATACATGCAATAAACTTCAACAAGTCAACAAGGGCACTTAATTTGTTTTTATATATTGAAGTAAAATAAAAAATAAAGTTAATATTAAAACTTGTAACCCACTGCAAAATGTACCTTAAACATACAGGATTAAAAGCATCCTTCTGTGTAACATTTCAATGTCAAAAAAAAAACATTAAATGCAATCAATATAAAACTCTTTAATCGTGAGAGATCTGATCTGTATAAAACTAATCAACTTGATCTTTAAAATCTCTAACCAACCTGATCTTAATAAACGTGTTAAAGCTAGTCCACTAGACAGGTAGCATGTAGACAAACAGCCATTCTACTGGGCAGGTATCATATAGCACCAATTCACTCTAATATAGTTACAGAGTCAACATTTTTTCTCTGCCCATTACACTTATGTTTTATCAGGGAACTTTATTTTTGTACTCTATTATTTCAGAACTAGGATGATGGTATAGCATAACTTGCCTTATGATAGTATCTATAACAGACTGACATAACTTGCCTTAAGATAGTATCTATCACAGATTGTCACATAACTTGCCTTATGATAGTATCTATAACAGACTGACATAACTTGCCTTAAGATAGTATGTATCACAGATTGTGACATAACTTGCCTTAAGATAGTATCTATCACAGATTGTGACATTACTTGCCTTAAGATAGTATCTATAACAGACTGACATAACTTGCCTTAAGATAGTATCTATCACAGATTGTGACATAACTTGCCTTAAGATAGTATCTATAACAGACTGACATAACATGCCTTAAGATAGTATCTATCACAGATTGTGACATAACTTGCCTTATGATAGTATCTATAACAGACTGACATAACATGCCTTAAGATAGTATATATCACAGATTGTGACATAACTTGCCTTATGATAGTATCTATAACAGACTGACATAACTTGCCTTAAGATAGTACCTATCACAGAGTGTGGTATAACTTGCCTTAAGATAGTATCTATCACAGATTGTGACATAACTTGCCTTAAGATAGTATCTATCGCAGACTGTGACCTTACTTGCCTTAAGATAGTATCTATCACAGATTGTGACATAACTTGCCTTAAGATAGTATCTATCACAGACTGACATAACTTGCCTTAAGATAGTATCTATCGCAGACTGTGACCTTACTTGCCTTAAGATAGTATCTATCACAGATTGTGACATAACTTGCCTTAAGATAGTATCTATAACAGACTGACATAACTTGCCTTAAGATAGTATCTATTACAGAGTGACATAACTTACCTTAAGATAGTATCTATTGCAGACTGTGACAGCCACTTTCCCCATGAGTTAGCCAGAGCTCCATACAGCCAGTCCATGTTGTGGCCAGAAATACCAGGAGGAGGGAAGCTGGAGTGTGTCAAATATCACTACATCATGTCTCATACATTTATACAGCATAAACACTAGAGTAGCATAGAAGTATAAGTAACCATAGGTACATAGCTAAAAGATTTTTGTAAAATTAATATAAGTATGTTTTTTTTATAAGTCTAATATTATATAAGTTTTCCAGAGCATCAAAAATTAATAGTTAAAGTAACTTTAGCTACTTATTAATAAAACCGCAACACTATGTATTGAAAGATATTTTTTGCAAGTGTTGCTATATAACTATATTTAACCCTAGCCTTAACCCTAATATTAATCTTGACAAACAGGTAGGCCAAAAAATGTGTCATGATTGATAAAGTTTTCTCCTTGTTATAATACACCCACTACCATGTGAGAAAGTATTACTAGGATATATTTTCACCTGTTGACTGGGGTGCTTTCATGGTTCCCTATGCATGAGTAGACAGGTTTATCTGGCAAGTACTGGCTGAACAGCTTGTCCAGTGCAGCAACATGAGCTATCTGGTCAGTCTTGGTCTGGTTCCATACATCATGGGCGGGGACATCACCGGTCATGATGATGTAGTCAAACTGTGGGCAGGGGTAGGAATTATCAAACTAGATGTTCATCTTTACTTCTTATTTTAGATATTGGTTTTATTTTATTGTTAATATATTTTGATTTTTTAGTTAAAACCTGACAAGACAATATCAATGATTGTCTTTTTGCTGGTACCAAAGTTAGCATCAAGGTTAATATTAGGGTTAATTTTTAGGGCTGGTGTTTAGGTAAGTAATAGGCTTATGATTAGGGTTAGAATTAGAGTATCAATACTAGCAAATAAACAGCTGGGCATACATTACATTAATGTTACCTCAGTATGAAAGCTACGTTACATCAAAATGTTACCTCAGTATGAAAACAACTCACCTGGTCTTTGATAGTACTCAGGTGTTTGAATAAAGAAACCAGCAGATCTACTGGGGCATCACATTGGTTGAAGTCTCCATACCTGCCAGCTGTAGATGAGCTCAGAGCTGGTGCAGAGGTAAAATAGATATCTAATTAAATGTAGAGAGAAATTTAAATGGTAAATGTTGGCTAAGGTCGTATAGAGGTGTAAAATAGATACAATCATTCGTGTTCATCACCCTTAGCTTAAGAGTGAGGTAACTGATCAAGAGGAAAAAAATTTCACTTATTTTCTAGCTTAACTTGTGCTGGATACCACCAAAGAAATGACTTACCATGGGAAGTGGAGTTGTATTCGCTAGTTTTGTTTCTGAACTTATCATATAGAAGATAACCACCAAAGAAATGACTTACTATGGTAAGTGGAGTTGTATAGAAGATCACCACAAAGAAATGACTTACCATGGGAAGTGGAGTTGTATAGAAGATCACCATAAAAAAAATGACATACCATGGGAAGTGGAGTTGTATAGAAGATCACCACTAAAGAAATGACTTACCATGGGAAGTGGAGTTGTATAAGATCACTTCAAAGAAATGACTTACCATGGGAATGGAGTTGTATAGAAGATCACCATAAAAAAATGACTTACCATGGTAAGTGGAGTTGTATAGAAGATCACCACAAAGAAATGACTTACTATGGGAAGTGGCGTTGTATAGAAGATTACCACTAAAGAAATGACTTACCATGGGAAGTGGAGTTGTATAGAAGATCACCACAAAGAAATGACTTACTGTGGGAAGTGGAGTTGTAATTGTATAGAAGATCACCATAAAAAAATGACTTACCATGGGAAGTGGAGTTGTATAGAAGATCACCACAAAGAAATGACTTACTGTGGGAAGTGGAGTTGTAATTGTATAGAAGATCACCATAAAAAAATGACTTACCATGGGAAGTGGAGTTGTATAGAAGATCACCACAAAGAAATGACTTACCATGGGAAGTGGAGTTGTATAGAGGATCACCACCAAAGCAATGACTTACTATGGGAAGTGAAGTTGTATTCGCTAGTTTTGTTTCTGAACTTATCATATAGAAGATCACCACAAAGAAATGACTTACTATGGGAAGTGGAGTTGTATAGAAGATCACCACAAAGAAATGACTTACCATGGGAAGTGGAGTTGTATAGAAGATCACCACAAAGAAATGACTTACCATGGGAAGTGGAGTTGTATAGAAGATCACCACAAAGCAATGACTTACCATGGGAAGTGGAGTTGTATAGAAGATCACCATCAAAGCAATGACTTACCATGGGAAGTGGAGTTGTATAGAAGATCACCACAAATAAAAGACTTACTATGGGCAGTGGAGTTGTCACTGGCCCTGCAACAGAGTGGCTCCCCACACAGAGGGTTGGCCCCCTGCCTGTAGTCAAAGTCCCAGTGTATGTCTGTCAGGTGAAGAAATCTAACTGTGGGACTACTGGGCTGTACGTACATAAACACTGTATGTTATTTTAATGTTACCCTCTAGCCAAATCTTTGCTGTTTCCACAGGTAATTATCATTAAAAAGTTTGTAAATAGATGGTGGGTGGGGTTGATTACAAATTGATTTTTATTAAAATATTAGTGCTTTGACAGTAAAAAGTGGAAAAGAAGTCAAGCAAACAATAATTTTTATTTGTCTTATAAAACTAAGCTACCTTAGGTGGGGTGGGAGGCTGGGGAGGTGGTTTGGGGGTGTTTGGTAGAGTTATGTTCCACATTTCCCCAGGATAGTAGGGCGATCCACATGAATCTCCAAGAATGATGCCACAAGCTTCTTTAGGATCTAGGACCAAGTTGTCCACTACATAGAGTATCTCTTCCTGTGGACACATTTTTAAAATGTTCAATATTAGTCTTCCAAAAAATGATGTAAGAAATGTTATTTTATTTTATTGTCTAATTATTTGATATTTATATTACATTTTTTTCTGATAAGTTACTGTAACTGTAAGGGTTAAAATTCTGTTTCATTGAAATTTTTTTTTTGCATTTTTTTTATATGTAAGGAACGATAATCGTAAAGAGAGATAACCATTTTTATTTTACAGAGTGCAATTTTCTAACGCTGACCTCCCTTTTTATATAAAAAAAAAATCAGATATTCATAACAAGATATCGATCTACAACGTAAAATTTGAAATTAAGCTTACACTTTGACAACACTCAATTCGTCCTAAAGAATTAACTCACGTGAAACAGCGGAACAATCATGCTGCAAACACGTGCGTCCTCGATCTTGAACAATATGCAAATCTTGATGGCCTCTTTCACGATGACGTCAACCGCCGTCTGCTTTCTGATCATGTCTTGTAACTCTAACGTAATCCAAACACACAGGTCGCAGGTCACCCCTCGCCATCGCCGTAACAAGAACGACTGCTCGCTGTCTCCCAACACAGTGACCTTTGAACTACCAGCTCCATCTGGCGGGTTGTTGGGTCCATTCCCCGCTGTCACAGAGAGCAAGAGGAGTAACCAAAACAGACATATCACTTTGTACATGATAGTTTTTTTGTTGGTTTTATTTCTCTGTTAGCGCTGTTGTGTGTGGCTCAACAAATAAGTGCAATAATAATCAGATCAGATACTGATGTAGATTAGATACAATTTACATTACTGTTATTTCGCCGTTGATATTTTTTGTTATCCATGCGACCTTTATGATAAAAAAGGGTATCCTAATACTGTTAATGACAGTGTTATGTACTATCATGGCCAGAGCATTATCACTTACTTAGTATCTAAACAGACAGAACAACGAACAAAACTAGATCAGAGCTGTAAGACGTTTTAACTGCGGAGTAGGGAGTAGCGCAATGATAGGAAAAAATCGAGATATTTTTTTTTTACACATACAGGGTTATCATGTTCAAAAGTAAAGTTCGCATTTAGAATCCGACGGTCAATGGGGTAAGTGAAGTAGAGTTCCCCTCGGCAAATGAAAGGATAGTGTGGTCAGCCCTTTCGCCCAACCACCATTACTTTTCCTAAAGCAAGTCAGATACCTATCAAAAACAAATTCGAGACTTTCCGGTTTACAGTCTAGGGAAGGGTGGGGGGATCTGCGAAAGCTTACTGACAATACTAAAGGCAGCATGCTAAGGACTATCATGTAGAGCAGGGGTCTCCACACTTTTCAGTCCGAGGGCCGCATTGACTATAAAATTTCAGTTAGGGGGCCAGTTTCTTTCAGGCATATCTTTGATTTTTCTGGGCAAAGTTCCTCAGCCATCACCAACAAACGTTTTTTTTTTCGTGGACAAAAAGATCTCCGCGGGCCGGATGAGAGGACCTCGCGGGCCGCATTCGGCCCGTGGGCCGTAGTTTGGAGACCCCTGATGTAGAGTATGGCACACCAACCACACAGAAGTGCCAGAGAAGACTGAAGTGAGAAAGTTTTGTCTTCTCTCTACACAACTGTGGCCACAGGGCTGTCAAACTGGATACAATGGACACAGGAGATACGCCTTGGTTAGACACAGGCATACAGTGTGGGTTACCTCTAGGGACAGATGGAGGAACCAGGTCAAGACAGAGAACCAAGCCTCCTGGAGCGACAGGCTAGCTACGTTACCACTAGCTTACTAAATACCTTTTCAAATTGGTGCTAAGGCAAATACGTTTCGTTTTTCTCGAGCTGCGACGAGTCTCTCAACAAAGTTTCGTTATTTTTAACATACGAGTTTAATTAAAATAGTTTTCATTTAAAGTAATAAACTAAATTGACAAAGATAAAACAGTATGTGTTAGAAAGGCCTAAGAATTCATGTCTGTCTGTGTACTTTCACTACATCTAATTTTAGAAACATTTAATATAAAGTTTAGTAACTCTTACTTTGTGTTCTGGTAACCAATGGGTTATTTCCCTTTTAAAGACTATTAAAAGCACAAAGTTTGGTTACTCTTACATATCGTGGGTTATATCCCTTTTATTTTGCACCACTTAGTTAACTGATGCACAGCGTATCTGACAGAGTTAATTGTCCCAATGAGGAGAATGTATGTGACCGGTACACAACTCAGCCATCGTACGTGCCTACTGGAGCTGTATGTGACGTCACACAGACACCGGCTTTTCACAACATTTTGAACTCTTAACTCTAACCTTTTGTACTTATGTTTATGTATGTTTACAAATAGTATCAGCCACCACCCCCGCCCCTTTTCAAACACAGACGCACATACAAACCTCTCCAGTCAATCCCAAAACAGGAAACAATTTATATTGTGGCGAAATATTTTATTTTACAGCCGGTTAAAAAAACAACGAAAAACACAACACTTCACTGTGAAAGTTGTTAAATCGAACCCTACTTTCAAATATTTAAAAAATATTACAGTAATCTTCACTACGCTATTGTTTTCATTGAAGAAGTACAAGTGACTTTCTCAACATTGACGCGATTCTCAAATGTTTTTTTTTTAAATTATGTCCACGAAATCCTTTTGCGATCTATAGGGGTTAAACGTATTAAAAAAAATTAAGATTTTTGGGATGGAGACTGTGTCTTTCGAACATATCACAGCGGAAGTGTAGGAGAGCACCTTTTCCGGAAGTTTCAAGTGCCTTCACACACCCCGAAAGAAACCCTGTTTAGAGGAATGCTTTAAATAAATTATTTTTACAACTATTTACAGTATTTATTACTAATTCGAAAATAAAAGCGCTGGTTTTAAACTCCACTGATGTGCTTTTTACAAAGGTCAGGGTCGTAGGACCTCCCGTCTATGATGTCACAGAGCATATCTGTCTTGCACGTGCCTTGGCAGGGCGACACCGGATATAGGTTGCGGTAGTAGCTGAAATTTAAAAAAAAAACAATACTTGGTCCGGTCAGGCGAAACAAATGTCAATTTTAAAGGTTAGTTTACCTTTATCTTATCGGGGTTTAAACGCTATCAGACTTCAGTAGTGTAGGGGTAAAATGTGTGATAGGTGTATGAAATATTTGTTCATTAATCTATGCTGATGTGTTCAGATGGTGGTGATTTGGGGGGGGGGGGGGGGATCACGCGTCTTTTTTATCACGTAACATTGACTTGCATGCCTCGTGTGGTAATACAAAACCTCACCCATAACATTTCTGAAACAGGCTGTCGTCCTTCTCCATCCTCTGTATCAGACCGTCCCCACACCCCCATCCCATCCCACCCCCACAGCCTCACCCATAAAATTTCTGAAACATGCTGTCGTCCTTCTCCATCCTCTGTATCAGACCGTCCCCACACCCCCATCCCATCCCACCCCCACAGCCTCACCCATAAAATTTCTGAAACAGGCTGTCGTCCTTCTCCATCCTCTGTATCAGACCGTCCCCACACCCCCATCCCATCCCACCCCCACAGCCTCACCCATAAAATTTCTGAAACATGCTGTCGTCCTTCTCCATCCTCTGTATCAGACCGTCCCCACACCCCCATCCCATCCCACCCCCACAGCCTCACCCATAAAATTTCTGAAACAGGCTGTCGTCCTTCTCCATCCTCTGTATCAGACCATCCCAGTCCCTGGCGTACAGACCCGTCATGTTGTAGGCTTGCTGGTGTAGGAATAATTTTGTTTTACTCGAACTATTTACAACATGAAATTTGAACCATTTCATTAAAACTACAGCGTCAAACAATCCCTCGTCTCTCTCAACTTTCTCATCAGTCACATGGTACACCAACCACATTTCTTTCAACAATCCCTGATTTAGTTCAAGGGAGCATCACACTGCATGCAACTTGCATCATTTTATTTCAAAAATATTGAGTCAAATAAATGAGTCAAAATTTTGGATAAAAATTTCTGAATGTACAAAAATGCGAAATTTACCTTAGCCGAGTATTCGAGTTGCCAGGTGGGATAACCTTTTAAGTTGGCGTCAGTTATATTCAGGTAAAAGCTGGTGTAGTCCAGTACTGCCTGTAGAGATGGGCTGATTTCATTAGCTGTTTCATGCTTGTCACGTCGTCGTAAAAATAAAGTGTCTATACGATCCTTTCGGTTCAGGTGGCAGGTGAAGTAGAGCTCACCTGTAGCAATGACCTCGGTATATGAAGGGATAGTGTGGTCAGCACTATGTCTAGCCGCCTTAACTTTTCATATTATGAGTCAGGTACCCACCAGCCCCGTCCATGGTGTAGATGTTAAGATCAAACACGACTTACGTATGAGCTGCCTGGGTAGTCCCCCCCCCCCCTCCGTCCATGGTGTAAATGTTAAGATCAAACACGACTTACGTATGAGCTACCTGGGTAGTCCCCGTCCATGGTGTAGATGCGGTAGATGGGGTTGTTGTAGGAGTATGTCGTGACGCTGGGGGCCACAAACCCGAACCCCAACGGCCGCTGGAAGGTGACGTTATCGTAGAACATCTGGTACCAGTCCTGGTGGCTGTGGCCGTAGAATTGGTTCACGATGGTGTTCTCGTACCTGTTCAATGGGAGAGAACAACAAATATTTTAGCTAAACACAAAAACTATAGAACTGGTTCAAGATGGTGTTCTCGTACCTGGGCTTTAGAAATTTTAGAAAAAGTCTTTTTATAGTATTTAATGTACAGGGCTGCTTTCATGACGCAATATTTCTGGTTTTCCAGAAATCATAAAAATATTTCAGCGACAGTCTAACCTTTAACCCTCTAGCTACCAACCTTTAACCCTCTAGCTACCTACCTTTAACCCTCTAGCTACCTACCTTTAACCCTCTAGCTACTGACCTGTTGACGATGGTGTAAAAGTTGTAGCTCCAACCCTTAACCCTCTAGCTACTGACCTGTTGACGATGGTGTAAAAGTTGTAGCTCCAACCTTTAACCCTCTAGCTACCAACCTTTAACCCTCTAGCTACTGACCTGTTGACGATGGTGTAAAAGTTGTAGCTCCAACCTTTAACCCTCTAGCTACCAACCTTTAACCCTCTAGCTACTGACCTGTTGACGATGGTGTAAAAGTTGTAGCTCCAACCTTTAACCCTCTAGCTACCAACCTTTAACCCTCTAGCTACTGACCTGTTGACGATGGTGTAAAAGTTGTAGCTCCAACCTTTAACCCTCTAGCTACTGACCTGTTGACGATGGTGTAAAAGTTGTAGCTCCAACCTTTAACCCTCTAGCTACTGACCTGTTGACGATGGTGTAAAAGTTGTAGCTCCAACCTTTAACCCTCTAGCTACTGACCTGTTGACGATGGTGTAAAAGTTGTAGCTCCAACCTTTCATACAGTCCGTCTGGCCGGGCGGGATGTGCATTAGGATGTGGACCTGGACAAGAGGTGATGTGTAGGTCAGTTGGTTTGGTCAGGGGTTGGGTTCAGGGTTGGTCGGGGGGGGGGGGGGGGGTTCGGGGTTGTTCGGGGGTTGGGTTCAAGGTTGGTCGAGGGTTGGGTTCTAGGTTGGTCAGGTAGAAGTAATATCGAAGAACAACACAGGGGTGATAGAACTAGTTTAGTATTGTTCAGGACTCTGTCCAAGCTGGTAGGATAAACTCATAATGACAACTGTATTGTGGCCAGATTTTTTAGCATTGTCGGGTAAAAGGAAAAGAACATTATTAAAATATTTACAATGGCAGAAAATTTAAATTTTAAGACAGAGGAATATTTCTAGATTTTTAAATTAAAAAAAGATTTTAAATCGAATTTAAAAAAAAATTAACTGATGACCTTTTCGCCTTTGTCCTCGGCACTTTGCAGCTCCTGAATAAGCCACTGCATAACGTTGCACGGGTCTGTGGAGTTGAGTAGCAGCCACCTATGGAGACAATCCATGGTTCATAAGGCGACGGCCAAGGTTAAAATTGCAGGTGCAGAACAATCCCGAAAACTATATTTTATTGATTTCTCGATTTATAAGAAAAAGTGATCTGAAACTATTAAAATCTGTAACATACCAACATAAATTATTGTTTTTACCTAGATAGGAATTTTATAATCAGTATAAAGTTTTTTTTTTTAAAAACACCTTAAAAATATACCAAGACTCAGTAGTCATGAGATCCTAATCTCATGCAGGTGACTAATTAAATAGTTGATGATTTTATCCAGCACACGATGATGTACTCACCAGTTGAGCTTGTAGCAGTAGATGTTGTTGACAGAGATGATTCTAAAGTCTGGGTAGGGGGACACTGAGAACACCCCACAGCTGAGGATTTGGAGGGACACTTCTTTAGACATTTAGGCAGATATATATATATATATATATATATATATATATATATAATATATATATATATATATATATTATCTAGGAGGCAAATTAAAACGACAGTGAGCAAGCTCACTAGCAGGTGAGTTGTTCGTCTGCTCATTAGCTGTACGATACATCGCATATTCACGTGAAATCTCATTCTACAGTGTTCTACTGTCGTCACGGTGTTAATGTTATGAACAGATAAGGTACTTTTAGTTATCAGATAATCTGTTACGTTATCTGATAATCAGAGTACGTTATCAGCCATGTCAACTAAGAAATCACAACAGACTGTAAAATATCTGAAGCCCGAATATTTTTTGACAATGCCGAGAAATCGGCAAGGATATGGATACTTTGTTTACCAACCTGTGAACGGTATCCAAGAATGTGGGTACTTTGTTTACCAACCTGAGAACGGTATCCAAGAATGTGGGTACTTTGTTTACCAACCTGAGAACGGTATCCAAGAATGTGGGTACTTTGTTTACCAACCTGAGAACGGTATCCAAGAATGTGGATACTTTGTTTACCAACCTGAGAACGGTATCCAAGAATGTGGATACTTTGTTTACCAACCTGAGAACGGTATCCAAGAATGTGGATACTTTGTTTACCAACCTGAGAACGGTATCCAAGAATGTGGGTACTTTGTTTACCAACCTGAGAACGGTATCCAAGAATGTGGATACTTTGTTTACCAACCTGAGAACGGTATCCAAGAATGTGGATACTTTGTTTACCAACCTGAGAACGGTATCCAAGAATGTGGATACTTTGTTTACCAACCTGAGAACGGTATCCAAGAATGTGGGTACTTTGTTTACCAACCTGAGAACGGTATCCAAGGATGTGGGTACTTTGTTTACCAACCTGAGAACGGTATCCAGGGCGTCCTGTGGCAGCCATTTTCCCCACGAGTCAGCCAGGGCCCCGTACAGCCAGCCCATGTCCTGGCCTGGTATGCCCGGGGGCGGGAAGCTAAGGGGGAGGGAGGGGATGTTAGTTAACTCGTCACATCGATGTATGGTGTATGACATACTTTGATAGTCTGGTCAAAATTTAGCGGATCAAATAATGTTGTCTTTAGCAGCTTTTCGAAATGGCAGGTTCATTACTGGAGGGTTATCGGGTACTCACAAGCTAAAGGGTACTCAATGTTACAGGGTACTAAAAGTTACAGTTTACTTAAAGTTACAGGGTACTTAAAGTTACACTGTACTCAATGTTACAGGGTACTCAAAATTAGGGTACTAGAAGTTACAGGGTACTCAAATTTAGGATACTCAAAGTTACAAGGTACTAAAATTAACAGGGTAGGGCCTACTTAAAGTTACAGGGTACTAAAAGTTACAGTTTATTTAAAGTTACAGGTTACTCAATGTTACAGGATACTCAAAGTTACAAGGTACTAAAATTAACAGGGTAGGGCCTACTTAAAGTTACAAGGTACTAAAAGTTACAGTTTACTCAAAGTTACAGGGTACTTAAAGTGACTGTGTACTCACGAGTTGCAGGGTGTACTCTCGTGGTTACCCACACTGGCGTAGAACGGCTTGGTGGGCAGGTACTGGTTGAAGAGCTTGCCGAGGGTGATCACGTGGGACACCTGCTCTGTTTTGGTCTGGCTCCATACGTCATGGGCGGGGATGTCGCCCGTCATGATGACGTAATCAAACTGAGGACAAATTGGTTTTCTTATATTACCTTTTATCATTTTTTTAAACTGATTATTATTTTTTTTTACTCAAAATCAATTGAATCAAATTTTTTGTAAACAGCATGAATGAAAATTAAGTAGACTGTGCTGAGAACTACACGTTTATTTTTAACTGACGGCTAGGTTGATTTAATCAGACAAGAATTTCCTTTAGTCATTGAACTTCACTAAACAACTTAACCTCCACTTCTGTTTTAGATGAAGGTGGGTTTGTCTTGAGGCTGTTTCGCCAGTGGTTGTTGTTTAGCTGTACTGACGACAGCAGCGATCCGTCACTAAACAGTCAGCAGCAACTACCAATCGCTAGCTGAGGAGTGGCAGTAGATTTCATGTCTGGCACTAAACTAGGACAACAGCTGTACCTGGTCCTGTAGGACAACAGCTGGTCCTGTAGGACAACAGTTGGTCCTGTAGGACAACAGCTTTACCTGGTCCTGTAGGACAACAGCTTTACCTGTAGGACAACACCTGGTCCTGTAGGACAACAGCTGGTCCTGTAGGACAACACCTGGTCCTGTAGGACAACAGCTTTACCTGGTCCTGTAGGACAACAGCTTTACCTGGTCCTGTAGGACAACAGCTTTACCTGTATGACCACAGCTTTACCTGTAGGACAACACCTGGTCCTGTAGGACAACAGCTGGTCCTGTAGGACAACACCTGGTCCTGTAGGACAACAGCTTTACCTGGTCCTGTAGGACAACAGCTTTACCTGGTCCTGTAGGACAACAGCTTTACCTGGTCCTGTAGGACAACAGCTTTACCTGGTCCTGTAGGACAACACCTGGTCCTGTAGGACAACAGCTGGTCCTGTAGGACAACACCTGGTCCTGTAGGACAACAACTGGTCCTGTAGGACAACAGCTGATCCTGTAGGACAACACCTGGTCCTGTAGGACAACAACTGGTCCTGTAGGACAACAGCTTTACCTGGTCCTGTAGGACAACAGCTTTACCTGTAGGACAACACCTGATCCTGTAGGACAACACCTGGTCCTGTAGGACAACAACTAGTCCTGTAGGACAACAGCTTTACCTGGTCCTGTAGGACAACAGCTTTACCTGTAGGACAACACCTGATCCTGTAGGACAACACCTGGTCCTGTAGGACAACACCTGGTCCTGTATGACAACAGCTTTACCTGTAGGACAACACCTGGTCCTGTAGGACAACAGCTGGTCCTGTAGGACAACACCTGGTCCTGTAGGACAACAGCTTTACCTGGTCCTGTAGGACAACAGCTTTACCTGGTCCTGTAGGACAACAGCTTTACCTGGTCCTGTAGGACAACACCTGGTCCTGTAGGACAACAGCTGGTCCTGTAGGACAACACCTGGTCCTGTAGGACAACAACTGGTCCTGTAGGACAACAGCTGATCCTGTAGGACAACACCTGGTCCTGTAGGACAACAACTGGTCCTGTAGGACAACAGCTTTACCTGGTCCTGTAGGACAACAGCTTTACCTGTAGGACAACACCTGATCCTGTAGGACAACACCTGGTCCTGTAGGACAACAACTGGTCCTGTAGGACAACAGCTTTACCTGGTCCTGTAGGACAACAGCTTTACCTGTAGGACAACACCTGATCCTGTAGGACAACACCTGGTCCTGTAGGACAACACCTGGTCCTGTAGGACAACAGCTTTACCTGGTCCTGTAGGACAACAGCTGGTCCTGTAGGACAACAGCTTTACCTGTAGGACAACAGCTTTACCTGTAGGACAACAACTTTACCTGTAGGACAACAACTTTACCTGTAGGACAACAGCTTTACCTGGTCCTGTAGGACAACAGCTTTATCTGATCCTGTAGGACAACAGCTGGTCCTGTAGGACAACAGCTTTACCTGTAGGACAACAGCTTTACCTGGTCCTGTAGGACAACAACTGGTCCTGTAGGACAACACCTGATCCTCTAGGACAACACCTGGTCCTGTAGGACAACAGCTTTACCTGTAGGACAACAGCTTTACCTATAGGACAACAGCTTTACCTGTAGGACAACAGCTGGTCCTGTAGGACAACAGCTTTACCTGTAGGACAACAGCTTTACATGTAGGACAACAGCTTTACCTGTAGGACAACAGCTGGTCCTGTAGGACAACACCTGGTCCTGTAGGACAACACCTGGTCCTGTAGGACAACACCTGGTCCTGTAGGACAACAGCTTTACCTGTAGGACAACAGCTTTACATGTAGGACAACAGCTTTACCTGTAGGACAACACCTGGTCCTGTAGGACAACACCTTGTCCTGTAGGACAACACCTTGTCCTGTAGGACAACACCTGGTCCTGTAGGACAACAGCTTTACCTGTAGGACAACAGCTGGTCCTGTAGGACAACACCTGGTCCTGTAGGACAACAACTGGTCCTGTAGGACAACTTTACCTGGTCCTGTATGGCGCTCAGCTGACTGAACAATGAGGTTATTGACGTCATAGGGATGTCACAGTTCCTGTAGTCGCCATATTTACCAGCACTAGACGTCTGGGACTTGTGATACTTGGCACTTCCGTCTGGTGGGAGAGACGGTCAATGGCTGAAATCTTGGATACAGAAACACAACACGCTCCATATACAGCGTTAGGGTCCCGGACAAAAGGGGCGACACTTAGTCAATAACAAAAACACTAGTATTAAAATGTTATAAGTTGGACATAGAATATAGACTAATTCCCTACAATCATACCGTGTGACCACTACAATCATATCATGTGACCACTACAATCATACCTTGATTGATCACTACAATCATACCGTGTGACATCTACAATCAAACCGTAATTGACCACTAAAATCATACCGTGGTTGACCACTACAATCATACCGTAATTGACCACTACAATCATACCGTGGTTGACCACTACAATCATACCGTAATTGACCACTAAAATCATACCGTGGTTGACCACTACAATCATACCGTAATTGACCACTACAATCATACCGTGGTTGACCACTACAATCATTTCATGTGACCACTACAATCATACCTTGATTGGCCACTACAATCATACCGTGTGACCACTACAATCAAACCGTAATTGACCACTAAAATCATACCGTGGTTGACCACTACAATCATACCGTAATTGACCACTACAATCATACCGTGGTTGACCACTACAATCCTACCATGATTGACCACTACAATCATACCGTAATTGACCACTACAATCATACCGTGGTTGACCACTAGAATTCTACCATGATTGACCACTACAATCATATCGTAATTGACCACTACAATCATACCGTGATTGACCACTACAATTCTACCATGATTGACCACTACAATCATACCATGATTGACCACTGCAATCCTACCGTAATTGACCACTACAATCATACCGTGTGACCACTACAATCCTACCGTGTGACCACTACAATCATACCGTGGTTGACCTCTACAATCATACCGTGATTGAACACTACAATCCTACCGTGATTGACCACTACAATCATACCGTGGTTGACCACTACAATCCTACCGTAATTGACCACTACAATCCTACCGTGTGACCACTACAATCATACCGTGGTTGACCACTACAATCCTACCGTGGTTGTCCAGTGTTGTGTTATCGTCCACTCTACAACACAGCGGCTCACCACACGGCACCGCCGAGCCAGGGGCGTACTTGAGGTCGATGTGGATGTCTGTCAGGTGGAGGAACCTCAGGGTTGGGGACTGGGGCTGTGGACAGAGGTGTGCCCTTTACACGAGGATCGGCAAAGGTATTTTGAGGTAAATAGCAATATCAACCCACATTGCTATTTCAATGCCTAGAAGATTTCTATTTTCAATATAAGTGTCTCGCTAGTACATTGATGTTAAAACACGTTCACTACAATACTTTTCAATGTCTGCTTACCTGAGGGGGAGTTGGTGGTTTGGGCGCCGGTTTGGGGGTGTTGGGGAGCGATATGTTCCACATCTGACCCGGGAAGTAGGGCGTGCTGCACTTGTCGCCCAGAATGATGCCGCAAGCCTCGGCAGGTTCCAGAATGAGGTTGTTGATGACGTAGAGGCCCTCCTCCTGCACGGTGCCAGACACAAAGTCACGTGGTTAGTTTGCTGGATGGGGAACCTTGTACGTGGTACTGGGGAACCTACATGCTACACGTGATACTGGGGGAACTTACATGCTACACGTGATACTGGGGAACCTAAATGCTACACGTGATACTGGGGAACCTAAATGCTACACGTGATACTGGGGAACCTAAATGCTACACGTGATACTGGGGAACCTACATGATACACGTGATACTGGGGAACCTACATGCTGCACGTGCTACTGGGGAACCTACATTCTACACGTGATACGGGGGAACCTACATGCTGCACGTGATACTGGGGAACCTACATGCTACACATGATACTGGGGAACCTACATGCTGCACGTGCTACTGGGGAACCTACATTCTACACGTGATACGGGGGAACCTACATGCTGCACGTGATACTGGGGAACCTACATGCTACACATGATACTGGGGAACCTACATGCTGCACGTGATACAACTCACCTGATACAACTCACCTGATACAACTCACCTGATACAACTCACCTGATACAACTCACCTGATACAACTCACCTGATACAACTCACCTGATACAACTCACCTGATACAACTCACCTGATACAACTCACCTGATACAACTCACCTGATACAACTCACCTGATACAACTCACCTGATACAACTCACCTGATACAACTGATACAACTCACCTGATACAACTCACCTGATACAACTCACCTGATACAAGTCACCTGATACAACTCACCTGATACAACTCACCTGATACAACTCACCTGATACAACTCACCTGATACAACTGATACAACTCACCTGATACAACTGATACAACTCACCTGATACAACTCACCTGATACAACTCACCTGATACAACTCACCTGATACAACTGATACAACTCACCTGATACAACTCACCTGATACACCTGATACAACTCACCTGATACAACTCACCTGATACAACTCACCTGATACAACTCACCTGATACAACTCACCTGATACAACTCACCTGATACAACTCACCTGATACAACTCACCTGATACAACTCACCTGATACAACTGATACAACTCACCTGATACAACTCACCTGATACACCTGATACACCTGATACAACTCACCTGATACAACTCACCTGATACAACTCACCTGATACAACTGATACAACTCACCTGATACAACTCACCTGATACACCTGATACACCTGATACAACTCACCTGATACAACTCACCTGATACACCTGATACAACTCACCTGATACACCTGATACAACTCACCTGATACAACTCACCTGATACAACTCACCTGATACAACTCACCTGATACAACTCACCTGATACAACTCACCTGATACAACTCACCTGATACACCTGATACACCTGATACAACTCACCTGATACAACTCACCTGATACAACTGATACAACTCACCTGATACAACTCACCTGATACACCTGATACACCTGATACAACTCACCTGATACAACTCACCTGATACAACTCACCTGATACACCTGATACATCTGATACAACTCACCTGATACTGTGGAACGATCATGTTACAGACCCTCTGGTCCTCTATCTTGAACAAGATGCAGATCCTAATGACCTCCTTGACGATGGTCTCCACGGCCGTGGCTCTCTCTATCATGTCATGAACCTCCTCCACAATGAACACACACAGGTCGCACGTGATGTTCTTCCAGCCCTCCAACTTCTGCTTGCGCTGCAGGTAGGCGACCATCGGGTCCGTCTGCTCGGCTTTACCCGGGTGGTTAAAGTTTGATGGAACACCGGACGTCTCCGTTTTTAGGTCAACATTTGATGGAACACCGGACGTCTCCGTTTTTAGGTCAACATTTGATGGAACACCGGACGCCTCCGTTTTTAGTTCAACATTTGATGGAACACCGGACACCTCCGTTTTTAGGTCAACATTTGATGGAACACCGGACACCTCCGTTTTTAGGTCAACATTTGATGGAACACCGGACACCTCCGTTTTTAGGTCAACGTTTGATGGAACACCGGACGCCTCCGTTTTTAGGTCAACATTTGATGGAACACCGGACACCTCCGTTTTTAGGTCAACGTTTGATGGAACACCGGACGCCTCCGTTTTTAGGTCAACACTTTCCCGATTTTGCTTGGAGAAGACACCTTTAGCAGACGCCGCTCCGTCTAGAGAGAGAACCAAGCACACACAGCAGACGGTAACCACCAGAAACTTCTGCTCCATCGTAACGTCGAGAAGATGGAGTACAGTGTAAGCAGACGACTCGTGTGGTCTGATAAAATGGAGTACAGTGTTAGCAGACGACTCGTGTGGTCTGATATAAAAAAATTTAAATTCCCTGGACTGAAACCGTTTTTATACAGGACAAACAGGCCAGTGTTCGTGTGGATCAATGTCAAGGTCGTGACTGACCCAGTTGATATCCAATGTTATCTCTGTAACACGCTGCTTAATATAACACGTTACAGAGAGTTGGCCTAAAGTCGATATTTTGTTGTTCATGCACGGTGTCGCTAGCTTTTCTGATCCTGTCCTGTATGGTGTCATGTCGGGTGTCGCTAGTGTGTCAGATCCTGTCCTGTATTTGGTCGTTAGTTCATTAAAACCCGTCTGATTTTGATACACCTGTCCCAATACACAAACAGCTGATAATGCAGGAAGATCTACCAACTGACCTGAAATCAACATGACGACAAAATCTTCTAAAACCAACATCAGCCATATCAGCACAAGTAAATACAGGTATTTTATTTTTGTATCTTTGTGTGCATATTTAAAGTCTAGTGATTTGGGTTTTTTGTTTTTTAATTTATTGTTTTTTTGTGTGTGTACTTTTTTTTTGTCATTTTAAATTTTGAACAAATTTTTGTAGAAGATCTAGTTCTGATGGGTTCAATGGAGGTGTACATCATCCACGTCTTCACATCATCCGCTAAGTTGTGTAAACCAACCCAATATCTTGATGTGTGAGGCACTAACCCAGCATCTTGATGTGTGACACATCAACCCAACATCTTGATGTGTGACACATCAACCCAACATCTTGATGTGTGACACATCAACCCAACATCTTGATGTGTGACACATCAACCCAACATCTTGATGTGTGACACATCAACCCAACATCTTGATGTGTGACACATCAACCCAACATCTTGATGTGTGACACATCAACCCAACATCTTGATGTGTGACGCATCAGCCCAACATCTTGATGTGTGACGCATCACATCAACATCTTGATGTGTGAGGCACTAACCCAACATCTTGATGTGTGAGGCACTAACCCAACATCTTGATGTGTGAGCCATTAACCTGACATCTTGATGTGTGAGGCACCAACTCAACATCTTGATGTGTGACGCATCAGCCCAACATCTTGATGTGTGACGCATCAGCCCAACATCTTGATGTGTGACACATCAACCCAACATCTTGATGTGTGACACATCAACCCAACATCTTGATGTGTGACACATCAACCCAACATCTTGATGTGTGACACATCAACCCAACATCTTGATGTGTGACGCATCAGCCCAACATCTTGATGTGTGACGCATCACATCAACATCTTGATGTGTGAGGCACTAACCCAACATCTTGATGTGTGAGGCACTAACCCAACATCTTGATGTGTGAGCCATTAACCTGACATCTTGATGTGTGAGGCACCAACTCAACATCTTGATGTGTGACGCATCAGCCCAACATCTTGATGTGTGACGCATCAGCCCAACATCTTGATGTGTGACGCATCAGCCCAACATCTTGATGTGTGAGGCACTAACCCCACATCTTGATGTGTGAGACACCAACCCAACATCTTGATGTGTGAGACACCAACCCAACATCTTGATGTGTGAGACACCAACCCAACATCTTGATGAGCGAGGTACCAACTTACCCCGCTCACATACATACACACACACACATACACACACACACACACACACACACACACACACACCTGCTCCGTCTTAGTGAGGTTACTTTCCCCGTGTCATCTATTATGAGACCATCATTTCTTACACATCCAACTTTGATAATGTTCCTCCAGGCAAATATTTAACTCATGTAATCGTTATATTTATTTCTTTTTTTATCTACGCCGTAGAGATACAGAAAAAAAAACTACATATCCACACACTATAAAACCATGTTTACATGTTAAATATTTTTTTTTTTTTAAATGTTAACAGTATTTATACTGCAGCATTAATGGTAGCATTATTGTCTTGTATTGCACTTTCCAAATGACCCGGCAACAACAAAAATAATGTTTTTGATGTTTTTGATCGTATTTTGATTACTTTATGTCTGACTTAAATGTAGGGAGAATTGTCCATACAATATTGCTCTAGTGTTAATTTGGAAGTAATGATTTACTGGTTTTAATATTAACAAGAATTTGTAATTAGGTGTAGAAGTGATGGGTCTACCACAATTTGTTACTGTAGTTTGTGATCAGAGAGGGGACTGTTACAACTAGAGTTTGTGGACTGAGCATCACAAATTGTTTCTGTGGAAATGTTTTGGGCAGATGTCCGGGTCGTATGATCTGCCTTCGATGATGTCACACAAGAGATCCGTCTTACAGTTGCCATGGCACGGCGTCCCTGGATACAAGTTCCGGTGGTAACTGTAAAACGAGAAAAAAATTTGAGAACAATTTGTGGATTTTTAAAATATTTAAACAAAAAACGTTTTATTGAGTGAAGTTTTGAAACCCTAACATATTTTTAAAGGAATTAGATCTACAATTTTTCTAATGAATAGGTAACTAGGTCTAGTTATTAAACTGACGTGTAGAAGAGCTGGAACAACGTGTCGTCTTTCTCCATCCTCTGTAGCAGCTGGTCCCAGTCAGCGGCGTACAGGCCCGTCATGTTGTAGGCTTGCTGGGGACGTTAACAAAACCGTTAGGGGTCGGGGGTCATGTTGGTGGGGGGGGGGGGTCATGTTGGGGGGTCATGTTGGGGGGTCATGTTGTAGGCTTGCTGAGGACGTTAACAAAACCGTTAGGGGTCGGGGGGGGGGTCATGTTGTAGGCTTGCTGGGGACGTTAACAAAACCGTTAGGGGTGGGGGGGGGTCATGTTGGGGGGTCATGTTGTAGGCTTGCTGGGGACGTTAACAAAACCGTTAGGGGGGGGGGGGGTCAAGTTGGGGGGGGGGTCATGTTGGGGGGTCATGTTGTAGGCTTGCTGGGGACGTTAACAAAACCGTTAGGGGGGGGGGTCAAGTTGGGGGGGGGTCATGTTGGGGGGTCATGTTGGGGGGTCATGTTGTAGGCTTGCTGAGGACGTTAACAAAACCGTTAGGGGTCGGGGGGGGGGGGGGTCATGTTGTAGGCTTGCTGGGGACGTTAACAAAACCGTTAGGGGTCGGGGGGTCATGTTGTAGGCTTGCTGGGGACGTTAACAAAACCGTTAGGGGTCGGGGGGTCATGTTGTAGGCTTGCTGGGGACGTTAACAAAACCGTTAGGGGTCGGGGGGTCATGTTGTAGGCTTGCTGGGGACGTTAACAAAACCGTTAGGGTCGGGGAGGGGGTCGTTAACACACGGTTTAGACAAACTTGAAGAAAACGAGACACAAAAGTGAGACACGAAAGTGAGATCAACTTCAAGACATTGCGACGAACCTTGGGCGAGTATTCGAACCTCCATGTTGGCGTGTTGTACAAGTTGGCCTCGGTCAGGTTGAGGTAGAAGTTGCTGTAGTCTAGGACGGCCTGCAGATAAAATATTTCAGCTCAGCAGTTTAAAAAGGCAACATCAACTTGTTTGTTCTTAATTGTCGTGTTGGAATGGATTTCCACCAACTACAACTCTTCAGGGTTCTCTGTCCTGCTGGAATATCGGCCACCAACTACAGCTCTCCAGAGTTCTCTGTCCTGCTGGAGTATGGGCCACCAACTACAGCTCTCTAGAGTTCTCTGTCCTGCTGGAGTATGGGCCACCAACTACAGCTCTCTAGAGTTCTCTGTCCTGCTGGAGTATGGGCCACCAACTACAACTCTTCAGAGTTCTCTGTCCTGGGCTACTCGCCCGCTCCAACAGACTCCACAAGTGATCCATCTTGATGGTTACTACCGGGATTCGAACTCGGGACTGAGTTAGCAATCATACGCTCTTCCACCTAAATACGTCCTTGAATATTTTTTTTAAACATAGACAGATGTTAAGATCAAACACGACTTACGTATGAGCTGCCTGGGTAGTCCCCGTCCATGGTGTAGATGCGGTAGATGGGGTTGTTGTAGGAGTATGTCGTGACGCTGGGGGCCACAAACCCGAACCCTAACGGCCGCTGGAAGGTGACGTTGTCGTAGAACATCTGGTACCAGTCCTGGTGGCTGTGGCCGTAGAATTGGTTCACGATGGTGTTCTCGTACCTGGTCAAGGGGAGACAACAACATATATTTTAGCTAAACACAGAGACTCGAGATTTACCTCCCTTTCATGCCAATTTCATAACAATTAGTGACGATAATTGAAATAATTTAAAATTCGCTAATAATATAATTGGTGATTTTTACATTTTTAGTTGTGGTACTAACACGCTGCTTAAAGCACTAACACTTTCTAAAAGCACCGGCCTATACTATGATTTTCTGAAAGTTTTTTGTGGAGTAGCGTGGTTTTTTTTCCGTTCTTTTAAATTTTTGGTAAAACGGTGTAGTAAGATTTTTTAAGACAAAAAAATAAACCGGGAGTGATCTCCCCTAAACTTTCTCTAATATTTTTATATAAAATAACAGGGGATGGGAACTCGGGCTATAGACATGATTTTTAATCCATTTTAAATACTTAAAGTTTTAAAAATAGAAAAAAATATCGTAGACAAAAGAATTGCACACCGAGTGAACGTTGAATAAAAAAGTGCATAATAGTGCGCAATATTATTAGTACTTTAAAAATTTACATTCCTTTTTTGAGAAATCGGAAGTAGCGTACATTACTACTTCCGGTCAACGGAAATTACTCAAAATTTAACAGAAGGTAGAGGATTAGATCTTTTACTTACATGTGAAATTTCATTTATCTATCTGAAATAGTACTCAAGTTATAGGCTTTTGAAAAATTCAAAGTAGGAAAAGTACCACTTCCGGTTATCGGAAATCGCTCAAAAGTTGATACGGATCTACGATTTTGATAAAATACTTATATATGAAATTTCATCAACCTAGCTGTAACGGTACTCAAGTTATCGTGTTTACACACGGACAGACAGACAGACAGACAGACAGACAGACAGACAGACACACAGACATACGGACAAGATTGCAAAATTATGTTTTTCCGTATCAGTGAGGGGTAAAACGTCGAGATTTATAAAAATCTCGATTTTTTTTTTTTTGCACGATTACAAGACTTTCTCTATACTCCGTATATACGAGAAAGTAAAAAATTGATATGTTTATCTTGTTATAGACCTACCTGTTTGAAAAAAAATTGGCACTTCAATTGATCTAGTCTTTTATTGGAATTAAGTTATAGAATGGGTATAGCTGTTACAGATTTTGAGATAATCGGTGCTAAAGTCGGGTCCTTGTGAGGCCGAAAAAAGTAAAAAAAAAAACCGCCTGTTTCTTAAGCGCAAACTTTTTTCCCACGTTTTCTTTAACTTGCTTTCTCTGTTTGTTTGTCTTTCCAATCAAATCTTGCGATCGAAATTTCTGGCACTTCCCAGTTAGCTAGCGCGCTGAAATTTTCAGGGAAGCTTTCTTTTGGATGACCATTGAATATTCAATTGTTATTATTACTAAATTGATCAATGGAAACATTTTATTGAGCATTTTAGACCGCTATATAATCTATATATATAATTCTCCTCTGCTAGCGTTAGAAAAAAAACCAGCGACGCGTACCTCGCGCGCAGTGAAGCGAACGATCACATGTCGCCACAGGCTTAGGGGCAGAGAATTTAGCTTGAACCGAGTTTAAACTTACAGGAGGTAGGCCAGTTTGGGGGAGACGATATGGTCGAGTGGTTGGGCACACGATTGCTATCCCACTCGACACGGGTTCAAATCTATGTGTTCTAGTCAGTAACGTATTCAAACAACGTGTTTTTTACGAGTTGTCTTTTTACGAGTTGTCTTTTTACGAGTTGTCTTTTTACGAGTTGTCTTCGTTTACCCAAAAAAAGTGAAAAGATAAAATCGATAGCAAGATTTTAATGCAAACAAACAGACAAAGACTAAAAAGTAGAAAATAATAATCATTAAAAAAGTTTTAAAAAACCCACGTTTTCTGATTGAACTAAAAAGTAGAAAATAAATGCTATAGGCCCTACATCACAATAATGCAAGCGATCACTCTACTATAAGCGAGCAAAAACGTGGGGCGCCGTGATTTTCTTACAGTTTCTAATACTGTTGACTCTCTACAAGCTCCCCAATAAAAGTCAATAGTATTATCTAATCAATAGTAATATAACTTTTACTTCGGCGCCCCACGTTTTTGCTCGCTTATAGTAGAGTGATCGCTTGCATTATTGTGATGTAGGGCCTATAGCATTTATTTTCTACTTTTTAGTTCAATCAGAAAACGTGGGTTTTTTAAAACTTTTTTAATGATTATTATTTATAATTGTCCTACAGACATAAATTTGGTACCCAAGTTTTTAGAAGTTTTATTTAACCATGCAGAAAAACCAAAGCCATTATTGTCAGACTGCTTTGAAAAATCAGTTTGGTGTACCTACTACATGCATTGTTGTTTAACATCTATTGGAACTGGAATACTTAAATATATTCTACTCGTCTTTAACTCGTCATCAAAACAACAGGTGAGTCACGTACCTGTTGACAATCGTGTAGTAGTTCCAGCTCCAGGCTTTCAGGCAGACGCCATCACCAGGCGGCAGGTGCATCAGCATGTGCACCTGGTGGTTGGGGGTCAAAGGTTGTAATGACACAGTGCACATAGGATATTAAGTATTGCTACATGTTACATTGGTACAAACGACTTCAGATTATATCTCAAATAAATATCTTAAACTTAAAATATAATTGGGACGAACTAATCTGAAACAATGACATTGTATTGAACATACCCTCGCTTGTTTAAGCAAGCCTCCCCCGCCCCACTAACGACACGCATAAATTAACTGCTCACGTGACACTAACTCACCTTTTCACCTTTAACCTCTGCACTCTGTAGCTCTTGTACTAGCCACTCTAAGACATTACAGGGATCTGTAGCGTTCAGCAGCAGCCACCTACAGAGCATGTGTATAAAAAAATAAAGTGAAGCTGACCCGCAGAATTAAACTATTTTATATTCTGTTAGTTGGACCACAAACAGAAAAACAACGAATGCTACCTATACTTAAACAAACAACTACACAAAAGTGTCTTTGTGTAGACAGGACTTAGAAACGAACTCATCCCCAAAATCCATTTTTTTCCCGTCTCTGTCACCCCCCCCCCCCCCCCCCCCCCCCCCCGCCCCCCACGGACATTATCGCACTAATATTTTCTCCTTCCTCTTACCTACCAATGGCCTGTTTCTTCCAAGTCGCCCAAAATCTACCTACTAATTTCACAGCCCTTATATCAACCTTTCCTTTACCTACCAATTGCCTTTGTTGCAGTAGTTGTTGTTGATGGAGATGATCCTAAATCCGGGATACGGTGAGAAGGAATAGCCGCCACATCTGGACACAGGGAAATGAAACATGTTTAACAAGTCACCAATGGGTAGCAACAAAAATGGAGAAATTAATTAATTTTACTGCTCAGTTTTTGATTGAGATATTCAGTTGTAGTATCGTAATTGAGTTTATTGAGTTTTCATATTTTTTAACCATAGATCGACCTGTTTCTAAAGAAGGCTTTTGAAACTCATCTAGTCGAGCCTAGCAACAGAACTATGTACCTTAGAGGCTGAGTAAATACCTTAATACCTTAATATCGTACCTCTAGCCTGATTAAAACCTAATTAAAACCTAATTAAAACCTAATTAAAACCGACCTTAATATTGTGTCTATCGACGACTGGGGCAGCCACTTCCCCCAGGCCTCCGCCATAGCCCCGTACATCCAGTCAAAGTCGTGGCCTGGGATACCTGGGGGTGGGAATCTGGGGACAGGTAAGGTACAGGTGTACAGGTGAGAATCTAAGGACAGGTAAGGTACAGGTGTACAAAGTGGGAATATGAGGACAGGTAAGGTACAGGTGTACAAAGTGGGAATATGAGGACAGGTAAGGTGCAGGTGCACTATTAAAGAATCGTAACGCCAGTCCCAGCTAATTTTAGACTAGCATTTATTATATTACTTTCTATTATTAAACTGAAAAATTGTTAGTTGACAAGGAACAGCTGATGCATTTAACAATACGGTTTAACATCTCTAGCACCCTGATAACAGCTTACATATTGACAGGCGAGCCCTCGTGGTTGCCCACGCAGTAGTAGACAGGTGTGCTGGGCAGGTGTTGTGTGAAGAGCTTGTCCAGGGCCACGATGTGGGCCACCTGCTCCGTCCGTGTCTGGCTCCAAACGTCGTGGGCCGGGATGTCACCCGTCACGATCACGTAATCGAACTGAAATCAATCAGTGACCTAATTACAGACTGAAATCAATCGTTGACCTAAGTGATCGATCTCAAACTGAAATCAATCATTGACCTAAGTGTTCGATGTCATATTGAAATCCATCATTGACCTAATTACATACTGAAATAAATCATTGACCTAAGTGATCGATGTAAAACTGAAATCAATCAGTGACCTAAGTGATCGATGTCAAACTGAAATCAATCATTGACCTAAGTGATCGATGTCAGGTTGAAATCAATCATTGACCTAATTACATACTGAAATCAATCATTGACCTAAGTGATCGATGTCAGACTGAAATCAATCAGTGACCTAAGTGATCGATGTCAGACTGAAATCAATCATTGACCTAAGTGATCGATGTCAAACTGAAATCAATCATTGACCTAAGTGATCGATGTCAGGTTGAAATCAATCATTGACCTAATTACATACTGAAACAATCATTGACCTAAGTGATCGATGTCAGACTGAAATCAATCAGTGACCTAAGTGATCGATGTCAGACTGAAATCAATCATTGACCTAAGTGATCGATGTCAGACTGAAATCAATCAGTGACCTAAGTGATCGATGACTGACTGAAATCAATCATAGACCTAAGTGATCGAAGTCTGACTGATATCAATCATTGACCTAAGTGATCGATGTCTGACTGAAATCATTCATTGACCTAATTACAGACTGAAATCAATCAGTGACCTAAGTGATCGATGACTGACTGAAATCAATCATAGACCTAAGTGATCGAAGTCTGACTGATATCAATCATTGACCTAAGTGATCGATGTCTGACTGAAATCATTCATTGACCTAATTACAGACTGAAATCAATCATTGACCTAAGTGATCGAAGTCTGACTGATATCAAACATTGACCTAAGTGATCGATGTCTGACTGAAATCAATCATTGACCTAAGTGATCGATGTCAAACTGAAATCAATCATTGACCTAAGTGATCGATGACGGACTGAAATCATTCATTGACCTAATTACAGACTGAAATCAATCATTGACCTAAGTGATCGAAGTCTGACTGATATCAAACATTGACCTAAGTGATCGATGTCTGACTGAAATCAATCATTGACCTAAGTGATCGATGTCAAACTGAAATCAATCATTGACCTAAGTGATCGATGACGGACTGAAATCAATCATTGACCTTAGTGATCGATGACAGAATGAAATCAATCATTGACCTAAGTGATCGATGTCAGACTGAAATCAATCATTGACCTAAGTGATCGATGTCTGACTGAAATCAATCATTGACCTAAGTGATCGATGTCAGACTGAAATCAATCATTGACCTAAGTGATCGATGTCAAACTGAAATCAATCATTGACCTAAGTGATCGATGACGGACTGAAATCAATCATTGACCTTAGTGATCGATGACAGAATGAAATCAATCATTGACCTAAGTGATCGATGTCAGACTGAAATCATTCATTGACCTAAGTGATCGATGTCTGACTGAAATCAATCAGTGACCTAAGTGATCGATGTCAGACTGAAATCAATCATTGACCTACGTGATCGATGTCAAACTGAAATCAATCATTGACCTAAGTGATCGATATCTAACTGAAATCAATCATTGACCTAAGTGATCGATATCTAACTGAAATCAATCATTGACCTAATTGATCGATGTCAGACCGAAATCAATCATTGACCTAAGTGATCGATGTCAGACTGAAATCAATCATTGACCTAAGTGATCGATGTCTAACTGAAATCAATCATTGACCTAATTGATCGATGTCAGACTGAAATCAATCATTGACCTAAGCGCTCGATGTCAGACTGAAATCAATCATTGACCTAAGTGATCGATGTCTAACTGAAATCAATCATTTACCTAAGTGATCGTTGTCAGACTGAAATCAATCATTGACCTAAGTGATCGATGTCAGACTGATATCAATCATTGACCTAAGTGATCGATGTCAAACTGAAATCAATCATTGACCTAAGTGATCGATGTCTAACTGAAATCAATCATTGAACTAATAGATAGATATCAGACTGAAATCAATCATTGACCTTAGTGATGGATGTCTAACTGAAATCAATTATTGACCTAAGTGATCGATGTCTGACTGAAATCAATCATTGACCTAAGTGATCGATGTCAGACTGATATCAATCATTGACCTAAGTGATCGAAGTCTGACTGAAATCAATCATTGACCTAAGTGATCGATGACGGACTGAAATCAATCATTGACCTTAGTGATCGATGACAGAATGAAATCAATCATTGACCTAAGTGATCGATGTCAGACTGAAATCAATCATTGACCTAAGTGATCGATGTCAAACTGAAATTAATCATTGAACTAATAGATCGATGTCAGACTGAAATCAATCATTGACCTAAGTGATGGATGTCAGGCTGAAATCAATCATTGACCTAAGTGATCGAGGTCTGACAAATCAATCATTGACCTAAGTGATCGATGACGGACTGAAATCAATCATTGACCTAAGTGATCGATGTCAAACTGAAATCAATCATTGACTTAAATTATCGATGTCAAACTGAAATCAATCATCGTCTGAAATGGCCCATGTTTTGAGTGCTGTTCTATGGATGAGCTCAGCCCCAAAGCCCGAGGTTGAGATGCTGAGGGTACCTGGTCCTGGATGGAGTTGAGGTGGTCAAACAGCACGTCCAGTGTGGTGTTGGGCAGGTCACAACTCTGGTAGTCCCCGTACTTCCCCGCCCGGGATGGTTCGTGTGAGATGCTCTGGTCTAGACAGGGAGGTGGGTGAAAACTTGGGTCAGTACCTACAACACTAAGTTACTGTTACGGGCAGTTCATGATTACTTTCATCTTTTAATTGCAAAAGAAATTGAAAATTTCAAGCAGTTCAACCCGAAATCAGGGACACTATATAAGTAGTTATAAATTATAGTAAGATTTTTTTTTTAAATTACGTGCATCTGCAAAGAATACATGTAGTGTGATTTGTGTTAAAGATTTTAAACATTTCAGAATTGATAACCAAGGCCTTCATAGTTAAGTTAATGTTATATTTAATTTGTACTTATTTGTATATTATGACGTATAGTTATTTTGTGGTATAAGTTTTATCTCTCACCTAACCGACCTGTGTTGTGTGTGTGTGTACACTATACACGTCTAAATGTATACTATACATTTCTAGGAAAATAACTTCTTAACCGACCTTTGTTGTGTGTGTGTAAGTGTGTAGTGTAACCTAAACGATCTGTGTGTGTGTGTGCGTGTGTGTGTGCGTGTGTGTGTGTGTAACCTAACCGAACTGTCTTGTGTGAGTGTGTGCGTGTGTGTAACCTAACCAACCTGTGTTGTGTGTGTGTGTGCGCGTGCGTGTGTGTGTGTGTGTGTGTAACCTCACCGACCTGTGTTGTGTGTGTGTGTGTGTAACCTAACCGACCTGTTTTGTGTGTGTTGTGTGTGTGTTGTGTGTGTGTGTGTGTGTGACCTCAACGACCTGTTTTGTGTGTGTTGTGTGTGTTGTGTGTGTTGTGTGTGTGTGTGTGTGTGTGACCTAACCAACCTGTGTTGTGTGAGAGTGTAGAGTTCTCGTCCGCCCTACAACACAGCGGCTCGTCACACGGCACGGCAGCCCCCACGGCATACTTCATGTCCAGGTGAATGTCCGTCAGGTGGAGGAACCGTAAGGTCGGGGACTGGGACTGGGGGACCAGGGACAAACGAACATTATTTTATAAAAGTGGTTAAATCAATTAGAAGGTCGGAGACTGGGGCTGTAAGACCACACACAAACGAACATTATTTTATAAAAGTGGTTAAATCAATTAGAAGGTCGGGGGCTGGGGCTGGGAGACCACACACAAACAAACATTATTTTATAAAAGTGGTTAAATCAATTAGAAGGTCGGAGACTGGGGCTGGACGGACAGAAATCAGTGATCAAATTAAGTTTTAAATAAAAATTTCAATTAAAGAAAATATTGTGAAATATTTCTTTAATCCTCTTTAAAAATTATTAGCCCGAGTTTTCTGTGAACTGAATTTTCTTTGCTCTCTGATGTCTGTGCAGTTCACCAATCAAAAGATGCAAACATGATCATATGACATGTAAGTAAAGTTCCCTTTCAAACCCGACGGTCTATAGGGCAAGTGAAGTAGAGTTCACTCGTTTCTGTGACCTCGGCATGTGAGGGATAGTGTGGTCAGCACTATGCCCAGCCGCCTAACGTGAGTTAGGTACCCATCAGAGTTGAGTGGACTCAGGGACGGTCTACTGACTTGAACCCAGATTCGAACTCAGGCCATAGGGGTTGGCAGTCTAGCTCTCTACCGCTAGACCACTCCGTCCCCACGACATTTAGGCCTGTAAAATATGATAGCAAATGAGAGTGGGGGGGGGGGGGGGGCATACACTTCTTTAGTGCGAAATCTTCCTGCGGTACATATTGTGTCATTTAAGACATCAGTCAAATTATACAACACAAACCTCGCTAGTACAAGTCATTGATCTACATCAAATTATTGTTCTTACTTTTGGGGGAAGGGGTGGCTGAGGTGGGGGCTTGGGTGTGTTGGGTAAGGTAATGTTCCACATCTCGCCTGGAAAGTATGGAGCCCCGCACGTGTCACCTATGATAATTCCACACGCCTCATTAGGCGACAGGACCAGGTTGTCTACGATATACAGCGCCACGTCCTGTTGATTGCAAAACATGAGCTAATTATTACAATTAATCCGCTATAACTAATTAAGTAAATAAAGTTACACTTTTTAACCTAGCGGTTCATTTGGGTTTGTCTCTGTGACCTTGACATTTGAAGGGATAGTCTGGTCAGGGCTCAGCACTATACCCAGCCGTCTTTAGTTTCTCTGTGTGGACCCCGGGACGTCGTACACGCTCAATCCTGGGATCCGAACTCGATACTTTCTGGTTAGTAGTTGAGCGCTCTACCCTACCACCACGCGCGTCACACGGCAGGAGTGCGCATGTCTACACATTCTGAATGTGTTCACTAAGAGCCACAACACACAAATCACACACGTGGCTGTGAGTACAAAGGACTTTAGCACTAGCGTTTAATAGTGTAGTAACATACATTTTAATTCATGAGGTGAGTTATCTAATGTTTCTTAAATATGTCAGTATTATATGTGTATAGTTACGCACAAACTCTTCCCCCCCCCCCCCCCCCCGAATTTCGTATAAGTTTGACACATTATCCAATAGGTGTTTTTCAGCATTTTTGAGATTTTAAAGGATCTTAAATGGTGCTTTAAATTAAATCATTTTAATAATCAATCAAAAACAGCTAACCTGAAACTGCGGCACCACAAGCTTACAGACATGCTCGTCTTCTATCTTAAACAGGATGCACACTTTGATCGCCTCCTTCACGATGACGTCAACGGCCGTCTTCTGCTTGACCATCTGGTGAATCTCCGTCACCAAGAAAACACAAAAGTCACAGTAAAGATTGTTCAGTTTTCCCGCCCCACGCTGGCGCTGGAGAAACGACTCCATTTGACCTTCAGGGTTACCGCCATCTTGTATGGTCATCCGTCTAAGTGACCTGTCGTCTGATTGAGAAGATTTTTCCTTCCCGAAAATCCTGGCGTCTCCATTAGAGAAGAAAGTTTTAGCGGTAGTACAAGAGAGCGAGGTGTAGGCTAGAAAACAGAGGAGCACGCAACACATCAGTCGATACATGATCACAGGCCCGGTGTGTTGTTGTCGTCAACCCGAACACAACAGCCAGCACAGTCGGAACTCAATGGACACAGCACACTACACAGCCCACAACACAGGCCTGATGGATAACGCTGGCAAAGTTCAGAGGTCAGATAATGTTTGATCTCGCTTGTCAATACACAGATAACGTACCATCAAAATACGAGTTCACCTTCGTGTAAATTTGCGTTTGTTAGCGACACGTTTTCTTGTCAACAAGGTACATGTGAATCGTCTTTTTGTGAACAAAATAATTACACCATCTGACCTCATACCATCCGACCACACCCCATCCAACCACACACCGACACCATCAGACCACACACCATCCGACCACACCATCCGACCACACCCCATCCAACCACACCCCATTCAACCACACCCCATTCAACCACACACCGACACCATCAGACCACACCCCTTCCGACCACACCAGCCGACCACACCGCATCCAATTACAAATATGTGTTCGCATAAAATCGTATTTGTTTATATAAGCCCATGTGTGTTTATATAAGCCCACGTGTGTTTATATAAGCCCATGTGTGTTTATATAAGCCCATGTGTTTATATAAGCCCATGTGTTTACATAAGCCCATGTGTTTTTATATAAGCCCATGTGTTTACATAAGCCCATGTGTTTTTATATAAGCCCATGTGTTTATATACGCCCATGTGTTTACATAAGCCCATGTGTTTACATAAGCCCATGTGTGTTTATATAAGCCCATGTGTGTTTATATCAGCCCATGTGTTTACATAAGCCCATGTGTTTACATAAGCCCACGTGACCAGTGACGAATCTAAATAACAGATGATACAAGAGGTAGGGTCACCTAATTTTTAAATTCCCAGAAATATTCTCTTATGGATATAACTAGTTATATTTTATGGATATAACTAGTTATATTTTAAGGATATAACTAGTTATATTGTATGGATATAACTAATTATATTTTATGGATATAACTAGTTATATTTTATGGATATAACTAATTATATTGTATGGATATAACTAGTTATATTTTATGGATATAACTAGTTATATTTTATGGATATAACTAGTTATATTTTATGGATACAAAAATTATAATCTGGTAACAAAGTCGCAGGGGATCAACCCCCCCCCCCCCTCTCTCCAAGCACCGCCCCGAACGAAACAGAATTTCTATTAAAAAAATTATTTATTTTTAGCCGTGTCCACCCCCCCCCCCCACGAAAAATTCAAGTGTCCTCTAGAGAAAAATGTCTGAAAGAAACACTGGTCGCCTTGACTTTAAAGAGCTCAAAGATGTGTGGCATGATTTAAATAACACAGTGTGACCTTCACCCAAGAGAATCTCGTTTATCAATAGCATCAGCTGTTTGGTATGGTAATTAACGCGGGTCAAGGGTTCAAGGACCAAATCTCGGTCAAATGATTGATAACATGGCGGAACGTGATCTGCTCCTGTCACATGACAGATGGTCTATATATATAGGGTATATCACGTGATCTCTAACGAATTAAGTGCGCAAGCTCCCAACTCTTTACTCACATTTTTAAAGTTTTTTATTTATATTATGTGAAGAATGTTGTAAAATGTTGTTTAGTAAAAGTTGAAGGCTATTTTTGTTTACTCTTAGGTTCTAAGAGTTCCATGGGGGTCATCCATAAATGACGTCACGCTTTTTTGACGATTTTTACCTCCCCCCCCCCCCTCCCTCCGTCACACGTGGTCACAAAAAGCCAGAGCCCCCTCCCCTAAAATGACGTCACACCTCAGCCTACAACCCCATCCTCAAAATTGCAGTTGAATTTATTTTTTTTAAACATCGATATTTTTCCAAAATCTTGTCTGAACTCTGTCAAAATAGAGTATTTTAATCAATTCCCATAACAATTTATTAAAACCGTTTTCTAAAACGCAAAATAACGTCTAAAATTCGTTTTCTTACATTGCTTTTTGATAATGCAAAAGTGTGACGTCGCACCATCTGAACCCACCGCCTTCACCTCATCACACACCGTCACAAAATTACGGACCCCCCCCCCCCTCCCCCCTACGAGTGTGACGTCATTTATGGAAGACCCCCATGGTAACGTCATTATTGATTGCCTATTCCATCCTGATTATCAGTTTTTCCACCACAACACCCCACGGGAAGTAATTATTCAGTTTCCTGCCAAATGTCAGAGTTTTTTCTTCGTGTTCAAATAAAATTTCTAAACAAAAAATAATCCTAGAGTGTATAATATATCATATTATGACGGGTATTCCCCCGCAACGCGGGTGTGGGCTGTGGTGTATGAGGAAACGACCAATCATCAATTTATTTTGGCTTTTTTTAAAAAAAATCTACTCAAGTTCTGCTATCTCATTTGAAATGTTCTGGCGTGATGGTATTAACTGGAAATATAACTAATGTTTTAATTCTTGATACTAAATACACAGCAAACTATTGTTTTCTACGATTTAACTTTATGATTTAACACACAAATAAAATACGTAATCATTTGTCGCCAGTAAGGTGCTATATTGGCCTACTAAATATATAGGTGGCCGGAAAGAACCGCAACGGAAAAAAGCGCAAAACAAAAAGCGCAACGGAAAAAAGCCCACACGGAAAAAAGCGCAAAGAGAAAAAAGCGCACACAGAAAAAAGCGCAAAGAGAAAAAAGCGCAAACGGAAAAAAGCGCAAAGAGAAAAAAGCGCACACAGAAAAAAGCGCAAACAGAAAATAGCGCAAACGGAAAAAAGCGCAAAGAGAAAAAAGCGCACACGGAAAAAAGCGCAAAGAGAAAAAAGCGCAAACGGTAAAAAGCGAAAAGAGAAAAAAGCGCAAACGGAAAAAAGCGCAAACAGAAAAAAGCGCACACGGAAAAAAGCGCAAACGGAAAAAAGCGCAAACGGAAAAAAGCGCAAACAGAAAAAAGCGCAAACGGAAAAAAGCGCAAACAGAAAAAAACGCACACAGAAAAAAGCGCAAACAGAAAAAAGCGCAAACGGAAAAAAGCGCAAACAGAAAAAAGCGCACACAGAAAAAAGCGCAAACGGAAAAAAGCGCAAACAGAAACAGAAAAATGCGCAACCAGAAAAAACACAACGAAAAATTTGCAAAAGAGAAATTTAGCACAAAGACCATATGGACTAGATGACACATTTATACATGACTGTTAGGGCTGCTGTGAGAGTGTCGTGTTTGATCACGTGATCTACAACCATTTAAAGCGTACCACTCACCCACACATCCATCCACCCACCCACACACCCATCCATCCACCCACCCACACATCCATCCACCCACCGACACAATCCACCCACCCACACATCTACCCACCCACCCACACATCCATCCACCCACCCACACATCCATCCACCCACCCACACTGCATATAAGTATTCGCATAGATTTAGAGTAGCGTCCCTTTTGTTTACATGTTTCCATTACCCTTCAAACAAAAGTCTATTTTAGTTATATTGAGATTAAAGAATGTAAATAAATAGTATACACCATTCTGTAGAATAGGAACGATTGGGAGGGAAGTGACATTTAGCGCAGTAAATTTAGTGGTTAGGTAGGGTATAATAAATGGTGGGGTTTGGAAAGTTAAGGGGTCCATTCTCTAATAGGCAATCTTTGTCTCTTTCGTACTTTCGTTTTGGTTTATTGTCGAACCTGTCCTCGCCTCACATCACAACAGTTGGGTGACGCTTACCGTGTAATGTTAAAATAAATAGCATGTAATTGAGTTAGTTCAAAGTGAGTTTTCATACAAGCCCAACGCACTAATTAAGGTTGTCGCAAAATGTAGCAAATATGTAACATATGTCAATGATGTCAATGAATTTTCATTAAAAAAAAGATGTCTAGTACAGTTTACGAAACTTACGAACTTCGCCGATACTTTTTTGGTGGGTAGTTTGGTAAGTATGTAGGCGGGTAGGTGGGTAGGTGGGTAAGTGGGTAAGTGGGTAGGTGGGTAGGTGGGTAGTTAGGTAGGTAGGTAGGTAGGTGGGTAGGTGGGTAGTAGGTAGGTAGGTAGGTGCGTCATGATGTGAAAAATATTAAATACAAAATTGTTATTTTGGTGCGATTGAATGTTGTTACGAGAGATATGACGAATGCATGTTTGATGACGCGGATGAAAGAGAGTGAAGTTTTGCCATAGGAACGGGTTGTTATAGTATGCAAGCTAGGTAGTTCGGACTAGGGAGAATGTGAGAGATACTTCGTGTAATGTCGATAGTTTTATGTTTATACGAGAATAGTAGTTGAATAATTATTGACCAAGAAAATAATAGGCATTGTGTAAAGTGATTATCGCCTGTATCGTGGTGATGGGAATGCAGATGGTAGTGGTACGCTTTTAATGGTAGTAGATCACGTGATCAAACACGACACTCTCACAGCAGCCCTAACAGTCATGTATAAATGTGTCATCTAGTCCATATGGTCTTTGTGCTAAATTTCTCGTTTGCACATTTTTCGTTGTGTTTTTTCTGGTTGCGCATTTTCTGTTTCTGTTTGCGCTTTTTTCCGTTTGCGCTTTTTTCTGTGTGCGCTTTTTTCTGTTTGCGCTTTTTTCCGTTTGCGCTTTTTTCTGTTTGCGCTTTTTTCTGTGTGCGCTTTTTTCTGTTTGCGCTTTTTTCCGTTTGCGCTTTTTTCCGTTTGCGCTTTTTTCCGTGTGCGCTTTTTTCTGTTTGCGCTTTTTTCCGTTTGCGCTTTTTTCTCTTTGCGCTTTTTTCCGTTTGCGCTTTTTTCTGTTTGCGCCTTTTTCTGTGTGCGCTTTTTTCTCTTTGCGCTTTTTTCTGTTTGCGCTTTTTTCTCTTTGCGCTTTTTTCCGTGTGCGCTTTTTTCTCTTTGCGCTTTTTTCCGTTTGCGCTTTTTTCTGTTTGCGCTTTTTTCTGTGTGCGCTTTTTTCTCTTTGCGCTTTTTTCCGTTTGCGCTTTTTTCTCTTTGCGCTTTTTTCTGTGTGCGCTTTTTTCTCTTTGCGCTTTTTTCCGTGTGCGCTTATTTCCGTTGCGCTTTTTTATTTGCGCTTTTTTCCGTTGCGCTTTTTTCCGTTGCGGTTCTTTCTGGGAACCAAATATATAATATCCATAGATGCGTTAGTATAAGAATCAACTAAGCTTAATTACAGCGCCAATAATGTGTAAATTTACATAAAACAGAAATTTCACGTGACAATAAACAAGGTTATTATGACACGTTCTTTAAATTGAAATGTTTTGGACAAAGGTCAGGGTCGTATGATCTCCCTTCAATGAGGTTACAAAAGATATCAGCTTTACAGTTGCCATGGCACGGCGTCTCTGGATACAAGTTCCGGTTGTAGCTGCAAGAAAATGTATTTTGTTTGAGTATTTAAACAGTTGGATGTTTGAGCACAAGTTTTAATTATGAGATACTATATTTATTTTAAAATAAATGATGTATTTTCTACGTAATAAAATCATAAAAATATTATGAGTAATATAAAACCGGCTAAATCAAATACAAATGATTTAGCCGTTGACTAGAAACATCGATGCGATTAGCGCTAGACGTGAAGTAAAGAACAAAGAACTACATCATCTTTATGAGCGTGTTCAACGCAGAAACCTAATTGTTTAAACTTGTGGTAAGGATTCCACAAAATATGGAAGTTGTACTGTAATACGTAACAGAAAGAGGGCACGGAAATTACCTTTCGACCACTTTAAATAGTTGATTAGTTAATATACACAGACAATGAAATGGAAAACATTTGTAGAAGCAGTATGAGGAAAATTTTCCTGCTGAAAAAAGTTAATTTTGATGAAAGTACTGACGTGTAGAAGAGCTGGAACAACGTGTCGTCTTTCTCCATCCTCTGTAGCAGCTGGTCCCAGTCGGCGGCGTACAGGCCCGTCATGTTGTAGGCTTGCTGGGGACGTTAACAAAACTGTTAGGGGTCGGGGGGGGTGTCATGTTGTAGGCTTGCTGGGGACGTTAACAAAACTGTTAGGGGTGGGGGGTCATGTTGTAGGCTTGCTGGGGACGTTAACAAAACTGTTAGGGGTCGGGGGTCATGTTAGGGGGGTCATGTTGTAGGCTTGCTGGGGACGTTAACAAAACTGTTAGGGGTGGGGGGTCATGTTGTAGGCTTGCTGGGGACGTTAACAAAACTGTTAGGGGTCGGGGGGGTCATGTTGTAGGCTTGCTGGGGACGTTAACAAAACCGTTAGGGGTCGGGGGGTCATGTTGTAGGCTTGCTGGGGACGTTAACAAAACCGTTAGGGGTCGGGGGGTCATGTTGTAGGCTTGCTGGGGACGTTAACAAAACTGTTAGGGGTCGGGGGGTCATGTTGTAGGCTTGCTGGGGACGTTAACAAAACTGTTAGGGGTCGGGGGTGGGGGTCATGTTGTAGGCTTGCTGGGGACGTTAACAAAACTGTTAGGGGTCGGGGGTCATGTTGTAGGCTTGCTGGGGACGTTAACAAAACTGTTAGGGGTCGGGGGTCATGTTAGGGGGGGGTGGTCATGTTGGGGGGTCATGTTGTAGGCTTGCTGGGGACGTTAACAAAACCGTTAGGGGTTGGGGGGGGTCATGTTAGGGGGGGGTCATGTTGGGGGGTCATGTTGTAGGCTTGCTGGGGACGTTAACAAAACTGTTAGGGGTCGGGGGTCATGTTGTAGGCTTGCTGGGGACGTTAACAAAACCGTTAGGGGTCGGGGGTCATGTTGGGGGGTCATGTTGTAGGCTTGCTGGGGACGTTAACACCGTTAGGGCTGGGGGGTCATGTTGTAGGCTTGCTTGAGACGTTAACAAAACTGTTAGAATAGAACGATATTTTTGAATGAAACTATTCACAACATGGAGTTGGAGGGGTAGCGTGCACATACAAAGGTGACATGGGGGTGACGTTTCAAAACGGTTGAGAAAAGCTTTGAGAAAGTGAGACACGAGAGTGAGACCAACTTCAAGAAATTGAGACGAACCTTGGGCGAGTATTCGAACCTCCATGTTGGCGTGTTGTACAAGTTAGCCTCGGTCAGGTTGAGGTAGAAGTTGCTGTAGTCTAGGACGGCCTGCAGATAAACAAGGTCAGCTTCTGGTCTACTTCTGGTAAAGTTCATTCATACTTCAGGCAGCACAAACATTATCACTATCTCATTATGTTACACATGAGCCATGATGACTCCACCCACTAACTACCAGACTCCACCTACCCATGAACTACAAAACTCCAGTTACCCATAAACTATCAGGCTCCACCCACTACCAGACTTCACCTACCCATGAACTACCAGACTCCACTCTACCCATAAACTCCACCTACCCACTACCAGACTCCACCCCTTAACTACCAGACTCCACCCACTAACAGCCAGACTCCACCCACTAACTACCAGACTCCACCCACTAACTGCCAGACTCCACCCACTAACTGCCAGACTCCACCCCTAACCACCAGACTCCACCCACTAACTACCAGACTCCACCTACCCATAAACTCCATCTACCCATGAACTGCCAGACTCCACCCACTAACTACCAGACTCCACCCAACAACTACTACACTCCACCTACCCATGAACTGCCATTGTAAGTACCGTCCATTGTATAGATGCGATAGTTCGGGTTGTTGTAGGAATATGGCGTCACACTTGGCGCCACAAACCCCACCCCCAGGGGGCGCTGAAAGGTGACGTCATCATAAAACATTTCGTACCAGTCCGTGTGGTTGTGACCATAAAACTGATTCACAATGGTGTTCTCGTATCTAGAATAGTTTTTTTATAATTAATTTAATCATTTTGTAATCATTCGTTCGTTATTTTTAACCAGATTTTAAAGTATAAGTACTTCAAATTACATTTTTTGTTGATTAGAATATTTCGATTTCCTGTAGCTATTATCATCGCCGTAAATAAGACTTAAGTACTTTGAAATCTGATAACTTCAAATGTTGTAATCATGTATTGCCGAAGCTCTTGATATAAGGGTAGAGCTAATAGATAACCGAATCCCGCAATACCCTGTATGTCTTACTCCCACCACCCTCCCTCACATGATGGCGTCTGACAAATTTTCGCATAATTAATTTGTATTTGTATTTTTTTTGTAATTAGTTGGGAGAACAAGCTTAACCCCCACAGGAACAGTCATGCACGTACAATACCAGCACTGGTGTGTCATCCACTGATTGGCTGGAGTGTGCTGACAGTGGCAAAACATTTGGACGATTAGCCAACTTCCGGGTTGTTTGCAAGACATTTGCAAGACTTTGCTATCTATTACAGTAACTAAACACTTTGACGAATGGCAAACGTAATTGTTGTTTGCAAGACATTTGCAAGACTTAATTCATCATCATCGTTTCACCTTCGGGCTCAAGACACATGGAACAGATGAAGCTGAGCTCGTCTGTTTCATTTAAATCGGCATACCGGGGATAGTGTTGTCAGCACTATGCCCAGCCACCTTGGTTTCCTTAACGTGAGCCAGCTACCCATTGTTACGTCCCTTACATGTCCCCTCATTGTGTGTGTGTGTTGTATGCTCGAACGATCGGTACTCTCCCTTTGGTGTATAGTTGTATCCCTTTGGTTGAATGTGTTTACATGGAGTGAGAAGTGTTCACGTGAGGTGTGTCAGGTGACGGGTGTCAGAGCGTGTGCTAGTGTGTGAAGCAGTTAGTTGTAGTGTGGCTGTGGACGAGGAACGTGGTGTTTATTATTTTATTATTGTATATATATATATATATATATATATATATATATATATATATATATATAATCTCTTATTATTATTATAGTGTTACACCACTGCGACCACCACTTGGAGTTCTAGAAAACAGAAAACATTTAATCAGCGACTTGAAGGAGGAGGGGAAGTTAATCGAGCTGAGTGATGACAGTTTGGCGGAGTGGGTGAAGGAAGAATTGAGGAGGTTAAAAGATAAGGACGATGTCGTGGCAGAGGTAAGTCACCCTGTACCCCGCTTGAGGGACGTGGCGTCAATGAAGGCAACGAGGACTTGGTGGCGTACGTGAAACACTTTGAAAGCCAAGCCAAGAGGCAAGGTATCGACCCCAAGGACTGGTCGCTCCTGTTGACTGACAAAGTGAGTGGACACCTGAAAACGTTCCTCGTTGAGACGGGACAGAACTTGCACCATGACTTTGAGTCGGTTAAAGTAAAATTGATGACACATGCAGGTTTCAACGAGGAAAAGTATATGGTCAGATTCCACAAGCTAGTACCAACAAATGACTACATGCGAAGCTTCGCAGTCAACGCAGAGCCGCTTTGAGAGCGTGGGTCCGGCAGTCGGGAATAAAGAAAACGTTTGAGGACCTGATGAACCATCCTAATAGTCGATAGGATAAAATCGGTTGTCACATGTGATCTGTTGGAGAGGCTGAATGGTGCTGCTAAGGTAAGTGTGGAAGATCATCTTAAAGTTATTGACAACTATAAGAGCACTCAAAACGTTAAAGTGACGAGGCCAGTAAACCAAACCACTCCGTACGTCGCTGCAAGTTCGACAGCAGAGAGGATACCCTGGCAAAACACGACACCGCGATCTCCAGGACGCCACACTAGCCCGTCCACGGAAGAAATTGTGTGCTACTCATGCGGGGGAGTTGATCATATCGCGAGAGTCTGCCCCACCTCTAGACGGGACAGGAACGGATCTGGTAAACGGCAGGCATGACTAGCTGGTGTACAGCCTATGCATGGTGTTAGCAAGGTCAGCCTGGGCAGTAGATGTTACACATGTGGACGTCAAGGACACTATGCCAGGATTTGTCATAGCAATAGTAGTAGCGGTTTTACTTGGAGAAACAGGTCAGATAAGATAGCTTTTGTGGGGTATGGAAACAAGAAAAGATCTTATCGGTGCTACAAATGCCATGAACAAGATCACATTGCCAATCAGTGCAGTATGGATATAGATACAGGCGCCTGTTATAGCTGTAGAAAGCCAGGCCACATACAACGAAACTGTCCCAACGGGACCAGTGGAGCGAGCAACTGGCGTACTGAAAATGTACATCGACGGTCAAAAGATCTCAAGTGTTATTTCTGCTGTGATGTTGGTCACATATCAAGAGCGTGTCCCACAGCTTAGCGGGATATGTTAGGAAATGTGTCCATGCTTAAAGTCTGGCGTATGAGAGTGAGGTAAAGCACAAAATTGGGAGGTGTATCCTTACAAAGGTGTCCTTGGTAAGTTTTTAAAAGATAATCATTTAATCTATGTTAACTTTATCTTTTTTTTTTACAGAAGCTGATTACGAGCTGGAGATAATAGATGTAGTTACAAAGGCTATCGAGACATCCGTAGAGAAGATAACTCAGTTTGATCGCTTGATCAGATGACCAGCTATGGCGACACGCATCTGTCGATGGGCCCTTGAACTACAAGAGCTCGCCTTTACCGTATACCTTTGACCATTAACTGACAGCTGACAAACTAGATTTGATACAACACTGACAATATGACAGATGACCAATTAGATTTGATACAACACTGACTATATGACAGCTGACCAACTAGATTTGATACAACAATGACCATATGACAGCTGACCAATTAGATTTGATACAACACTGACCATATGACAGCTGACCAACTAGATTTGATACAACAATGACCATATGACAGCTGACCAATTAGATTTGATACAACACTGACCATATGACAGCTGACCAACTAGATTTGATACAACACTGACCATATGACAGCTGACCAACTAGATTTGATACAACACTGACCATATGAGAGCTGACCAATTAGATTTGATACAACACTGACCATATGACAGCTGACCAATTAGATTTGGTACAACACTGACCATATGACAGCTGACCAACTAGATTTGATACAACACTGACCATATGACAGCTGACCAACCTACCTGTTGACAATCCTGTAATAGTTCCAGCTCCAGGCTTTCATGCAGACACTGTTGCCGGGCGGCAGGTGCATCAGCATGTGCACCTGGAGGTTCAACAATTTTTCTTGAGGGTCGGGCACATACCAGGAAGGTGTGAGGGAAAGGGGGGGGGGGGGTCTTATCATTTAACTAAATCGTGTTGTGTGGGACAGTTGGGGGTATAATATTCAACACTGCCTTGAGTTTGTATTATTCTTACTTGAGTTTCTGTTTTATAAAACGGCTAGGTATAATTTGATTAATTCGTTGATACCACTTAAGTGTACACTGTCGTTGTTTTTTGGCTAAAACCAAAGTTATGAATTATACTGATGGGTCCAAATGTTTAATTACTGTGTTATTATATGACACTGATCATGCACAAGGCCCGTGGTTGTTTAAAATTTGAAATTTCAAATGTCTAAAGATATGAAATGAGCTTTAATACGAACATATATCGGTCACAAATGAAAACATTGGGCTAAAATAGGATATTTAGTTATAATCAGACCTATGTATGCAATAAAAAATGATGCAAATATTAATCTAATCATAAGTAGTTTGTAAATTAAGTCAAGATTTTTTTAATCAGTTCGGCCGAGGCATGTCGTGCCTTTGAACCATGCATTAACATGCACATTTATTTTTATGTCATGTATCAGTTAGATAAGAGCATGCTTCGCTGGCAGATATGAGCTATTGAGTCATGATGTCATCTACTTACCGGACCTCACCGCAATCCAATAGAAACTACTCTCACCTTTTCACCTTTAACCTCTGCACTCTGTAGCTCTTGTACCAGCCACTCTAAGACATTGCAGGGATCTGTAGCGTTCAGTAGCAGCCACCTACAGAGGACATCAGATCAAATAACTTACATCCTGTGTTTAGACCATACATTAGGCAAAGCTTCGTCTTCCGTATAGAAATATACATTGTCAATTTCTGGTGTTTAGACAACACATTATTTCGACCAAACTGTAACTACCAATTGCCTGGTTTTTCCGTGTCTCCCTATATCTACCTACCAATTGCCTGTTTATTCCGTGTCGCCCTATATCTACCTACCAATTGCCTGTTTATTCCGTGTAGCCCAAGATCTACCTACCAATCAGTAGCGTAGCGAGGGGGACGGGGCGGGGGGGGGGGGGGACATATGTCCCCGGGCGCCGAGCTTAGGGGGCGCCAAAATGGGTTGGAAAAATAAATTGAAAGGTTGAGGGGGGTGCAAATTGAAAGTTTGAGGGGGGTGCAAATAAAAATCTCGAGGGGGGGTGCAAATCGAAAGTTTGAGGGGGGGGGGGGTGCAAATCAAAATCTCGAGGGGGGGTGCAAATCGAAAAGTTTGTCCCCGGGCGCCGGGTAGGGTCGCTACGCCTCTGCTACCAATTGCCTGTTTCTCAGCCCTTATATCTACCCTTCCTTTACCTACCAATTGCCTTTGTTGCAGTAGTTGTTGTTGATGGAGATAATCCTAAATCCGGGATACGGTGAGAAGGAATAGCCGCCACATCTGGACACAGGGAAAAAAAACATTTCATTTAACGTTTTAACAATTATTTTTTGGAGGCCGGGTGACAAGGTGTATTCCATTAGGTCCTAATACTGTTATCTCTCTTACTTAACACGAACTTACAGGTGTTGTATGACTAACAGAGACCAGAGAAACTTACCTGACAATTGTCTCAAGCGACGACTGGGGCAGCCACTTCCCCCAGGCCTCCGCCATAGCCCCGTACATCCATTCAAAGTCGTGGCCTGGGATACCTGGGGGTGGGAAGCTGGGGACAGGTAAGGTACAGGTGTACAAGGTGAGAATCTGGGGACAGGTAAGGTACAGGTGTACAAGGTGGGAATCTGGGGACAGGTAAGGTACAGGTGTACAAGGTGGGAATCTGGGGACAGGTAAGGTACAGGTGTACAAGGTGGGAATCTGGGGACAGGTAAGGTACAGGTGTACAAGGTGGGAATCTGGGGACAGGTAAGGTACAGGTGTACAAGGTGGGAATCTGGGGACAGGTAAGGTACAGGTGTACAAGGTGGGAATCTGGGGACAGGTAAGGTACAGGTGTACAAGTGAGAATCTGAGGACAGGTAAGGTACAGGTGTACAGGGTGGGAATCTGGGGACAGGTAAGGTACAGGTGTATAAGGTGGGAATCTGGGGACAGGTAAGGTACAGGTGTACAATGTGGGAATCTGGGGACAGGTAAGGTACAGGTGTACAAGGTGGGAATCTGGGGACAGGTAAGGTACAGGTGTACAATGTGGGAATCTGGGGACAGGTAAGGTACAGGTGTACAAGGTGAGAATCTGGGGACAGGTAAGGTACAGGTGTACAAGGTGGGAATCTGGGGACAGGTAAGGTACAGGTGTACAAGGTGGGAATCTGGGGACAGGTAAGGTACAGGTGTACAAGGTGGGAATCTGGGGACAGGTAAGGTACAGGTGTACAAGGTGGGAATCTGGGGACAGGTAAGGTACAGGTGTACAAGGTGGGAATCTGGGGACAGGTAAGGTACAGGTGTACAAGGTGGGAATCTGGGGACAGGTAAGGTACAGGTGTACAAGGTGGGAATCTGGGGACAGGTAAGGTACAGGTGTACAAGGTGGGAATCTGGGGACAGGTAAGGTACAGGTGTACAAGTGAGAATCTGAGGACAGGTAAGGTACAGGTGTACAGGGTGGGAATCTGGGGACAGGTAAGGTACAGGTGTATAAGGTGGGAATCTGGGGACAGGTAAGGTACAGGTGTACAATGTGGGAATCTGGGGACAGGTAAGGTACAGGTGTACAAGTGAGAATCTGAGGACAGGTAAGGTACAGGTGTACAAGGTGGGAATCTGAGGACAGGTAAGGTACAGGTGTACAAGTGAGAATCTGGGGACAGGTAAGGTACAGGTGTACAAGGTGGGAATCTGGGGACAGGTAAGGTACAGGTGTACAAGGTGAGAATCTGGGGACAGGTAAGGTACAGGTGTACAAGGTGGGAATCTGGGGACAGGTAAGGTACAGGTGTACAAGGTGGGAATCTGGGGACAGGTAAGGTACAGGTGTACAAGGTGGGAATCTGGGGACAGGTAAGGTACAGGTGTACAAGGTGGGAATCTGGGGACAGGTAAGGTACAGGTGTACAAGTGAGAATCTGAGGACAGGTAAGGTACAGGTGTACAGGGTGGGAATCTGGGGACAGGTAAGGTACAGGTGTATAAGGTGGGAATCTGGGGACAGGTAAGGTACAGGTGTACAATGTGGGAATCTGGGGACAGGTAAGGTACAGGTGTACAAGTGAGAATCTGAGGACAGGTAAGGTACAGGTGTACAAGGTGGGAATCTGAGGACAGGTAAGGTACAGGTGTACAAGTGAGAATCTGGGGACAGGTAAGGTACAGGTGTACAAGGTGGGAATCTGGGGACAGGTAAGGTACAGGTGTACAAGTGAGAATCTGAGGACAGGTAAGGTACAGGTGTACAGGGTGGGAATCTGGGGACAGGTAAGGTACAGGTGTATAAGGTGGGAATCTTGGGACAGGTAAGGTACAGGTGTACAATGTGGGAATCTGGGGACAGGTAAGGTACAGGTGTACAAGTGAGAATCTGAGGACAGGTAAGGTACAGGTGTACAAGGTGGGAATCTGAGGACAGGTAAGGTACAGGTGTACAATGTGGGAATCTGGGGACAGGTAAGGTACAGGTGTACAGGGTGGGAATCTGGGGACAGGTAAGGTACAGGTGTACAAGGTGGGAATCTGAGGACAGGTAAGGTACAGGTGTACAAGGTGGGAATCTGGGGACAGGTAAGGTACAGGTGTACAAGGTGGGAATCTGGGGACAGGTAAGGTACAGGTGTACAAGGTGGGAATCTGGGGACAGGTAAGGTACAGGTGTACAAGGTGGGAATCTGGGGACAGGTAAGGTACAGGTGTACAGGTGGGAATCTGAGGACAGGTAAGGTACAGGTGTACAAGGTGGGAATCTGGGGACAGGTAAGGTACAGGTGTACAAAGTGGGCATCTGAAGACAGGTAAGGTACAGTTGTACAAGTGGGAATCTGAGGACAGGTAAGGTACAGGTGTACAAAGTGGGCATCTGAAGACAGGTAAGGTACAGGTGTACAGGTGGGAATCTGAAGACAGGTAAGGTACAGGTGTACAGGTGGGAATCTGGGGACAGGTAAGGTACAGGTGTACAAGGTGGGAATCTGGGGACAGGTAAGGTACAGGTGTACAAGGTGGGAATCTGGGGACAGGTAAGGTACAGGTGTACAGGTGGGAATCTGAGGACAGGTAAGGTACAGGTGTACAAGGTGGGAATCTGAAGACAGGTAAGGTACAGGTGTACAAAGTGGGCATCTGAAGACAGGTAAGGTACAGTTGTACAAGTGGGAATCTGAGGACAGGTAAGGTACAGGTGTACAAAGTGGGCATCTGAAGACAGGTAAGGTACAGGTGTACAGGTGGGAATCTGAGGACAGGTAAGGTACAGGTGTACAAGGTGGGAATCTGAAGACAGGTAAGGTACAGGTGTACAAGGTGGGAATCTGGAGACAGGTAAGGTACAGGTGTACAGGTGGGAATCTGAAGTAAAACAAAAATGATCGATGTAAGAATCTGAAGTAAAATACAAATGCCCGATGTAAGAATCTGAAGTAAAATACAAATGCCCGATGTAAGAATCTGAAGTAAAATACAAATGCCCGATGTGAGAATCAGGAGTAAAGTACAAACGCCCGATGTAAGAATCAGACCTCGGTGCAAGTCCTACTAGTTCCAACTACTTACGTGTTATCCGGCCAGCCGTCGTGGTTGCCGACGCTGTAGTAGACGGGCTTGCTGGGCAGATATCGCGAGAAGAGCTTGTCGAGCGCGATGATGTGCGAGAGTTGCTCTGCTCTCGTCTGGCTGTAGACGTCATGTGCTGCGATGTCCCCGGTCATGATGACGTAATCAAACTGGTCGTGTCAAATCATTGACAATTGGTGCAGGCACGCGAAATTTAACACCAACAGTTTTACAATAAACGACATTATAAATTTTTGTAAGATTTATCTCTAAGAATATTATTTCCAGAGGCGTAGCGAGGGGGGGGGCGGGTGACACCATTTAGGAGGGTGACATCAAGGCAAAAAATAGTAAAATATATAGAGAAAAATTTGACTGGGGGTGCAAATCGAAAGTTTGATGGGGGGAGGGTGCAAATCGAAAATTTGTCCCCGGGAAGAGTCGCTACGCCTCTGGGGGGGGGGGGGTGACACCATTAAGTGCAGCACCGGGTGACACCCGACCTCGCTACGCCACTGATTATTTTAGTATCTGTGTTAAAATGCTTACCTTCTTATCAATTTGTGAATTAATATTAAAATACTTTTCACTCTAAAATTAAAACCTTACTTCCATAAAATTCAAAAATGCTACCTTTTTGTATAGTCGTTTCATTACAGTTATTATTTGGTGGGCTAAAATTGCAATGCTTTCCTCTAAACATTAGTACTTAAGAATTACCTGGTCTTGGATGGAATTAAGATGGCTGAACAAAAAATCCAGGGTAGTATTAGGAAGGTCACATTTTCTGTAGTCACCGTATTTTCCCGCTTTGAAAGAATCCGAAGCTGAGCTTTGGTCTGTTTTGATTTAAAAGTTGAATTCAATACATGGCTCTTTTTTTTTTTTTGCAAGAAACAAATTCCTATTGTCACAATCGATTGCGAATTATCCCTATGTGCATTAATGTTTGTGGGTGAGTGTGTGTTTACCAAATACTTTTGTTTTGTTGGTTATTCTATAAAATATTTTTAAATATTAACTGAGCGGCCACACGTAGGTCACCAAGTAGCCTACGGCCACACGTAGGTCACCATATAGCCTACGGCCACACGTAGGTCACCAAGTAGCCTACGGCCACACGAAGGTCACCAAGTAGCCTACCTTGGCTGTGTGTCGCATTCTCGTCAGACCGACAACAGATATGCTCGTCACACGGCACGGCAGCGCCGACTGCATACTTCATGTCCAGGTGAATGTCCGTCAGGTGGAGGAACCTTAAGGTCGGAGACTGGGGCTGGGAGACCACACACAAACGAACATTATTTTATAAAAGTGGTTAAATCAATTAGAAGGTCGGAGACTGGGGCTGGAAGACCAGGGACAAACGAACATTATTTTATAAAAGTGGTTAAATCAATTAGAAGGTCGGAGACTGGGGCTGGGAGACCAGGGAGAAACGAACATTATTTTATAAAAGTGGTTAAATCAATTAGAAGGTCGGAGACTGGGGCTGGGGGACCAGGGACAAACGAACATTATTTTATAAAAGTGGTTAAATCAATTAGAAGGTCGGAGACTGGGGCTGGGAGACCACACACAAACGAACATTATTTTATAAAAGTGGTTAAATCATTTAGAAGGTCGGAGACTGGGGCTGGGGGACCAGGGACAAACGAACATTATTTTATAAAAGTGGTTGAAACATTTAGAAGGTCGGAGACTGGGGACAAGCGAACATTATTTTATAAAAGTGGTTAAATCAATTAGAAGGTCGGAGACTGGGGCTGGGAGACCAGGGACAAACGAACATTATTTTATAAAAGTGGTTAAATCAATTAGAAGGTCGGAGACTGGGGCTGGGGGACCACACACAAACGAACATTATTTTATAAAAGTGGTTAAATCATTTAGAAGGTCGGAGACTGGGGACAAGCGAACATTATTTTATAAAAGTGGTTAAATCAATTAGAAGGTCGGAGACTGGGGCTGGGAGACCAGGGACAAACGAACATTATTTTATAAAAGTGGTTAAATCAATTAGAAGGATGGAGACTGGGGCTGGAAGACCAGGGACAAACGAACATTATTTTATAAAAGTGGTTAAATCAATTAGAAGGTCGGAGACTGGGGACAAACGAACATTATTTTATAAAAGTGGTTAAATCAATTAGAAGGTCGGAGACTGGGGCTGGGGGACCAGGGACAAACGAACATTATTTTATAAAAGTGGTTAAATCAATTAGAAGGTCGGAGACTGGGGCTGGAAGACCAGGGACAAACGAACATTATTTTATAAAAGCGGTTAAATCAATTAGAAGGTCGGAGACTGGGGCTGGGGGACCAGGGACAAACGAACATTATTTTATAAAAGCGGTTAAATCAATTAGAAGGTCGGAGACTGGGGCTGTGGGACCAGGGACAAACGAACATTATTTTATAAAAGTGGTTAAATCAATTAGAAGGTCGGAGACTGGGGCTGGGAGACCAGGGACAAACGAACATTATTTTATAAAAGTGGTTAAATCAATTAGAAGGTCGGAGACTGGAGCTGTGAGACCAGGGAGAAACGAACATTATTTTATAAACACTGTTAACTTAAATCAATTAGAAGGTCGGAGACTGGGGCTGTGAGACCAGGGAGAAACGAACATTATTTTATAAACACTGTTAACTTAAATCAATTAGAAGCAGGTAAGAAGATTCGGATGTGTTGTGGGCGGTTATGGCTACCTGTGGCCCACTAAATCTGGGATTTGACACGGGCAGCACAAGGTAAAGCATCATCTTACTGTTCAAAATTTCCCAGCCCCCTACCACAATCAGTAAGTTTTATTTTTATTAAAAAGAACTTAACTTACTTGAAAAATTGGGACTTATCGTCTACTTAGTAAATTTTATATTAAAAAAAACTGGACATTTTTTGCTGTGGGCAGTTCTTAATTTGCGCAGTTTACCATATGCGCAATTTTTATGTTAGCGCAATTCTCTTTGCGTGAAGTTTTTCTGCAAATATCACTGTGATCCCTAAAACGGTGGAGAGCAATCCATGGATGCATCCAGAACTGACTGTAGGTGAGCCATCCATTTATAAACGCGTGCCTATTGGCACACGTAATGACGGGTTTAAGCGCAGTATTTAAGTATCCGTCTGAGAATATGATATTGTTTTATTGGAAAATGACCAGAATTTTATCAAACTTGTAATGTATGGTTTCTTACTTTTGGGGGAAGGGGTGGCTGAGGTGGGGGCTTGGGTGTGTTGGGTAATGTAATGTTCCACATCTCGCCTGGAAAGTATGGAGTTCCGCAAGAGTCACCGATGACAATTCCACACGCTTGATCCGTCGTTAAAGACATATTGCCAATGACGTAGAATGCCACATCCTGTAGATTGTAAACACGCTCAAATAATTTCAATAAAAAAACTGTAACATTAGTTTACGCATGACTATCTGAGATCAGTAAGGAAGAAGTTGAGTATTTTTGTAACCATTGTATCAAAGGGGAAGAGCGTCTTGTTTAAAGAGGCTTACAATAACAATGAGAGGACCGAACGAGATTAAAGGCGCCAGAATCATAAGGACAATGGTAGATGGAGTATTCGGATAGAGTTAGTTAAAGAAGCAGTAGCGTAGCGAGGGGGGGGGGGCCGGGGGGGACATATGTACCCGGGCGCCGAGCTTAGAGGGCGCCAAAATGGGTTGGAAAAATAAATTGAAAGGTTGAGGGGGGTGCAAATTGAAAGTTTGAGGGGGGGGGGTGCAAATCAAAATCTCGAGGGGGGGTGCAAATCGAAAGTTTGAGGGGGGTGCAAATCAAAATCTCGAGGGGGGTGCAAATCGAAAAGTTTGTCCCCGGGCGCCGGGAAGGGTCGCTACGCCTCTGTAAAGAAGTGAAGTCGCACTAACAACTGACGGCTTATAATATGGGCGCCAAACCTAGCCTGTATTTGTCTTTAAAAATAAAACTTTGCAATCTGAACTTCATAACTTAAAAAAGAGTTTATAAGTTTTAATATCCATTCACACGACCTGAAACTGCGGCACTATCAGATTACAAACATGCTCGTTTCCAATGCTGAACTGAATGCACATTCTGATCGCCTCTGTGACTATGATCTCCACTGGCGTCTTGGTCCTCAGCATAGACTGAACCTTCGTGACCACCGACATACAGAAATCACAGTTTTTATTTTCCAGCTGCTCCGCCCTGCGCTGACGCTGTAAGTAAGACTCCATTTTATCGTCTGCTCGGGCGCCATCTTCTACAACCAGCGGTAATTCTTGTAAAAATGAGCTATTGGCTATGTGATTAGATTTCCCGCGTCTTAAAGTCCCGAATTCTTCAAAGACATCTTTGGCGTAAGATGAAAGGAACGATGTAGAAATCAGAAAACAGACAAGCCTACAATAAAACTTATCCATGAAACAAGATGGCGTATGGACTGGTTTTGATGTGTGAAAATTTTACAAAGAACTATTTGATGCCGTTTTTAAAGCTTAAAAGTTTTGACCAAACACTTTAAGTAAAGCCTAATATTTGAAAGCTCAACAAATTAAGAACACGAAAATGTTTTGTACTTTTGCACCCGAGCAAGATAGCCGACTTTCTGAAAAGTAGGCCACTAACGTTGGACTACAATCATTCATTTACTTACTAATAAAGCTGTACACAACATTACTATTTGGGGAGATTTTGTGTTATTAGTCAATTTATTATTTATTTATTTTGCGAAAAATATAAAAACTCGGCAGAATAACAATAAATTCTTTTTCGATCTTGATAGTCTATTGGGGCAGAAGAAATTGAGTTCACCTGATTCTTGGCATTACAAATGTAAAATATTGATGGGCCAGTGTTGAGAAAATCTGTAGGAAATGTCACTCAAAATAAAAGTAAAAGGGGTAAACAGAACAACTGCATCAAGTTCAGCACCACGACTTGGTACGTAAAGCTAGCCCGACTTTCCATTCGGCATAGGTAACTATACGAGTGCTGAAGACCTTATAAACACAGATATTTAATTTAAAAAATTAGTATATTTTTTTTTTAAATAATAAACATTTCAATAACCTGATTCCACTGTAAGCACCACACCCATCTGCGGATAGTCTATAGATTTCTATATATAAAAAGCAATGTATGTGTGTGTGTGTGTGTGTGTGTGTGTGTCTGTCTGTCTGTCCGTCCGTCTGTCTGTCTGTCTGTCTGTCTGTCTGTCTGTCTGTCTGTCTGTCTGTCTGTCTGTCTGTCTGTCTGTCTGTCTGTCTGTCTGTCTGTCTGTCTGTCTGTCTGTCTGTCTGTCTGTCTGTCTGTCTGTCTGTCTGTCTGTCTGTCTGTCTGTCTGTCTGTCTGTCTGTCTGTCTGTCTGTCTGTCTGTCTGTCTGTCTGTCTGTCTGTCTGTCTGTCTGTCTGTCTGTCTGTCTGTCTGTCTGTCTGTCTGTCTGTCTGTCTGTCTGTCTGTCTGTCTGTCTGTCTGTCTGTCTGTCTGTCTGTCTGTCTGTCTGTCTGTCTGTCTGTCTGTCTGTCTGTCTGTCTGTCTGTCTGTCTGTCTGTCTGTCTGTCTGTCTGTCTGTCTGTCTTTTATGCATTACTACACCTTTCATCCGACCGCCATGAAACTTTGGGAAGTTGTTGAGAATACTCCTGGGAAGGTTTCTGTGGGGAAAAAAATTCAAATTCGCAGGGGTGGCGCCCTGACAGGGCACGATTCGATTCTTCTTCATATACGGTATATAAAAATAACAGTCAATTGCAGTTTGACACCGTTCATCCGATCTCCATGCAACTTTGGGGAGTTGATTAGAACATCCCAGGGGAGGTTTCTGCACACACAAAAAACTTGTTTTTTAATTTGACAAGGGCGGCGCCTCGGGAGGTTGCGATTTTTCTCTATATACGATATATAAAAATATAAGTCGGATACGGTTCAAATATTTTTATGTGTTTAAAATAATATTTTTATGACCCTATTAATTAAAAATAATAATTTTTTCCCAATCTTACAAGCTCTCTATGAAAAGTTTTATATCCGTCATCATATTGTATTTGGCTTTGGCATCATTAAAAAGCTGGATTTTTCATGTATTCCATAAACTTAATTTTCATCATCTCGGAAACACCCAAAGATTACAATAGGCTTTGCAGTTTACACAGATATCGTATTTTCGTAACTTACTTTTCGTTACTTTTGGCTGTTTTTCTCAGTTCGCAGGTTTTAACACTAAAAAGCCAACTTATTTTTTAATAATTAAACAATAGCCACCATATTTTCAGTAATTGTTCTTCATCGAAAAATATAACTTTTGTCAAGAGGGAATATATGCAACTTTTGAAACTTTTGAATACTAAAAATGGTACGAATTTTTAGACTTTGTAAAATTCTTACTAGTAGATATTTCAAAAAGTTGTCGTGACAAAAGTTTTAATATATACTGAAATATAAGCAGTTTAAATTTGATTGCTATAAGTGCATACGGAGTGTTATTTTGGTTTCCATGACAAACAAAATTGTTTTCAACTCTTTTTTTTTTTTTTTTTTTTTTTGCTGTTTAATACTTACTTTTATGTGCCAAACATGGTAATAGTATTCAAAAGGCTTCAGATCTTAATTTTTTTTAAATTTGAAAAACTGAGCATATCCTCTTAAATAACTCAGTTTTAGAAAACAAGGTCACACGTCTAAGAATATATAGGATTTGTAACGCATTGATCAAACCCTTCTTGTGTATTTCGTCAGACTTTCTTCTATCCCTGCAGCAAAGGGCACGCGGACGGGCACGCTAGTGATATCTAATATATAAAGCTCAATTCTGTATGTAAAAATAAATTTGTTTGTCGTTGACATACTTCCATGGATTTAAGTGTTATATTATTATCGTGCTCATAGTCTAAATTTATGAGTTAAAAAATTACTATTGAAAGTGTTGGGAAATAATTTTCATTTTTCAAACTGATAGTAATAATTGTCGGCATGTTCAGTAAACACAATTTTTAAAAAATAACAAAAATTCTAATTATGTCTGAACATTATTTATATTTAGTCCTTTAGCACTTACTTCCCTTTGATAAATTAGGAAAACACAATTACTTCCCGTTATAAAACATTGCATTAGTGGAAAAGAATTTACTTTTTATTACTTTGTTTTGGTGTTGGGAAAAAAAGAATTACATAATTAGCGGGGATTGATCAAGTGCAAATGTTGTAGGTATTTTACAAATAAGCTTGGAGTATTATAATTGTTCATTTGGTTTGGTTTGGCACCTACGTTCGTTTAAGTGATTGCAAAAGACTATGAATAAGTTGGGGTACTATAGTCGATTATTAAGCTGAAACAGGCGATTCTGCCCCGGGCTAGACTGTGAGCACTTTGCGTTTATGTTCGCGTTAGTGTTTTCTTTGTGTTTAGGTTGGGTTTGCGTTAGTGGTTGCGTTTTGATTTGGATCGTTTTTGTTCTTTCTTTTTTCGTTTTCGTTTGTGTTTTTTTCTTTGGGTTTGTGTTTGTATCTGTGTTTGTGGTTGGTTTTGCGTTTGGATTTGGTTTGTTTTCGTTTGCTTTTTCGTTTGTTTTTTTCTTTGGGTTTGTGTTTGTGTTTGTGGCTGGTTTTGCGTTTGGATTTGGTTTGTTTTCGTTTGCTTTTTCGTTTGTTTGTTTTTCTTTGTCTTTGTATTGGTGTTTGTGGTTGTGGTTGGGTTTGTTGTTAGGTTTTTGTTTGCTTTTTTGTTTGTTTTTTCTTTGTGTTTGTATTGGTGTTTGTGATTGTGGTTGGGTTTGTTGTTAGGTTTTTGTTTTCGTTTATATTTGTAATTGTGTTAGCGTTATGTTTGCGTTTTGTTGTTTTGGTTGGTTGTGGTTTGGGTGGGCAATGCCGGGTTTATGATGATTACTAAACACACAGGTAATGGTCTTTAACAGAAAGGTTTTTCACAGAAGCCAGAGCAGGGCCTGGCCGGGACGGCTAGTGTAAGAATATATTAAAAGTTTAGGGGAGATCACTCCCGTTTTATTTATTATCAAAATGGCAGACAAACAACCTCAGAGCATAACGTCGGATCTTCCAAGTGATATTTGGCTTGTGTGTACCTTTGCTTTTCTATATTATAACAAACCTTTATAAGGCCTTAAGTTAAAATCTCGAATTATTTTTTATAATCTAAATCTCCTATCGTTTTAGTTTTAGGTACGTAAATAAAAGAACCGTGAAAGAAAGCCTCAAGGTGACTTTACTTTTTACTGTTTTTTAGCGCAATTTCCATTCTGGAGAATTGCGTTTATTAACTGAGACTCGTCTTTTCTGGGAATGTGTGTCCGGGCTTTAAGTCGTATCTCCTCCTCAACGAAGCAATATCGACGACTAGATCTAGTTCCAAAAGCAATTATGTTAAGCAAGTTACCAGGATGAACATAGGCCTAAAAAATTCCGGGTTTCTTTCATGGATTTCCCGGAAAAGCCAAAAAAACTCGAAAAAATGCAGTTTTTTGCCCATATCTCGGCAACCAGACCACTTAGCGACTTGAAACATTTACCAATCGATTCCTGCCATAATTTAGAACAATATTGCCGAAGAAAGTTTTCAAAAATATCCTTTTGTTCGGTCACAAAAAATTTTTTGAATTAATTAAAATTTGGACCAAAATTAGTAGCATGTTTATCCAACCACACCACACGCGTCATCACGTTCAATAGCTGCGCCATTACGTTCAGTGGCTGCGACATCACGTTCGGTAGCTAGGCGCGCAATGGTTTTTAGTCATGTTACTCTATTGTAAATAAAACATGTAAAATACTGGAAAAAAAATTAATAAAAAACGTTTTAATAACTAACCAATGGTTTTACTAACCCTGCTCTTGATTTACGCTACGACAGAGCAATTTTTAGATAACATAAGGAAATTGCGCTAAAATTGTCACTAGACTTTTTTTAATTACTTGTTTGATTTTTGGGTAATCTATCGAATTGGGCCTTTTGGGTACGTAAAATCGCCCGCGGCTATTATTAATGTACGAAAACGTTACCTCATTGTCAAGGCTTTAATAGAAGTATATTGTCATATGTTTGTGTCGAATATTATAGATAAATGAATAATAAACCTAAACCAATGGCTAAATATATTTTAATATATATTAATGTATCGATATAGGCCAGAAATGAACTTTAAACAGCTGTGTCTGAGAGCAAGATTTGCTATATAAACAGCAGCCATTTGTAAAATAGAGTGGCTTCCCCCTGAATCTCGCGCTATAAGCTTATAAAAATAAAACTTAAACAAGATGGCTGCTATAGTAAATGAGCATGGTTGCATCTGTTGGAAACATCACTAGTCTTCATTTGTTACGGAAAAGTTTTAATTCAATTGTTTAAAAACAGGTACATAAATAAAACAAGGAAACATTTTTGTATTTAAAAAAAAACATTAATCCTCCTCAAAATGTAAAATAATTATTAAAATGTAAGGAGTCACCTGTTTTTCACATTACTAGTCGTGGGCGATTTTACGTACCCAAAACGATAGATTACCCTTTTTTAAACTTTTAAATAGCTGGGAAAGGGCAAATGCAGGGGACTCAGGTATTCTGGTAATCTATTGTTTTACGGTTTTAGGTACGTAAAGTCGGCCGAGGCTAGTTATGTCCGAAAAAGCTGCCTCATCGTTAAACCGAAATCAATGGCTAAATATTAAATGTATTTAAATATATCATTAATAATATCAAAATTATATTATAATTAATTATATAGACCAGAAATTAACTTTTAACCTGAATCTCCCACTATAAGTTTACCAAAAAAACTTAAACAATATGGCTGCTGAAGTAAACAAGCTTTGTTGCATCTGGTGAAAACATCGCTAGTCTTTATTTATTACTGAAGAGTTTTAATACAGTTGTTTAAAAACAGGTACATGAAACTTAGAAACATTTTTGTAACTTTCAAAACATAAAACTTCCTTAAAATGTTAAATAATTACTAAAATTTTATGAGGCACCTTCTTTTCACATTGTCATTACTAGCCTCGACCGATTTTACGTACCTAAAGAAATAGATTACCGGGACTCAGAATCAATAGTCACAATACTATACTCTTCATTAATTTGTTAATAAATTAATATATGGCTTTAAAATTTTAATTAATGCAAGTATTTTGTTTTATATTAAATTATATTTGTATCAAATATATGACAAGTTACTAGTCGGGGTAAGTCCAAAAAAAAAACCAAACAGCCAGTGTTTTATAACCATTTTAATTACACCATGCATGATTTTAAAATATTTAATGGGTCTCTCCAATACCTTTGAGACTATTCTTGCTTGGATACATTACTTTGTTAAATCTAAAATCTAATTAGTCACCTTTCGTTAGGTTTGGCAGATTTTATGGTCCTGAAACGATAGATAACTTAAATAACTATTAGAGTTAATACTAAAACACAATTATTTTTCCTAATATTAGAATTTGAACGAATGCATTGCAAAGTGTGTTTATTTATTTGAAATTGATCAGGCTATACTTAACTATAATATAATTACAATTTAGTAGTATCTATTTAGCCTATCTATTCTGAGATATGAAAAATCATTTTAAAAAAGTGTATGAAACAATTACAAAAAAGTTTAATATAAATGGACTGAACCCACAACCCATGATGAGCTACCCCAAGCACAACCACCAGTAACAATTACTGAATTTGAACCCATGTGTGTATGTCATGTGCAGAAATATTTCGTCACTACCAGTCTAGTGGAGAATAGAAGGGACACTTTTTTTTCTGCCCAGTCACCAGTCTGATAAAAATAAGAAACTTTTAAGTCTTAAAAACCCCTCTGGCATGTCTACCAAATAAAATTTAAGTTATGCAAACTTGATTCCATGATATGTTCCTAACTCATTTTTATAGTAATTTAAAAAACAAAATTGTTAAAAATGCTAGTCACAATCTATTTTAAAAACTGGTTACTGGATTTCTCACTGTACCTAAACTTTGTTAAAGGCTCGTTTTCACAGGTTTTTTATTACTTTAGTAATTAGTTACAAGACCTAGCATGAAGTTTTAATTAAGTTTAGATTATGCCCATTTTGTTAGTATTATTTATTGCACCATTCATCAACACAATTAGCTAGAAGAATAGGTTTTGCACAGTGTTGTTTTTTCATTGGACTTAATCAAGTAAGTTTAAATATTTTCTTTTTTAACAGATACGTACGTGTGAAATCTATAAAGATGAATATAATGATTGCAAAAGTAAGACATTTCATTTGTTCACTAATAAGTATTCAAATTCTATTGCTTTTCATGTTGTACTACTAGTCATATTTTATTTTGTGGTATTTATCCCTTTAAATGTGTCTTTGTGTAGCTTTCTTGAGTAAGCTGTACCAGCATTACATTGATGGTGGCAAGCAAGATTGCAGCCAGTGGTTGACAGACTATAACAACTGTATGCTCTTCAGGAATAAAAAAGACAAAGAGGCTGCTGTAAGTAACTGTTAGCTATACATCAAGGTCCCTACGCCCTCTTTACTTCTATATGACCAAAACTAAATGCCTGTCTTTTTTTGAGTGCAGAATCAGCTCCTATAGTTTTTGGTTTGAAACTTTAGCATTTATTTTATTTACTCATACTCATCTTCAAAAGTTCTCATGTCTTAGGTTTCTGACCATGTCTGATAAACTTGTTTCTTAAAATAAAATTCATTGCACTTACAGGAAGCACTGATAGAAGTAGAAAGACAAAGGAGAAAAGCTAGATTGCAGTCAGCCAAAAACAATGATATCTGGGAATACAGAACTAAACCCCCTACAGAATGGTTTAAACCATTATCTACGGACCAAAAAACATAGCTTTTGTCATAGCTCTGTTAAATTATTGTTTAGGTTTTGTATGCATATTTTACTCCATTAAAAAGACTGAGTCTTTTCCTGATTGTATTTGGATTTGTTTTTTAAAGAGGGTGTGTGTGAATGCCTTTAGAAAAAGCACAGAATTTTTTTTTTTTTTTTTTTTTAATGATAGAGTACAATTAAAATTAAGTCAATATTGCAGCTTGATTACTATCCTCTTCATCATGTTCTTTGAAATCTTTATTGTTTCCAACAAATTCTCTGTCAAAGTCTTCCTTAGATATCTGAATATGAAGATAAAGATTATGTTATAATAATTCTGAATGTGAAAGTTTACACTTGGAACAATAATTTTTTTTCTAAATAATAACTGATAAAAACATGATAATAAGTTAAAAAAAACAAAACAGCTAAATCAAAAAAGTTTATAAAAGAGCTGAATAAAAAAAATATTTAAAACAGGGTTCCCTTGCTACTTGTTTTGCAGCACAACCTAATTAAATGGAGCCCGTATAAGAACAGTAGCTCTTCTTGACATAAATCTTTATTGTCATCACTGCTACATAGCTAATTACTTATCATTATTCTAGCGGATGATATATAGCTACTAAAAATACATAGATTTAGTGTCTTTACTTCACAGAAATTCACCTATCCCAGGTGAGCGTGGAATGAAAAACCCTCAATAAGTGAGGGAACACAGTATGATAAAATATGTACACTAGTATACCTTTTCTAAATTTTTAAGTATTATAAAACAAGTATTTACTTTTCCACGTTTCAGTTTCTTAATCAGTCTAATATCTTCATCAAATTCATCAAACTCCTCTTCACGATTTTCTTCAAGTTTCCGTTTTTCAGCTTTAGTCTTTATGCCCTCTTTCTTTAGCTTTTTCTTATCTTTCCTGTCTTTCTGCTTAGACCACGCTATTGTCTAAGAAAATATATAAATTGTCAATGGAAAAAAAAAATCTATCACAACATAAAAAGCAGATTGTTTTATAACAAGAAATGAACAATTACTAATTACCTTTGGGGGTCTATTAGATTTTTTTGGTTTTATATCTCCTGAAGCAATCTTCTCTTTTCGAGCTTTTTCTCTATTTTTATCTTTGTATGGAATACTAGATACATCTATTTCTATTGGCTGAAAATTAGAAACTGTTTTTCCTCTAAGTTCTGGCATTTTGGGAATATGTAAAAGACCAAATCCTAAAGCGAGTTTACCAAAATCTAAATCTGAAATATAAAGATAGCAAAATTTAAATATTTTTAAAAACTAAAAAATTATTATCTAATACTTATGCATTTTTGAAAATAGAAAAATAGATAGAAGGAATTTTTTTTTTAATTTCATTAACAAACCTTAAAGGTTAACAAAATCTTCTAATCATATTGTTTATAAATCAACCATATAAAACTTGACCAACCTTTCATCCTTAGTATCATGCTGCATTCATGTTTAGCATATGACTGAATATAAGACACAAATGCTCGCAGTCCTTTTTCATATAAAGCTCTAGAAGTATACATAAAATGAATGTATGTTTAATATCCTCATAAAAATCAACTGTTACCAGACTGAACATGTTATCTAAAATAAATGTGCTAGTAATAGAAACATTAGATGATGATTAAATGTAACTTAATTTTTAATTTAATAGATGAGATACTTTCCAAAAAGCTGTAATTTCAGAATAAAAAATAGTACGGAAAGAACTGAATCTGAAATATGATAGGCAATTTTATGATTATTAATTTATAGTTTGCTGTTTGGAAAAGTACCTTTTTTATTCAAATCTGAGATACCTGTCATTGAGTGCAAATGTTTGTAATCTAGTGCACACCTCTGTAACATTATCTAATTTTTTCATTTCTGTGAGAGGAACTTTCTGATTGATTTCAATGAATTTGATATAGGAATCCTCAGATGGCATCAGTAATACTAGAGCATTTCCAAGGTTACCTATTCTAGCTGTTCGCCCACAACGATGTACAAATGCACTAAATAGACAAAAAAATTTGACAAACTTAATTCATTAATTTGGAATAATTAAATAAATAAGCTTATTGCACCTTTTTAAAAAAATTACTGGGAAAACTAACACCAAGAGAAAGGTCAAAATGCTGATTCCTACCTGGCAGAACTGGGAGGATCATACTGAATAACCCAGTGGACATCAGGTATATCCACCCCTCTAGCCATCACATCTGTGCATATCAATATACCGCTGGTGATTCAAATGATAACAAACCATTTTTAACTCATTTCCCTTTAGTAAAAACTAATTAGAAGAAAATAATTTTAATCAGGACTCAAAAGAGAAACTTACCAGCTCATTTTTCTGAAAGCCTCAAATACTTTGTTTCTTTTGCTTTTTATTTTACTGTGAATTAATAATATCTCACACTTTTTCAGAATTCTGAAATGTAAATAAATCAAGTTTTTATAAAGTATGCTGAGGGACTAATATTTCAATATAACTAGTGAATGTATTACTTACTGTTGTAAGCATTTAGAAAAATAGTCCACAGAAGCGCAAGTGCTAAAGAACACCATTATTTTGTCTTTCTTATGCTCCTGCAAGAACCGAACCAGCTGGCTGAATTTTTCATCACCTTCAACTAACTGAAAATATATTATGTTGATAATTAAAAGAAAAAGGCCATTTTAGACTTATATAACAAATATATAATCATATAATAAAAAAAGAATGCCCAAATACTGTATTCTTTTAATATATTTATAACAATTTTTTTGCCTCACTGTAGGCCTACATGGTGGGTGCAATCCTCCTAATTTGATTTTCAATGTCTGCCCTATCCATATTTGGCCTCGCTTAGTGAATCTTGGTTTATGGCTTATCTACTCAGAATACTGTATAAATACAGACACAAAAAATGGCATTTGCATCCAATTTAATTGTGTTATGGGCAGGTAAATATCAGTACCCCTGTGAATACATTGTGGATGGAAAACTGTAGTCATATCACACCCTAGGAAAACCATAAAATTAAGAGAATTCACTATCAATCAATACAATTGGAGAACTGGGAGATATTTTTTCTGAGACACTTTGTTCTCAGAAGTAGCATCACAATTGGAGAGCAACCCGACCCATTTTATTCATACCAACATTTCTTATCACCAAAATTATTGAAACCTCTTCTCTAATGATATTATTAATGAGGAGTATGACATTGGTAGTTTTCTAATAAAACAGATGCATTTAGCAATGTGTACCTATATACTTTTAATTGGTTTTGTGTATACCGTCTTCTTTTTTTTCTATAAAAGTGTAAAATGTGAATTTCACCCACGAGATAGATCTACTTCAAGGCTAGAAAATTAGAGTTTACAATGATCATTAGAAAAAATTATAAGGCTTACACATTAATCATTAAACTATAGTTAACAAATTAAGCAAAAACAAACCATATAATAATTCTCTAAAGAGGATGGTGTTTTCTGTATGTTTCCAGCTTTATTTGGCTTCTCTTTGACTGTAATTTGTAATGGATTTCTTAATCCTGCTCGTATAAGTTTCTCCACTTCATCAGTTTGTGTGGCAGAAAAAAGCCCAGTTCGTCGCAGTTTGGGCAGATAACTCAAAATAGTGTTTATACTGGAAAATATTTTTAAAATTTTGTATAGTTTTCAGAGGTGATTGGTGATGAAAGCACTTGGCAAAAAATGTGTACAGAGAGGGGGATTGTATTCCACCTATATACATATATATATATATATATATATATATATATATATATATATATATATATATATATATATATATATATATATATATACACACATGTAAATTGGGGGGGGGGGTGAATTGTAAGATACTATCCTCCGCTAACATCCCCTTGCCAATGCCACCAATTGGCATGCAAAAGCCAATCTTACCTTGCCTCAAATCCCATATCTAAAAGTCTATCAGCTTCATCCAATATTAGAACTTCCTAAAAAAAGAATTACATATACATTTGAATTATAATTTAAACAATATATTTTGTTTCATCAAATAATTAATGCATCAAAGATGTAACTAGATGAATACTGAGTGAGTATAAGAATTGCTATGTAACATACCAATGATTTAACACTTGCAGCTAAATTAAAACTGCCTTCCTTTCGCTGGAATAAATCTTCCAATCTGCCTGGTGTTGCAATAATGATATGCCCCCTAGAAAATTTCAAATAGTAACAATAAGCCCCATTATTATGGGATAAAGCTTCACATTGCACAAATTTTACTTAAAATTAGTTTTTTCTGACAGGTTTATAACTTTTTAAAAATTACTTTTACCATTCATCAAAAAAAGACTTACCCATGAGTCATAAACTTATCTATATCAGCCTGAGGTTTTTCACCTCCTATAAATAGACAAGAAGAGAACTGAGGCAGAAATTTTGTAAAGCTTAAGACAACCTCGTTTATCTGAAATGCTAACTCTCTAGTCGGGGTCAATATAATGGCACCAATCTGAAATAAAAGGATTTTTTTCAACATTACACAAACGTTGATTTAAATAAATTAAAACACTCTTATTGTAAGTGAATACTACCATTCGGTAACTACTCATCAAATTTTAATTATACTATCATGTTATTGATCAGAGTTATGTATCGGGATCAAGTTCAAGGTGGTTGATGACAAGATATGCATGCTGATTAAGATCTTCTGGTATCCCCTGACCAAAATGAACCAATACTTTTTACAAACATTTACAAAATTTTTATGTAAAAATAATTACTTCGTGTTTTTTGAGAGGTATTTCACGCCTGGACAGCATCTGCATCATGGGTACAACAAATGCCAAAGTTTTACCACTGCCTGTAACTGCTTCAACAGCAACATCTTTATTGCTGATGAACTGGGGGATGCATGCAGCCTAGAATTTAAAAAATGTAAATGGTTAATAGATTGTTTAAACCATAGATTTTTAAAAGACAAAACAACACCTCAGACTTGTGTAAACAGGATTTTTATTAATCAAATTTACTTGTAGTAGAATTAATGTATAATATCATAAAATATTGGTATAACTAATCTAACTATAATCTTGCTATGGAGATGAATAAAATCCTGCTGACCAAACCAGTTTAAAAACTATAAAAATCACCAAACCTGTACAGGAGTCATGTTGGAAAATTTAAGAGCTGCAACAGCTTCGAGGATGGCACCTTGAAGAACATCTTTTAATAAGCTCCAGTTTTGATCCATCATTAGGCCTAATCCTTGAGAAAATATGTTTGACACTTTTGTTTCATTTAGTTAATAAATACTAAATAGGCTAAGGACCTGTATTTTATATAAATTTTATTATAAGCCTATAGTAATTAGAAAATTAAATGAACGTATATTAAAGTATATTCATATTGTATAGGTCCTATGGTCCTAATAATATAATATTAGGCCTATAAAATAAGTTATCAAATATCAGTACAGCAGGCTAATGGGCTGCTTTTCTAGTTGATAATATAATAGTATATTATATTATCAACTAGAAAAGCAGCCCATTAGCCTGCTGTACTGATATTTGATAACTTATTTTATATTTTATAGGCCTAAGATTAATAGTTAATAATATTAATAGTATTTAATAGTTTATAGATTAAGATTAGGCCTATGTCTATAGTCTATGGTTAAGATTATTATCTATATATATAATTCTCTTCTGGGAGACGATAGAAAACAAGCTGGTCTGGTGAGTTGTGGTCACGCTAAATGTTTACAAATCGTAGAGCCGGGTTTAGTGACGGTTATTAGGGGCAGATAATTTAGTTTGAAACGATTTTACTTACAGGAGGTAACTAAGAGGAGGCTGCTTTCACGGGGGGGGGGGGGGGTGTAGGGTCGGGGTTAGGGGAAAGGGGGGGGGTTAGTGTTTTAAAGCAAATATATATTTGGTACTGTCGAATTCACAAATTATAAATTACTGAAAAGTATAAAATAAAACAACTAAATAGTAAGTATTAAGTAATAAGTAAGTACTAAGTACAGTTAGTACAGTCAGTAACTAAACTTTTACTAAACAATTTAAATTTTAAAATTTAAAAGAATAATAAACTTAGAAACTAGTCAACTACTACTAGATTTATAACTAGATTCTAGATCTACTACAGTACTACTACTACTACTCAGTAGTCAGTGTAGTGTATACTAGTGTATAGTAATACTATAAATACTAATAAGTAATATTAATAAATACTAGGCTAATAAAAATAGTATGTATAGTATTACATACATTTAGTATTATTTATTTTTTTTATACTACGAACTACGAAGTGACTACTCGGAAGAAGATTTTTCTCCCCCCAGATCTAAGTCAGACTTACAAAAACTGTAGTGTAAAGTGAATAGATTTAGATCTAGATCAAATCTAGAAGTTGTATAGTAGATCTATATCTAGACTAGATAGATATAGATCTAGATAGATCTAAGACTAGTTGCTAGTTAGTTAGACAACAAATGCCATGTGCTCTGTGATTCGAAAACGTAAATATTGTCACGTGACATTGATATTTTTAGAATTGAGTATAAAACACTTTAAAAAAATAAATTGTAATGCAACAATTTATTTACTAAAAAATTGTAATCAAAATTTCGTAAAATAAATCATATTTCTTAAAAATAATTCATGTTTGACAGTACATTTGTATTATTTCACATTAGGCCTACATAGACCTCGGCCCTAAGCTTAGCTTCTAGAAAGAACTTCCTGCGCCATCCTCTTTTGCACGCGGCACCATTTTATTTTATGATGTAATGTATTTTTTATAAACTTATCCCCCCCCCCCCACCTCTCTCATTGTGTTGCAGGCTAAGTTAGGCCTAGGCTCATAAGCATAATGTTAAAACTGCAAATTTTTTTTTTTCTCGTCCCTACACTACACCGTAGTCGTATCACAAACTGACGTGTAGTCTCTTTCCTGACACTATTGGTCTATCTATAAATCTATAATATTATCTAGAATCTACTCGCAGTATTGAATATTGGCATATACTTATATATTATATAATTATATAATTTAATAATAGGGACTACTACTATCACATGTTGGGTTTTCTTTTTATTGGATCTTTTACTTATTTAAATTCATCTATTTTTACTTGGCCAACTTGATAAAAAGCTAAATTTAAATATTAAATTGTTACTTAATATAATGAAATTATGATATATCTAGTAAAAAATTAACACTGAAAACAATGGTTACAATCCAGGCGTAAGGCCTCTTAAGTAAGCATGTGCCTAGTGTCTATCTTTATTATTACAAACACAACATTAGGGATCAAATACTGTCTTTTTATCAAAGTAGATCCATTCTCATTGTATAAATACTGAAGCATACTAAATCTAAATATAGGCAAGGACTAGATTTATCCAAAATCATTGACTTTTAAACGTGTTTGGTTTTCAGTTTCTATGCTCATTTACTCTCTTTTTTTCCGTCAAGTAGATCTAGATCTGGATCTAGAATCCTAGATGATAGATTTAGATCTTTGTCTACGCTTTTTTACTTTCAAGTTAAATATTACATTTCTTCAAGCCGCGTGATACGCCTATCTTTAGGTAGGCCTATAAACAGGTCTTAGCCTACTCCATGAGTTTAATTTAGATCTTGTTCAAATAATATTAAATTCGAAACGAGAACAAATATTCTATTTCTCTTATTTTCCTATTTTAAATTTGTTTATTGCTGTTGGTCTGAATGACCAGGAAATGAATTAATGTTGACTCTGCACTTTTTATTTCCGTACTAAAACTTAGTTGTTTCTTGCGTTTCTCGAATCAGTGTTTTAATGTCACACTTAGTGGGATTACTTTTTCTTGGGCGTAGTAATTTGGACGTGGCATTTCCGTCAAAATGGTTGACAACTTGAAAATGAAAGTATCCGAATGTCATCTAAAGATCACACTCGCTTTCTAACTCTGACTTAACGTTTCGATTTACTGCTCAGTTAAAACTCAGGTTAAATTAATGATTCATTTTACCTTACTGTATATATTTTTGAAACAAATCCCCATATAAATAAACGTGGTGAATGTTTTTATTTTGGCCACTTGAAAAGAGCTCAGCTAGAAGTACAATTCTCAAATCTAAAAAAATGTTTGTAGTTAGAAAACTAGATTATATTTAAAAAATGGGTAGATCTAGAAAGATACTCTCACTCTGCTTTATCTTGAATTGTTTCCATTCTTTTCATATGACAAGATCTATCATTAAATTATTTTTAGGCCCATATATCTAAATTATCAACTCAAAGCTATGCACAGCAGTCACCCAGTGTGTTGATGTTGTAGAACTTGTACAGTACTGTACTAAAAACTTGTACACACTGCAACTACACAGTCAAGTGACACACAGACACATTTGTTTGGTGGTCTCATAAAATTACTTAGGCCTACTTAAAGTAGAAAGAAATATCATGTTAGTGAATATTACACTAACTTATAAGTTCACTTTTAAGGGCTTCTGTAAAATCAGAGAAAATTAAAACATTAGTTAGGCCTAATTGTTAGTCATTTTGTTAGGCCTATGTTTGGCATTAACACAATAATTAATTGTAGGGCTAACTAATTGTAATGTGTTCATTACTGACTTCATTTCCCTTGCTATTTACTAACCCTTTAAAACTGTTTTACTGAGTAAACAAAATATAAAATCCTTAGTTTAACATGTTTTTCTCTTTTTTTTTCAGACACTTATTGAAATTTTAAAATTATTTTCCAGTAGACTTTATGTTAATGTTATGATATTTTGAAAGATATTTTCTAAAATATTTAACATTATGGCAAGACTAGTTGCTATTTGTGAAACCGATGTCAACTTTGACTTTCAACGACGACAAGTTCCAATAGAGGTGGACAATATGAAGGTAGTTTAAATTTAATTTAAAAGCTTAATTTTAAGATTATTAAAATAAAAAGCTTATTTTGTTTATGGGCTAATGTATATTCTATTTATATTCATTATTTTTGTTTGGGGTACTCTTTCTGTTTGACAATGATCTCTCCAGAAAACAGGTTGCTATTAGAAGTGTGCAATATCAGGTTTAGTGTAGGCCTACTTGTGTTAAAATTTAGGGTGAGGGTTTTTCTATTTAAGCTCTCATTTGAGATGGTAATTGACTAGAAGATTATCCGTATTTGGTCAAGCAGTTGTTCTCAAAAGCTTCTAGTGCCATTGTTGACTTTAGCAAATATTATTTAGTAGTCTACTACCTGTATAGGTGATCTCATTGTGTTGGTATTATCCGACATATTTGTAAAACAGATATATTTGTATAAAATGCAAAAATATGAATTTATTAGAAAACTTTTGATAGATCATTAATTATAATTTTTGTAAATATACACAGATGGTTGTCCAATTTAGTGACAAGTGTGTTGATTGTGAAAAGTTGTGTGGGGTAAAGCAGAGAGACCTGGAGCACTTTACTAACAAGTTCAACACCCTAACGAAAGATGAGGTGGCTGTGGCATTGTTGGTCTCTGGTAAAGATATTATGAGCTTGTTGTCTCATATGGTTCCTTGTGTAGGCTGTAGAAAAAGGTAAGAATTTTAATGGCACATTTTTAGGGTTCATTATATAAAAAGTTTACATCTATCCATTACTTTTCTAACCACTAAGAAACAGATTTTTAAAAACTTTCCTAGTTTAGAACCTTTTCCTACTTTCTTCTCCAGTGTTGAAAGATTATTTGTTCAGCTTCAGAAGTCACAACACCCAGCCCTAGAGCCATTAGTGATTACACCTCGAGGTGAAATGTCCGTCCAACATGAATATTTGTTTGATCCCAGGTCACTGTTTGCATTGTTTCATGTGCATGGGTAAGTCTTTGTTGATGTTATTATTATATGGGGGTCATGATTCATTATTATTATAATTACAGTTTAATATTTTTGGCTTTTAGTAGTGAAAATGATTTTTTGCTTATCTTTAAAATGACTACATTACTTAAGCAGTTGAAAGATGTTTACATTACATTTTTTTCAATCTATTCAGTTCAAAGTTACATTCTGTTGTTGAGGCTATTCCAAAGAGTAAGAAAAACAAAAGATGTAACCTACATTCTCTTGATACCCACAAATCTAGAACACTAGGGTAGGTATAATATATGTATATATATTTATCTATTAGAGATTTAAAATTTCCTCTGGTATATATTTTTTAGTATCTGTTTTTATTAGTGTTTTTTATAAGTGTATTTAGAAATATTCATGTTTAAAAGCAGTTTTTGTACATATTTTTGATATATCCGTTATGAAGGGCCTTCTAATTAAAGCATAAATATCTCCTTTCAGGTGCTGGCTAGATGCTTGGGATGCATTGTCAGAGTCTTGTAGGGAAAAAGTTCTTGTAGTTGATATGAAGCGCCTATTAATAACAGTTGATTCCTACCTTGATAAACACAAGTAAGTTAACCATGCCTGAAACTACCAGTTAATTGTATCAAATAAGATTGTAGTTATCAGCAAAACATTCATTTAAATGAGACTTGTAATCTAAAGTATGTATGTAATGTAGTGAATTATATTTGTAGCAGAATAAACATAATGTTAAACTTGAAGATAATCAAGTACAATTAGTTGAAATAGTTCACGTAAATGAATTTTTAGTAGTAAGAATACTGTTGTAAGTCATCAATGTTGATTTGTAAAAACATTTATGTACATGTTTATATTATTCATAATTTAATTTTCTTATAGATTTTGTGGAGAGTGCAAATCTAAAGTAATGTTAGCTTATAACATTCTTATTGGAGAGGTAGACAGTGCTTCAGAGAAAGGTTATTGTGCTGCCCTCTATGAAAATTTACGGTGTTGTGCAAAGGAGCAGCATGTTCATGTTCTGAATGATACAGATTTCATTGCTCACTTGCTAGAGAAGGCTGAACCAGAGTTTCTAGGGGGGTAAGTGCATTAAATGATGATCTATGAAATGTTTAATTAATTGATTACATATAGATATTATTATGATCACCTTTTCTTTCATTATTTATTTAGAAAACGAGACAGACATGCAAAAACATTAGATATAGCTCAAGAGGAAGTTCTGACTTGCCTGGGTATTCACATATTTGAACGCCTACACAGAATCTGGCAGAAGTTGCGCAGTGAGGAACAAACTTGGTTGATACTGTTTTACATGGGGGTTGATGCTTTGAGAAAAAGTTATCAGGTTGGTTTATACATACATTTTTTTAAAAATCACTATACTAATTTAGTATAAGTTGTAACAGCATGAAAAATTAACTCATTATGATGATTATGTTAGATGGCCCTTGAAGAGAAACAGGGGGCTTCAAACCTGGAACTTCTGTGTGAGGAACTAGAGGAGAAAGAAAAAAGACAGGAAGAAAAGAAAGAGATGAAGAGACAAAAGAGAAAACAGAAGAAAGCAAAAGCTCAGTTGTGTCCTGTTTCTGTGATTAAAACATGTTCAGACCTTATTGATGAAATACCCTGTCAGGTACATCCATATATGTATTTAATTTCCATCATGGACTAAGTTTAATTTCACTAACATTTATAACATTAAGGTATTACTTTAATTTCACCCTAAGCCCTAAGCTTATTGGTGCTACTAGAGATTCAGCTATGCCAAACAGTACAGTATAACAATACTATATCTACATGTTAAAATGTTGGATACAGCAACATCATTGATCAGCTATAATTTATCCAAAATTAACATTATATGCTGGTAAAATTACTATTTTGCTGTCTCTAAAAACAGTGGCTGATCTGTCAGAACATATTTGGTTTACATTTTTAGAAGACATGTGTAAAAAAGGTACTTAAACAAAAAAAATGTTGCATTTTCCCCCAGTGTTCTACAATGGAGCCTGATAACAACCCCAAGAACAATAAATATCACCACCATCGCAATAGCAAAGAGTCCTGTAGTGATGCCAATTTCAACTCCCTGACCCTGTCCTTACAAGGCTGTGACCTCAGTCTCCAGGCGCGGCATGTTTATTCACATCATGATACTGTGATACGGTCAAGTAGAGGAGGGGAGTGGGCAGATGCTTCAGAGGTTGACAGTTGTGAAAGTTGTAGTATGCAAGGGTCAAATGAAGGTTCTGAAGGTTGGTACCTTTTTTTTTCTGACTATAGCCTTCCTGTAACAATAGTTTGGTTACATTTTTCATTTTTAAGTGAAATTCTTGACAGGCATAACTCCTGGAATTTATTGTCTAGTCATACTAAGAATGCTGATATATTAGATATCTCTTCATTCACTGCCCTTACTGGGGTATGGGCCACAAACCGAGTTTTGTTTAATAGGTCTGGGTTGTTAGCTTAGAACTCAATCCACTTGTGTCCTCTTTCAACACTCAAGCTAGCTGCCTTACTTTTTGGGTAAGGGTCTTTGCTGGTTCCTCAACTACCTACACAGCAGAAGGTTCTAATTTTGGACCACCCCTGGTGCCTACCATATCTGGGGTGGGCATTCCCCTATCCACCATCTTATGAGGCTCTTGATGAAAGATCAACAATATCACAGGAGTAAATGAACACACAAAATCTTGATTTTTATGAGGACCCAATTAGTTGTGGAATAAAAGGTTCAAAGGAAGATGGGGTAGAATAGTTAAAGTAGTTCCTGTTATTTTAAGAATGTATCAGGGTAATTTTTTTTCTCGTTTTCAGAGGGTGAGTGTTCAGGTTCATTTACAGACAGCTTGGACAGTTGTGATTGTGATATGCTTAGGTCATCTCCTAAACGAGTGAGAGGGCATCAGGTGAGTAATCAAGATACATTGCTCTGCAGCAAAGATATCAATTAACAAGTTTATAAAATGCCTTAGCATAATACATTAATGTTTAGAGCATTTTAAAATGTTGCTGGCCTTATGACTTATTTTACATTCAGCCTTTCTCAAAGTTCTAGCAAGATTTGTCATTCCTGTTTGACCATTTTTCAGGTTAATTTCTTATCAAGTTGCCATAATGACAAAGTAGCATTCCAAGCCAGTGAACAACCTACTCTGCAAGACCTTTTGGAGGTTATTTCTTTTTTTTTTCTGGCAGAAAAATAGTTTGCTATAAAAATATTAATGGAGGTGTAAGAAAGTAGTGTTTTTTTATAGTGCAATTGAAATTTATAAGTAGATTAGAATTCATTTAACATTAGATTTTTTTTACAGGATTTGTGTTGGGATGATGGAGAAGATGAAGATCCAGGTATATCAGAAGAAGAAATTCTTGAATTCAAAGCTAGGTTAGAGGAAGTAGAGAGTAAACGGCAGAAACTACGTCAAAACCTTCGTCAGCGGTTTGAGGAGTTGCATATGTCCAGACATGTTAATTCTATGTAGTTGTTTTTCTCATAAGAGCCCATTTATGTTTTTAAATTATCTTTGTTAACTTGGTGGTGAGGCACAGGATTTCAGAACTTTATGTGGGCTTTAATTGTCTATTTAAATATAAATCATACTGTGTCATATTTTTCTTGGTGGAAGAAATTGATTAGGTAGAATCCTACCTAAATAACAAAGTTGTATGGTCTGCAGATATTCAGGTAATTTATGCTAAAAAAATTGTTGACATTTAGTTTATTGTAGTGCAGCTTTTTTTAAAAAATAAAATAATTGATTGCTTCTGTGTGAATTTGTAAATTGTAACAAATTCAGTGATGAATTATTGGTTTAAATAAAACATTTTTTAATCTATTTAACTTCAAATGAGTAAAGTGTATTTATTTAGTTCTGTATATTATATTAATTGCAAACAACTGAAATTTTTAAAAATAATTCAATCCTCTAGATTCAATATTGAGTTACTACCAGAATACTTGTGTTGAATATAAAACTAATTGAAAGACTATGGTTGGATTGATTTTTTTCTGTTATATACACATGTGCCTTGTGGAGATGGTTGATTTTAACCAGTCTCACTTGGTTTCTCAGTTGATGCTATTTTTCTATACCTCAATTTTCAGATTATCTTAAGTATGTTATTATTACTCTTAATTCATGAACTTTTTTATCCAATGTGAAGTTCCAAATTTAAGTTTTTTATTAGTTATTTACTTTAAAAAAAAACAATAGCCTTATCTGCCTACTCAACCACCTACAATACTAAGGTTTTGACCTTTATTCATCATATTTTTTAATCAAAGTACAACCATGCCAACAGTTAATTGAAGTGTTTGAAAAGACAATCACACATGAGATGTATGGCTGCTAGATCTAATAGTTAAAAGGAATCAGACCTGGGTGTTATAATGTTGCAACTAAGTTATTTCTTCCTGCATTATTTTTTAACAAACACTAGGAAGAACAGTGTAATAATCCAAAGCAATATAATTTACAATCAATACGAGGTATGTTTGCTTCAGTGTTGCTGCTAATAGAGTGTAGAAGCTTATTAAGAATGTCAGGTTTTTTTAGATACCAGTTCAGTTCTTTGCCATCAGTCATGCATTTGTGGTCATTCTTCTCCATAACAGAATACACCATTTTCGTGTGATGCGTCTGTTAAGAGCTCAACTTTTTAAAAAGTGGTTAATTTTTTTTTCTATCTTGTACCTGAACAAAACTTAAAAACCATGACATTCCGTTTCCAATAAATAATTATTGTAACAAATCATCTGAAGCTGTAGTTTTCTTAACAGACATTTCTCTGTAGTATTTAGCTAGCTACAAACTCACTGGCTGAAGGTAGTTTCCATTGTTTTAGTTTTCCAATCGCTTTGGATATTAAATTACATTTATAATGCTGTTAAAAGACAGGTATCTGATATTTTTTTTAGAACTTAAACAGATATTTGTTGTTTGATATTTTGTTTGATACTGCACTACCAATACAGGTTTCAAGTAAGATTTCACACTGATTAGGCATGTCTTTTCTTAGGCATACTTATTTATAAACTAAGTTATTAAATAAAATACTTTTGCTTGTAATTAGAAAAAGTAACTACGAAAGTATCTAAACACTACCATGAAAGTAATTGTGCATATTTAGTACACAAACTGAGTTAACACACAGTACTTTCACTTTTTATTGACTTTATTGTTAAGTTTGTTGAAAAGCGTCATTTTATGTAAGGGTAAAAAAATTTATTCTGAACTATTTTACAAAAATAGACTATTTCTTGTTACACTTTGTCTGATATTTACACTGAAAAGTGTTTTTCATGAAATTTTAAAATCTATTAAAGTAAAAATTCTTGTAAGTTTGTAATGAACAACTTGAAATTTTACTACTGCAATATACAACTGTATTACTAATTCCATTGCTAAAGTCACTGACAATCAACAGCTGAGAAAGTTGTTTAGTTTATACTTGTGAGGCTATCAAAGCCGCTAGTTGTCCCAATGCTTTCTTCCTGCATGAGTGGCAAACAGCTGAATTTTCTGTGTTGGATTATTGTAAACTTTTCAGCAGGTCTAAACTGTTTTTATACATTTTATTCTCTGAATGCTTTCAGGTTATTCTTTTATTAAATTAATTAAACCAGCTTTCTTTAGGTGATCTAGTTGAACAAATAGTTTTGTGCAAAAATGTACTAGTTACTTAAATGTCACAATTTTTTTTTTTTTGTTAAGCTTCCTACAAAGGTACACAGAATTTATGTATGTGTGATCAATTTGTTTATCATTACTGAATTAACTGTTGACAATGTAATATGCAAAACTAATTAAATTGTGATACTTTTTTCTGTCTTTTCATTCATTAAATAAGAGTACTCAATAGGAAATATCAAAGAATTTGGGCAATTGTTTATATTAGTTACGTTTATGCAAGCATTCTTATTATTTAAAGTGCAAGAAGAGTCGCTGCCTGCTGTATCCTTGTACATCGTCCCTTCTGTAATCATGTTTTGTCCACCTGCCACATCAGTACATTGAATGAAATAAATAAACTATGAGAAAAACATTGGTGTGGTGAGAATTATTTTGTGATTTTATTTCTTATACTCTGGAGTGGGGGTTGTGTGTAGACTTGAGTTGCATTTCACAATCGTGCTGGATATATTTATATATAAACTATTATAAACAACATACAACAATACGTTGTAACAAAAATCACTCACTATTGCACATTTTATACGCCATACATAGATTTTTTTTTAATTCAACTTGACTAGAGAACAATTTAGCTAGAATTCTCTCTATACTTAAGTTTCTAAAGACACAAATACATTCAAAGTTAAACTATCCTCCTTTGTATTTGTCTATCTAACCAGTCTTTTTCTATATTTAGGTCGTAACATTATTTTAAAATCAATTTTCAGGCTTGATTTTTTTTCTTTTACCGTGTAGGCCTAGGTGGAGCGTCCTGTAATCTATAATTATACCACACAGTCTTTAATATCCTATCCTTTGAATTATAATTTTCCCCAAGTCAATAAATCAAAGATTTGTTAGGTTCTTTCTTTGTAAATTGTTCCGTTACTTTTTTTTTTCACGCCATAGATTTTCCTCAACTGTCTGCTGTGCAAACATACAATTAATTAAGACCATGGTGTTACGGAGCAAAGAAATTTTATAATGTAACTAATTATGGAGTTGTGCTGCGAATCTTGCTGTTTACGTTTTTTTTAAATTGAAAACAGGCGCCGAGTTTTAAGTTTTGCACTTGAATCATTCAATGAATGAAAAAAAAATCTGATACCAAATGTGTGATTAGACATGGTTGGGCGGGGTCCTTCAACAAGTAGAAAATATTCGTAGATTTTTTTTAAATTTGAATTTCATTATTTTATTTATTTAAATCTAAATGTTTGATTTAAACGAATATAGATAGAATCTAGGTCTAAGTTTCTTAAGCAAGGGTCTAGGCCTAGTCTAGACCTAAGTCATGTGCTTATAATTATGGAAATTTTCCTCTGAAAACAAAAGAGGAGCGACCTTGCCCTTTGGTGAGGGATTTCCCGCACAACAACGAGACCAGTCTGAACAGCTATTATATTATGGATTTGCCGATCGATAGTGCGTAGTACGCGGGCACACACGCTGGCTGCTTGAAAACCCCAGGCACATGCTGCTATCATTCGTTTGATACAATCTCAGGGAGCAGTCAACTCTCCTTTAAAAACTGCCATCGATTATCGATAGTTTCTAAACGGGTCGATACTTATACTGGACTCGACTTGCTTTCCAACTTAGGCGTAGATCTACATTTCTCTTCAAAGTAAAACAAGCAACAGATTTACACACCGAAACAATCTTCGAGCTTTTACAGGATAGACGAAATTATTTATTATAATTACAAGAATAAACTGAATCATAAACATGACAGTTAGTGCGTTGAGCTTTTACAAGCTAGCGTTAGCCGGGTCAGTTTTTTCCTCACATCTTGATTTAACCTGTACTTGATCTGCAACAAGATAAAGCTATATTTGGCATCGGGTTATTTAAGTCATGTTTTATCCCTGCTTAGGATTAATCCGCGTGAACATCCCTATTATGGCTGGGAAAGCTTAGAGCTGTAGAAATAAGGTGGCTGTGCTCTGGGAAAAGCTCGCCTGGACTAGGCAGGATTCATTTTTTTTTAAAAAACCGGACAGTCTTTGAGCCATCGCCATAAGGCAGCTAATCGATTGTATGTCGGTGGCGAGATGCGAGGACGTAGGCTTACACCTCTCTCGACGTACTCATTTGCATATTGCACTGCGAAGGCTGTCTTCTCGCCATCTTTACGCGACAACAAGCATGGCTGTGATGTGAGGGGAAACGTTTGTTTGGGAATTCTTGGGGTTAATCACTGTAATATCAAATCGGTTTAGACTAATTTTAAAATAGGTCCACCAGTTCTGAACACTGAAGGTCGTCGTTCTGAAGTGACGTCATTCATGGCATTGACACGTCATCCCGTTGTCACGGTTTTCCATTGTGACGTCATTCTGTGGTGACGTCGTTTCGTGATCATGCCCCCCTGTTTAGTCGGTGAACGGAAAAAAAGTCACAGGAAAAAAAAACAGAAAAAAGTCACAGTTTTTGCTAGGAAAAAAAGTCACAGTGGAAAAGTTTTATCGGAAAAAAAGTCACAGAAATAAAGTCACAGAAAAAAAGTCACAAAAATCTTTTTAGAAATATTTTTATTTATTTGTTAAGAATTGTAAAATTTTGTATGTTTATTGTTGTGGGTTGTATTTTTTATAGCATAAATTATTTATAGACGTTTAAAGCATTATGATTTATAACAATTGTAAGTAAAAATACTCTAAGATAATTAACACAACTATCTCAACTTTTGTTACGTATTTAGTTAAATACGCGGTAGAAAAGTTAATTATAAAAGAAATTTAGGCACACTTTGCCGTAGGCTATTCTCTGGTCGGCCTCTCCTCAGTAGGCATTGTCCGAACATATTTTGTGTTGTTGACGTTATGCGTCAATGACAGCCTTTGAACCTTGTCGGCTTTCTGTTTTGATCCCAAGTTTTGTTATGTAATGAGCGTGATAAATGTTGGCAGTAAAGGTGGTTGAACTAAACATAACTATTGTTGCCATAAGTTGAGGGCAGCAAGTCAGATGAACTTACCATTTCACGGTAATTTAATATTGTTATTAAAAAAAAAACACGATGAAAACCGTGGACTTTGGAGCATTCTATTAAATGCTATTAATCTTAAGTTTAACATAATTACAATCTACATACTTCATAATAAATATTTTTAGATGAATTATAAAAATTCCTATGCGTACACAGCCTACACACATTACATTACATTTAATTAATTCTAAGTTAATGATCACTCTCTAAATATTTAATACATAAAAGTATTAACAAATATCATGCAAATATATATTTGTGACTTTTTTTTCCTGTGACATTTTTTCCTGTGACTTTTTTTCCTGTGACTTTTTTCCTGTGACTTTTTTTCTGTGTTTTTTTTTTCCTGTGTTTTTTTTTCCTGTGACTTTTTTTCCTACAATCGTTTAGTCATGTGGCGTCTAAACTGTCTAGGACTTGAAATTGTTTCGTTGAATTATATTTTTTTGTTTCACTGTGTTAGAAAAATGTAGGCCTAACTACTGCATAATCACATTTGTTATCTGAATGTAATATCAACTATCGATACCAAAACCTAGATCAAAACACGTTGCTCATGTGCCCGCTAACTTTATGATACTTTATCAACAAAACAAACTCCACGAATCATCCATCACTGTATGGGCCTACACCAACAACTTGACGATTTCTCCCATCACTGTATGGGCCATCAACTTGACGATTTCTCCCATCACTGTATGGGCCTACACCAACAACTTGACGATTTCTCCCATCACTGTATGGGCCATCAACTTGACGATTTCTCCCATCACTGTATGGGCCTACACCAACAACTTGACGATTTCTCCCATCACTGTATGGGCCATCAACTTGACGATTTCTCCCATCACTGTATGGGCCTACACCATCAACTTGACGATTTCCCCCATAACTGTATGGGCCATCAACTTGACGATTTCTCCCAACACTGTATGGGCCTACACAATCAACTTGACGATTTCTCCCATCACTGTATGGGCCTACACCATCAACTTGACGATTTCTCCCATAACTGTATGGGCCATCAACTTGACGATTTCTCTCATCATTGTATGGGCCTACACCATCAACTTGACGATTTCTCCCATCACTGTATGGGCCTACACCATCAACTTGACGATTTCTCCCATCACTGTATGGGCCAACACCATCAACTTGACGATTTCTGACATAACTGTATGGGCCAACACCATCAACTTGACGATTTCTCCCATCACTGTATGGGCCATCAACTTGACGATTTCTCCCATCACTGTATGGGCCAGCACCATCAACATGACGATTTCTCCCATCACTGTATGGGCCTACACCATCAACTTGACGATTTCTCCCATAACTGTATGGGCCATCAACTTGACGATTTCTCTCATCATTGTATGGGCCTACATCATCAACTTGACGATTTCTCCCATCACTGTATGGGCCTACACCATCAACTTGACGATTTCTCCCATCACTGTATGGGCCAACACCATCAACTTGACGATTTCTGACATAACTGTATGGGCCAACACCATCAACTTGACGATTTCTCCCATCACTGTATGGGCCATCAACTTGACGATTTCTCCCATCACTGTATGGGCCATCAACTTGACGATTTCTCCCATCACTGTATGGGCCTACACCATCAACTTGACGATTTCTCCCATCACTGTATGGGCCTACACCATCAACTTGACGATTTCTCCCATCACTGTATAGGCCATCAACTTGACGATTTCTCCCATCACTGTATGGGCCAACACCATCAACTTGACGATTTCTCCCATCACTGTATGGGCCATCAACTTGACGATTTCTCCCATCACTGTATGGGCCTACACCATCAACTTGACGATTTCTCCCATAACTGTATGGGCCATCAACTTGACGATTTCTCCCATCACTGTATGGACCTACACCATCAACTTGACGATTTCTTCCATCACAGACCGACTCTACCCAAATGCCGGCGTGTTATGTTGTTACCTGTAAAGTGTTACCTGTGATTAGGCCCAAGGGTTAACTGTCGCAATTTTTGTAGTTACAAACATGATATGCATGAAACGTATAAGAGAGTTTTAAATTGACGGGGGGGGGGGGGGGTATTGAAACTTTCAGGGGGGGGGGGGTGGCACTTAAAATCCGGGGACGGACACTGGTCAATGTATATATTTTCAACATAATATTTTTTTATATTCCGCTCGGGCACACTTTCTTCTGGGGAGGGGGGGGGGGCTGTACTGCCCCCACACACACCCCAATGAGATACCTGAAAGAAACTCTTAACGTCACCTACTATAGACACGTCTCGCGAGTCATTTGTTCAGAAAGACCTCACATCTTTGACCCCGGCCTTGTTCATTAACCCCGACCCCCCCCCTCA